AGAAAACTTGGAATTCACAGGAACAAGCCGATTGCCAGACCAAGTACCAGCAGGCTATCAAGTACTTCTAACCTCGGCCCCGCCGCCGTCGGGATGGCCGGTGGCCTCGTCGTAGTCGTCCCTGTTCCATTCCTACCACCCCGGGGGCCCGTCGCCGCGGGCAGCGTCGGCGTCGCAGGGTCCACCAGACGGGTGGTCGGCGTGCTCGCCAACGTCGGCGGTGGCGCGCGGCCGGCCCCGCCGCCGCCGTCGGAATGGCCGGTGGCCTCGTCGTAGTCGTCCCTGTTCCATTCCTACCACCCCGGGGGCCCGTCGCCGCGGGCAGCGTCGGCGTAGAAGGGTCCACCAGCAGGGTGGTCGGCATGCTCACAAACGTCGTCGGTGGCGCGATGCCGTCTCCGTCACCGCTGCTGCTGGGCGGTGCCAACGTCGGAGCAGCCGAGTTTGACGCCGAGGCGGAGGGCGCCGCTGACGGTGTTGTACCCGGGAGCTGGGTCGCCACCATGGATTCGGTGGGCTGTGATGGTGCCGGCGGTGGCGGCGCCGGCGGCGGGGTTGCCGGCGTGGAGACGTTCTGCTCCGTGTTTGCCCACGTGTCGAGGACGCACTGCTTCATGAGGCCGTTGTCGGTGTAGGTGTTGCCCGACTTCTTGGGCGTCAGGCTGAGGACGTAGTCGGTGCCGAAGCTGCCGGCCGCCCAGCCCACGAGGCCGATGAAGACGTCCGAGTTTTGGTTGATAAAGGTGTTTTGGGCACAGAAGCTTGTGAAGCACTGTTCCCCCCCAATTGTATTAGCCGCGGTTCGTTTTCTCCCATGAAGAGTGAGAAAAAGAAGAAAAAAACAAAGTCTTTGCTTACTGAAGCATCACTCGAGGCGCCCGTCTCGCTGACCAACCCCTTGCGGCCCCTGGCCCTCAGAAACTCGGCAACCGTCCTGAAACTATCCACATTGTCCGTCGTGCAGGGCTTGTGCGTGCCGCTGTTGTCTTCGTCCAGGTACTTGTGCACATCGAGTACCAAGTTCTCCGTCGTCCCGTCGGGGTTCGTAATAGCGCTCAGCGCCTCCGCGCTGCCGCTACTGACAAGGAACGCGGCCGAGTTGAAGTTCGTCCCGGGCAGGAGAATCATCTGCGACGCGGCGCCGGCGTTGCGGATCGCCGTCACGACCTTTTGGCACGTGGCCGCCCAGAGCTTGACGTCGAGGTCGTGCGGCTCGTTCATGAGCTCAAAGACGACGCGGTCGTTGTCCTTGTACTTTGTGGCGAGCTGCGTCCACAGCGAGACGAACTGGTCGTCTGTCGGGCCGCCCTGGCCTATGATGCCGCCGTTCCAGCGGGCGAAATTGTGAATGTCGAGCATGCAGTGCGCGCCGGTCGCGAGGCACTTTTGCATGACTTGGTCGTATTTGCCAAAGTTGGCCGCGCTGAGTTGGCCGCCTGCTTGGTTGTTGACGAGGAACTGCCAGCCGACGGCTGTGTGTGTTTGGTTGTCAGTGGTGGGTAGACTCAAGAGTTGGAGGGTCTGAAAGACGCACGCAGCCGGAACATGTTGAGCTTGTCATTCTGAGCAAAGTGGTTCATCTGCCCTTCGCCGTCGCCGCCGCCCAGCGAGCTGAGAGGCAGCTGGACTTTGCCCAGTGGACAGCTTCCCTGGTCTTCAAGTCAGTCTCTCTGTTTCTTTTGGATGAGATGCGCTGTCTGGGGGGTTGGGGACCTACATCAATCTCGCAGCCAAAGTCGCCACCAGATATCGCAACTCCCTGGCGGCAAAAGGTTAGACATCGTCTCAAGTCTCTCTTGTAGATTATATAAGACTTGCCAAGAACTGCACCCTCGCGAATGCTACCGCCGCAAACCCCAAAAGTGTAAGTGTCTTTGAGAACATATTCGATAACCGAGCGAATGGAAGAAGTGAAAGTGAAAAAAAAACAACAGTTGATTTCAAAAAAGAAGGGACTCAATCCGAAGAAGAGAATGGAGTTTGCGGTCTAAGAAGCGAAAGGCAGCACGAAGCAAACACAAAAGGGGTGCTTTGGTTACAGCAAGTCCCGAGAAGAAGGGATTAAGAACCGTTTGGCACCCAGAGGCAGCGGGGAGCCGCATGACATATCTACTACCGACAGGCCATCGAAAATCCTGCGATGGGATAAGGAGGTCCAAGAATAGCAGCCGGCGGCGCATGGGCTACATGACATGACACCCAGCAAACGGGAGGGCGGGGATCGAAAGTTGGGATGTGGGAATGTTCTCCCTATTTGCCCACAAATGGCCCAGCTGAGGAGGGGGGGCTGTGAACCTGCAAAGACTCTGAAGAGCCACCGAGCTTTTGCCCATCCTGCCATCCGATGGTCGTTTCTGTGCGACGAGATTCATGCGGCGAGCGCCACGAAGCCTGGTCGGACGAGGGCCTGCATCAGACGGTGGGAGTTTCATGTGCGGACACCAAAAAAGGCAAGGGGGGGGAAGGATCCGCGTCCGTTATTACCAGGGTCCCAGACACTTTTGCGATCGCCGGGGTGGGACTATAGCCTATAATATGTGGAAATCAAGCGATTGGGGGCCCGGTGGTCAAGGGACTCCAAGTTGGGTTGTGAGCCTCAAGAGAGTCAAGGAGGGGGAAGGGGGTCTCGGGCTGGCCGGGAGGCGGAGGGCCGGCGTTCCAATGCTTCGGTTTTTGATTCAATGCGCTTGGCTCAGAAATATCGCTGTTGATCATAAGCGAGCCGTTCCAAACAGCGGAAGCCTCGAGACCGCTACAAAAAGTCCAGCAGAATGAGCGTCAGTTCCACGGGAGTCGGTTGGAGCAGAAACTGGTGGCGTCTATAAGTGACAACATGATGATTATGAAGAGAAGAGATGCAACAAGCACTACTCGGGCCGATGGTTCAGGTGTCATTACTCGGGGTGTTGTTCGCCTGGTGGCTCCGTCCGAGACAACGTCACACAGCAGTAGCTGCTGCACCACTTGAACTGATGGCACCAACGACAGCTTTTTGTCATGGATACGTCTGCTTGTCAGCTTCAGTCTGGCAGAAGGTCAAAATCTGAGCCCGGCTCGAGCCCCATCTCTGGCCAGGGACAGCCCGGGATCCTTCGACAGAGCCTCCAAATTTTAGCGCGCAAGCACTAGCAAAAGGTCAAAGAGACGCTGCCGCGTATGATGTTCCTTTTGTACGTTGACCACCGGAACGAGGTAGAAATTGTCTGAATGAATAAAATAAAGTATTTATGAGGAAAGTCGTGATGAAGATCCGGCTGATGTGCCGGCTTTCCCTGTCGCTGGGACCAGTGAGAGAGAGAGCAGATTCTGGTAGGCCTGCCGACACGCGTTCTAAAAAGCCCCTGAGAAGTTGACGGGGTAATCCACGCACGTCCATTTGACGAGAACTTGATTGTTGATGCACTGCCTGGGATGCAATGGGAAACACTCGCATTAAGGCAATGGTGGCGGTCTCGGTGATTTGGCAGTCTCGGAGAGAAGAAGTGCTCCGAGTTTTACTTGTGAGCGGTATAGGGGAGATATGAAGACGAGTCCCTCCTGTTGGGCTAGTTACTGTTATGTCTAGGTACCATAATGGTGTTTGATTACATAACGCTGTTTCTTCTCAATGATGCGGGGACGGGAACGAGGGCCGGCCACGTGCCGGAACACTCGTCGTAGGTCCGGCATACACCGGAAAGCATCAAGAGACGTGAGGGCTTTGCGAATAGCTTGGCAGAAAACTCTTATGTTTTCTCGACCGATAGCGGACGTGATACTTCCGCGTTTCTTCGCAATGACTATCAGCAATGGTGACATTGTGGGGCGCGCGGGGAATAGAACGATAAATACCGGATGGATGTCCCAGATGCTTCACATCGCAGATACAACAACACGTCTTGAAGTCACCTGCATCCCTGGCCACCCAGCTCTGTATACGAGTCCATTCAAGAGCTTTCCACAATGTCGTCCTCTACAACCCAGAGCTCGAATCCGCCTCTCCTCGATCACATCGTGATCCTCCTCCCCCACCACGTTCTCACCTCCCTACCCTCCTGGCTCTCCACCGAATTCACCATCCTCACAGGCGGCCGCCACGCCGACGGCCGCACTGAAAACAAACTCGTCATATTCGCAGACGGCACCTACCTCGAGCTCATCTCCTTCGTCGAGGGCATCAGCCGGGAGGACCGCCTGAAGCACAAGTGGGGTCCGAAACCGGACGGCACCATCATCGACTGGGCGTACTCCCTCAAGGACGAGTCCGGCTTCGCCCACATCCAGAAGCGGGTGCGTGACGCGCAGTCGCTGGCCGTGTACGACGATCCCGTGCCCGGCGGGCGCATCAGGCCGGATGGCGAGGAGCTAAAGTGGGCCGTTGCCCTCCCGGACGGCGCCGCCGGTGCCGGGGTAAAAGTGGAGAGGGGTGAGTTGCCGTTTTGGTGCTTTGACCGGACGCCGCGCAAGCTCCGCGTGCCGGATCACGTCGCAGAAAACGTCAAGCATCCGAGCGGATCGCTGGGCGTCCATTCGGTATCGGTTGACGTGACCAACGAGGATTTCAAAAAGGCGTACGCCGGCATCAACGACCGGGCGGCGAAGGAGAGCGACGGTGGTGTTGGGCGGTGGACGTTTGACGTCCCTGTTCGTCAGTTTGACGATCCGAGATATATCAACGTCGAAACCGTCTCTGGTGGGCAGCAGGGACCTAGGCAGGCTCTTCGACTGGCGCTGTACACCGCTGCGGGTACGACGAAGCGGTCTATTGGTGGCGACCTTGGGGGAGGCGTCTCCGTTGAGATTGAATTGGTTCCCGTTTCGGGGTCCGCCTGAGCCGCAAATCCACGGGTTGTCCAGAATCTATGTATACATACGTGCAGGCGAATATGCACAGGTGATGGTATGCTACACATGACTGACCAACCTTGAAATGAGGTCTTCAGAGAAAACGCCTTGAGAGTTGTACATAGCTACCCGTGTCTGCTGCATCTAGAGGGGAAAAGAAAAGAAACCGAAACAAAAGTCTCGGTGTCAAACCTTTCAAGCTAGTGATCAAGCATTTTGAAATTGGGAGGAAACCACCTCAACGGCATCTCGATCTACGAGGTACCTACACATTCCTGCTTCTACATGAAGCCCGAAGTCCAGGGCACGACCGCATCAGCTCCCAAGACCAATGGAACACCCATCTACGTCGTCCCGCTGAGGCTCTGGGACCTTGCATCTCTACTCGTCGGCTTCCACTACTTCATCATAGGTACCTTATTCTACATCCAGTCAGGCGTTCTCCGTGGCACTCTTGTGCCTGGCCTATTGGACCAAAGACCATCATTCAGCTTCAGGAACTCGATTTCATTGCAGTACAAATCATGATGACATGCTTGGTGGCTTCGTTGGGTCCTAAAACATGCCGGAACGCCTTGAAGAGATGTCTACCAGCCCTGAATGAAGGAGATAGTCCCACACTTCATAGTCAAAACACTCTAGGGTCGTTCTTTGGGCATTCTGAGAGGCTTGGATGTTGGGTGTTGTTGCGGTAGCAAAGCCAGAAGGGATAGACTTTTGTTGTTGATGAACATGGGTGGTCTTGTAGGCAAGACCTCTCGGTGGCCATCAAGGCACTTGTACGAGATTACAGAGGAGAAGATACCTTTCAGGTTTATCAACGCCTTTAGTAGTGGCCGTTATGAAACTAATGGCTGTGACCGTTACCTGCACCGGGTGTCCATGGACAGATCATAGAGGCACTCGTCATCTTCATCGGCTGTGTGATTACAACTGAATCCGTTACGTCAAAGATTCCTTGCCATGAGGAATCTGGCCGCGTATTTACTAGTGTAGCTCTGGAGATTGGGTGTGTTTGGGCTGAGAGCTGGCATGGGAAGGCATTTCGACCTGAGATCTTGAAAAGAACCTTCACCAATTGCATTTTGGATCGTGCTTGATGAAAAGAAACATGGAGTTTTTTTAATGGAGTTGGAGTGGACCAAGCCAAGGATCACGATGTGGGATAGCTCAAGTTGGGAAGACGCGACGGGTGGGGTGTTGACGGGAAGCCCACACTAGCTAGCCTAAGGAAATGGAGCCAGGAACGAGGTCATGTCATCACGCATACATCATCAATTGATCAATTGAAATCGCGAGGCCGTAGTGCGGCGAGCTCTCAAAAAGTCACGAGTGCTAGGCGACGGACGTCGACCAAGTATTTCAGATAGGGATCTGATGGTTGCAAATTGTTCCAAGCGAGGCACTTTAGGTCACATATTGTATGCACACCATGGCAACTGTGAAGACGTTTCCTGGCTGCTCTTTTACTCATGAGGCATTTTGGCCATTTTTTGAGGCAAAATTTGGCGCAGCCTGATATACTGCTTCACTCAATTGGGCTACCAATGCATTTTTACTTTTTTGTCTATTATTTCTTTTCAACTAGTCATAACTTCATATCCAAGACCAGGAAGCTTTTGACTCCCTGTATCCATGTGCTGTCGTTGTTGTTCCGCCCGCTTGCCTTCATGCAACAAGAAGCGAGGCCAATTTACCGGCAGGTGTAGCCGCCGTCAATGACAATGTCGGCACCGGTGGTGTAGGTGCTAGCATCGGAGACGAGGTAGACGTAGGCGCCCTTGAGCTCCTTGGCGTCGCCGTTGCGGCCCATGGGGATCATGCTCTTCCACAGGTCCTGGACCTTTTGCTCGACAAAGTCGGACAGGCCCGTGTCAATGTAGCCCGGCGAGATGGAGTTGACGCGGGCAAAGTCGCGCCACTCGTTGGCGAGGGAGCGGGCCATGTGGATGCAGCCGGCCTTTGCGACGTTGTACGAGGTCTGCTCCTGGGGGTAGTTGGCAATGTGGCCGGACATGGAGGCGGTGATGACAAAGGAGCCGGAGCCGCGCTCGCGGAAGTGGGCGCCGACGGCCTTGGCGCAGTACGCGGTGCCGTTGAGGTCGATCTGGATGACGTGGTCCCAGGCCTCCTTGGAGCCGTCAATGATGCCGGCGTCGGCGGTGGCACCGGCGCTGGAGAGACACACAATTGTTAGCAAACTTTCTTGCATTGAAAAAGTCACGCAGCGTACTTCGAGAGAGGGAGAGGGAGAGGGAGAGAGGGAGAAGACGCTTACTTGGCGATGAAGGCATCAATCTTGCCAAAGTCGGCAATGATCTGCTTGGTGGTCGCCTCGACCTGGGCGTAGTCGCTGACGTTGAGCTTGTAGATCTTGACCTTGACGCCGTACTCCTTCTCGAGCTCGGCGGCGTTCTTCTCGGCGCCCTCCTTGCGGGAAGAGTAGGTGATGGCCAGGTCGGCGCCCATCTCGGCGCATCCGCGGGCGGCCTCGATACCCATGCCACGGGGGCCAGAGGCACCCGTGACAACGACGACCTTGCCCTTGAGGCTGAAGAGGTCCAGAAGACGGGACGCGGTGGGAATGGACTGAGGCATGTTGAAGGGATATGTGGTGTTGATGTGGTTTGGGAGAATGGGGAAAAAAGAGGCGTCTGCAAAAGATTGAAGAGAAGGCTTAATTTTGGGTATTAAACTTTTTTTGGCATGAGAAAGGAGGAGAGGAAGGAATCAGAAGATGATCAGCGGGAGAAAGGCGGCTTTGAATAGCTGGCCGCACAAGGTGCCTGAGCCACAGCAACCGAGGGGTCAATAAGGTGGCATGGTGGAGGGGTAGTTTTTTTTTGGGGAATTGGCCGGCCGTGACGGCATCCCGGAACCCCCGCTGATGTCATTGATACAGGCACACGGACTAGACGCCGGGGCTAAACACGGCCTATGGCTCAGTAATGAGGTTGTTAGGATGTCTAGATACAAGGGAGAACCCATGCTCCCCTCCAAGTGCCCGCCAGTCTGGTGGATCTAGATTAATGGGACCCCGGATGGGCCGCAGGTTAGACAGTATGTGTTCGTACTCATACTCATGCCCAATAGAGAATAGTACTTGTTTTGTACGAATTGGTATCTGAGTAATCCCACATGCGAGTACTGCAGCTGTATGCGGCATGCGGCTTGGACAGCTCATCAATCTGATCTTGGTCCTCGCTTGGCGCAACCCTTTCCTGCTGTCTACCTAGTGCTCATCAACCGCGCTGACCGAGAATTGGAAAGGATTTATCAAAAGTGCAATAGGTGACATCCTCTGTCCGAAAAAGAGAAATAAAAAAAAACATCGATACGTAAGGACGGATAGATGCTCGGTGTTGTTCTTAGCCTATCACAAAAACCTGGCACCAAGTTCTAGGCCTTACCAGAGAACCACGTCGTCCAATCGGTCTCAAGAAACTGCTAAAATACATGGTTGCGGCCAAGAAGTCTAGTGTAGTGTAGCTGTAAGATCCACAAGTTGAGCCCACCATCCAACACAACCCGGCCCCGCAGCGACGCAGCGCGCGCCATTAGTCAAGGCCTCGCATCGTCGATGCTGTCTTTAGGTTCCAGCTTTCCAGGAGAAACGAGAGCCCAGCGGGGCATTGTACCGTAGATACCAGCGAGAAGAGGGGGGGCCATATCACCCCATGCCCTCGTGGGCGCGTCGTGTCCAAGTAGTCTTCGTGTACGTAGTACGCGCGGGCCTAGGAACTCGTGTTGGCGCGGCGCTGGGCAGCCGGGCGCCGAGGCATGTCGGTGAGGGGGTTAATAGAGGGCAAGAGACGACCATGAAGCGTGGGGTTCAGGTTGTTGCCAGTGGGCCATGGAGACTTTTTGATCCTCATCCTCCAACCGCCGCTTCGCTCCTCAACTCTGACCTCAGTGCCACTCCACACCCCGGCATATTGTGGCCTTTGCACAGTTGCGGGTTCCGACTCTGCACGGTTGAGGGGGTGGAAAGGTGTTGGAGATTTGGAGGAGCAGCGTCCAGTCGACCCACGTAATCCTGGGGAGAGCTCATTCACCCGCGCGGGGTGCCTCGCCAGTGAGCGATATTTTCTCAACAGGGCCCTCTGATCTGATAGTTTGGACTTGGTTCCACCTCGTTTGAAATCGACTACCGGGGCTCTGCGTCGGGGAGATTCCGAGACGACTGCAACTGCACATGAAGCCACCATGAAGATTGTCGAATATGCCATACTAATTATTCATCAACTCATGGTTCGACTCTATCGGCCGGTCTCCGAACCCTCGGCCCATTCGGAGACCGGCCGGAATGCTAGACAAGGAGCTTATCGGGTGACCTGTAACATCACTTCACCCAGCCGTGGTCGAAATACCATCCTCCACGTCCCTAGAATCGCTAGAGAATGAGAGAACATAATCGAGCCTCCCTCTATTCTCTCTCGTCGCTCTATTTACGAACCCCCTCTGTTTTCTATTTCAAGCTCTTGTCATTAACTCGCATTTGATCCGTAGATGTCACTTCAAGCACACTAATCAAGAAAATCTATCAGGGTCAAACTCACTTACGGCCACTTGAACGCCACTGAAGTCTTGCGTACATGGAGACAAACTCTCTCGACGCCTCATCGATTAGATCCATATGATTACATTTCTCCAATATAGAGCAGGTTCTTAAATAAGATGAATCTTCATCAGATCCGACATTATGGTGCCCTGGGATGAGTCGTCCATCTCCAAGTTTGCAGCCTCAGATAGTCCATGTTCCCTCCAATCCTTTGAAATCTTGACCTAGCGACGGAAACATCAGAGCCTCCTCCTCCTCCTCTTCGTCCAATAACTACAAACCTGCAATGCCCGTCAACCGCACTACTCTCCACCGGGCAATGATCTGGCCACGCCGACGAACAACACCACCATGGCCCTCGCGAACATGTCTCAGGGACGAAGCCAAAACCACAGTCTCCATCCTCCTCAGCTTGTGCATGGGCGCCTCGACACTGGCAACAATCACCTTTGCCAACGCGGCCGCAGAAACGACGGGGGACCAAGCCCTCATGTCGGGCCTCTCCATCATACTGGGTCTCGCGCAATGGGGTTGCGCCATGATCTTTGGCCTCCACAAATGCATCCGTCCCCCGCCGGGGCAAACGGGCAACTTGGTGCTCTTATACCCCGCCACGTGGGTTGCCATGCAGGCCGTCTGCTTCGTCGCCGTCCAGTACATGTGGCAGCGCGACTGGTCGCAGGTCACCAAGAACGCGGCCGTCACGTGGATGGTTGTGAGTCTGGGGACCGTTGCACTTTGGACACATGTCATTCTCTGTCTGCTGGCCAAGAGATATCTTACAAAGAGAACGACGCGGCATGCAGCGAGACCGGCTGATCCGGCACCGGCGGTGCAGATGGTGGTGAGAGACCGAATCGCTGATATAGAGGAGGCTGTGAGCCCAGTTCAAGCTCCGCCATACGTTGCTGTGAGGGAAGTGAAGAACGAGAACGTGCGCTTGGGCTGAGTCGAGAGGTTGGAAATGGCTGAGGGAACGACGAGAATAAGGATGACCATCGACGATTGTATCGGGTGGTTATTAAATAATGCCCATTCAATCCGAAACATTCAACGAGTATTAATGCACAGTGAGGGACATTATGAAGGTCAAAATGATTCTACGTAATGAGACTACCAAAGAATGACAGTCTGGTAACAACTCTTAAACCCAAACAGCGTAAATATACAGAAAAGTTCTGCCAAAACCTGATGTAGACATGTCATGTTGAAATGAATGACCTCCATCAATGATTGTCGGGTAGACTTGATCGCTGCTTATGTGTACCCTACAGGGGGTTGTGGACCTTTTCCCGTGCTCCCTTCATTTATAAGATCGTTTCTCAGCTAACGCTTTGCTTAAGGGCCTTTGCTTTTACGACTTCCCTGGCTATTGCGCCTTGCTATGGAAAAGTTTTTGATCTTGGAGCCGAACATTGATGTTCTAGATCTGGGAATCGGTAAAGCCGATGTTTGTCGAGGTTCGTGCCAGCAGGGGTTTCAGAATCTCAGCATTAAACGCGCGACTATCATCTGTACAATATGAACGGTAGTTTTCACACATGCGTGTCTGTCATTGATTCTCATTAGGTTGATTGACAGTATGAAATTGGAACACGCGTCCTTGTTCACAGTCCAGAATCAATCTGTCACTGGCTGTTCGCAATCCACGAGCTCCTCGCTTCATATTGTCCAAAACTTCACTCAATATTGACATGTCGGCTCGTGGTCAGAAGAGATGTGTGGTTTAAGATGTAAATAGTAGTGCCTGAGCTCTATCGCTCACAGCGGTCATTAACTTTCTTTCATAGACAGTTGATCAGCCGTCTGCTGTCATGTCGACAAATTATAACTTCCTCATAGTCATCAACGAATCTCTACCTCTTGGACTCCAGCTTTTTCGGCAAAGTCTATGTCACGGACGATCTTGACATCGCCAAAGATCTCGTCAATTTCTTCCAATGATTTCCCTACAAGTTAGATGTCAGCTTTTGTTCATGGAAGATGAGTAGCAGTTTTTACCTCTGGTTTCGGGATAGAAGACCGCAAAAATGGCAGCACAGAATGCGTTGGTGAGAATGAAGAGTATCTAAGTCGTCGAGTTAAAAGACGGAAACCAAATCGAATGCAAAGTGAGACACGGTTGACGTACGTAATACTTCCAGCCAACCGCAGCTAGCGCGATGGGCGAACACTGCGTGATGAGGAGACTAAGGGAGTAGTGTATGACCTGAATTATGGCATTTGCTTTGGCTCGAAGCTCGGTGGTAAAGACTTCAGGACTTGCATGGTCATCAGCATAGTCACCAAAGGTCGGCAGCCAGCCACGACAAATACTCACGGAATAATCCATGTCATAGGCCCCAAGAGAGCAGAATAGTTGGCAGACACAGCGAAAATACAGGCAATGAGACCGCGCTGGGCTGCTTGGTTGGTCGGGAATCCGGGTCTTGCAGGGTACACTGCCGCAAGAATGGTGATGATCAAATAGCAAAGCGACAAAAGCGACGAGCTGATGATGAGAATCTTCTTGCGGCCGACACGATCGACAAAAAACAGGGACAGGAAGCACACCACCGGTCCCACAGAACCGTAGAGACCACTGACGAGAAGTTGCTGATCCTGGCCGAACTGCAGCGTGGCGTAGATGGCCGTCTGGTAATACTGAACAAACGAAATGCCGGACAGCATCGCGGCAGCCCACACGAACGAGCCGACAAAAAGTCTTTTGCGGAACGCCGGAGTCTTGAACAAGTCAGCCCAGGAGAGGCGGCCTTGGGCCTGCAGCTCCTCTGCAATGTTGACCTGGATGATGGTGAACTCGTTGCGGCACCAGTCGTCGTTGGACCCGTCATAGTGGTAGTTGCGGAAAGCCTTTTCGGCTTCCTCGTGTCGGCCCTTGAGACAGAGCCATCTGGGCGACTCGCTGAGGGAGAAGACGCTGATACCCAGGACCAAGGCGGGGACGCTCTGTATGGCGAATCCGAGCCTCCATTGGTTGGGGTTTTGCCATTTGCCTTCGCCGACGCCGGTCCAAAGAGCGACGAAGAAGCCCCAGGAGACCACTTTCTTCCATTAGCATGCGTGAGCCGAGCCGAGAATTCCTCAAAGGTTCCGACGTACTCATCTGGTTGATGGCCGTTATTCTGGCTCTCTCATGAGTCTGAAAAGCATCAACATTGGGACATCTCCGCCTGTTGAGTGTCGCGGCTCACCTTGGCTATCTCTGCCCCAAAGACTGGAGCTACGCCGGTGATTGTGCCGACCGCAAAGCCAACTAGGAGTCGGCCGATGATGACTGCTTCTAATTTCAGCATTGTATCTTCCGTTTCCTATATTTCGGGGTACACGCACGCATTGCGACATGGGCAGCGCCCGCCATCAGAGCACCGCCGATGACTCCCCATATGCAGCCAAAGGCAATTGCTTTCCGACGGCCGAACTTATCGCTTGTCACGCCCACACAGGCGCTCCCGAGCCATGCTGGTCAGTTTGTTAGTCAGATAGCTGCCAAGTTTGTTACTGTTCTTAAGGGATCCTTTACCTCCAGCCTGATACACCGATACGATAGCACCTCGGAGTGGAGCATCAGGGTTTCCAAAATATGTGAGGAATGACTGGAGTGCTAAGCTGGGTGTGATGATTCCTGAATCACTATGGGCATAACATGAGACTGGAGTTGATTAGATGTGGTCGTAAGGTGGAAAGACTCACAACCCATAAAGAAACCCTCCTATACCAAGCAGGATCGACGTCAAGAAGGGCTTGCTGAGCCAGCCGGAAGATTCAGGTTTCATGGTAACACGCATGGAATCTGAGCTTGAATCTATGAATTGGTGAAAGTTCCGAGTCTCGACGTTTCTCAAAGCAAGATACATGTGAGGAGTATCGACCATCATGATCCGGACCTACAGGGACTTCTCAGGCTTTGTACCTCTTCACAGTCCGTGTTCTTCATCTCACTCGAGCAACTGCCGCGGTACTACAAAAAAAGACCAGGGTATGATTATCCGCGATCCAGCCAAGGCGTTTGTAAGTTTAGAGTCAGCAAGAAGGATGCATGGGCCGCTTCGTTGTTGGAGGGGTTCCCCCACACGCATCTTGCTTCCCCCGCGTAACCCACATGCATTCTCAGACGCAGACTGCGGGGTTATCAAGCGGACTTGTCCATATCGTGACTTGCTTTTGACATGGCTATCGAGCCGGAAAGATGACAGAGACACACTTGTGGCTTGCCGAACTGTCTTTGCCAAGAACGGCAGTTGTTAAAACAGGCGAGCTTGAAGCGCTCGCCGCGGAACCGATTACTGGAAGATTGAACAGCCTCGGGTTTTCCGACTCGCTGGCCTTCAAACCCCTAGATATCCCCGAATAATTCTTTGAGATAACCGACGAACGAGATTGAAGTTTCGACGTCTACGTATGGGAGCGGTATAGTTACACAACCACTACTCAACTCGATCCAGAACCAACCACTCCAACATGATCCTTGATATTCTCGCTTACTTGGCGGTGGTCATTGGGGCTTCGTATGTTGCCCTAACATTCCCTCGGGTAGGAACGCTCTATTCTAGTATCTCTTTGCCATCACTTTGCTGACTTACTCAATATCGATTCCTCGAGTAGCTACGACAAGAATGGAAGCTCTACTCGCACCGCTCACAACTTCCCCCAGGTCCCAAGATCATCAAGACAGGGATCCAAAAGCCATGGCTCTGGTTCCAGGAGCTGAGCATGGAGTACGGCGACGTCGTCTACCTCCAAATGGGCCCGACTCCAACAATCGTGCTGGGCTCCGCCCAAGCGGCATGGGACCTCCTCGAAAAGAAAGGTTCCATCTTCTCGTCGCGACCACGCTTCATCATGGGCGGCGAGCTCCTCTCCGGCGGCATGAGGGGCCTGATGGCCTCTTACTCTCCCTTTTGGCGGCGCTGGCGGAAGCTCCTGCACAGCGGCTTCATGCAGCGGCAGAGTGAGACGTACCGACCGGTCCAGAGTCTCGAGTCCAAGGTGCTCATGCATGAGCTCCTCACCAAGCCCGGAAATTACCGACAACATCTTGAAAGATATGCCGCTTCTGTGATTGTGACAGTGACGTACGGTAGGAGGGTGGAGGATATCACCACTGATATCGTCGTCCAGCGCAATGCCGAGTCGATGGGACGTTTGACGTCGGTCAAGTGAGGACTGCGCTCCAAAGTCTCCCAAAATCTTGGACGTTTCTGACATGTTTTTTCTTTCATGGCATCTAGCATCCCTGGCAAGTTTGCCGTCGAGAGATACCCAGTGCTCAAGTACATTCCCAGCGTCTTAGCCCCTTGGAAAGCCGATGTCTTGAAGCAGAGGCAAAAGGACATTCAGATGTACACCGAGCTCATGGACGAAGTGCGCGACCAAGTCGCCCGGGGCGTCGCGCCAGAGTCCTTTTCAAAACACCTGCTTCAAGAGCAATACGACCTTGGCATGTCAGACCTCGAGGTAGCGTACACGGCAGGCTCGCCTTTCGGGGCTGGTGTCGAAACAGTGAGATATACCCCCCCCTCCTCCCCCCAAAGTGCATTCTGGGCAACGAACCGATATTGACTGGCCCACCCGTTTTCCAAAGTCGGCCGGGTCTCTGGCCAGCTTTCTCCTAGCCTGTACCAAGTTTGGACCGCAGTTCATTCCGAGAGCGCAGGAGGAGCTTGACAGAGTCGTCGGAAGCGACCAACTACCTACGTTTGAGGATCTGAGCAGACTCGAGTATGTCCGCGCCATAGCCTCAGAGACGTTACGCTGGCGACCTGTCGCCGTCCTCGGCGGCACTCCCCACGCAAGCACCGCGGATTATGTCTACAAGGGCATGTTCATTCCAAAGGGCAGCACCGTCATCGCCCCTCTCTGGAGCAGTAAGTTCAACCTGAGACGCTTATGATATCATGCAGAGGTCTAACTACTCTAAACAGTTCATCTTAATGAAGCAGACTTCCCAGAACCCCATGAATTCAGACCTGAGCGATTCTTGAGCGACCGCGAGTACCCCGGCACTTTCGGCCACAGCGCTTTTGGATGGGGCCGCCGGATCTGCCCCGGCATGCACCTCGGATCTGCGTCTGTAGCCTTGAACATTGCGAGGATACTCTGGGGGTTCAAGGTCAACCCTGAAAAGGATGAGAAAGGCAGAGATATTGAGGTGGACATGTGAGTGTAATCTCGCCCCTTGTATGTTGAACTGGAGCTGACTTGATGTACACGCAGCTTTGCATACTCGGATGGCTTCAATTCGAGTCCCTTGCCGTTCCTATGCTCGATTACACCCCGCTCGATTAAACATGCTCAAGTCATTGAGCGGGAGCACGTGGGAGCTTTGGAAGCGTTGAGGGAGTACGCCGTTGTCGCGAGCAAAGTATCTTGATCTTCCGATTGAAAGAACGGCCTCATCTAGCCAACCTAGACTTTGGTATCTAGCTACTACTTTAGGTAGGTGCTTAAACTTCTCGGGCGACTCGAGTGCATTAAATTTAATGCCCGAGTCGCTTGGGATCTGTCGTATCATCAACATAATTATATTAATGCGAGGTTCATTTGCTTTCAATTTGACATTAATTCTACGCATTTTCATCTCCATGATTCATCCATGTCAAGGCGGAATCCTCAAAGACCAACGGTACTTATATTCCAATACCTCAACTCGTCAAACTCGGCTTCGGAGATGTACCGTCGTGTATTAATACTCAAAGCCCAACCGACATCAGGCTCAACGCAAAACTCCGAGCCCCGACGACCGTCCAGTCACTCTCCGCAAACGGCACCCGGCCGCCGGTGCGGCTGACGGCGTATAAGCCGATGAATCTCGCCACCGTACCCGCGCTCGCAGCGAGCGAGAACTAGTCTACAAACCCCTCCTTGATGGCCCCGTCGCCGCAGTTGGGGCCGGGGACCAGGCGGTACGCCTGGGCTCGCGGGTCGCAGCCCCTGGACTTGCTTTCCTCGACGATACGGTCGTAGACGTGCTTCTCCGCTGCAGTCTCATACAGCCGCACATCCAGATCGCCGAGGATGTTGTCCTTCAAAACGTCGAGGTAAGGGATCTCCGTGATGTTGCTAGGGGCGAAGTCGAGCGGGCGAGCGAGCTGGTATTCGATGACGTTGCGCAGCGTCGCGGCGCGGGTGCCGTTGAACAAGTCAAAGATGATTTCGCAGAACAGGAAAACCCGGGCCCCCCGACCGATAGCGGTTGTACCCCGATGTATGCTCGGGGAGGTGGTCGATCTCGATGTCCCTCGTGCGGACGTCCGCGGGCTCGTCGTAGCCCAGCAGTGAGTACACGGCCGTGGAGTAATTGAGCTTCCTGTATACGTGACAAAATTGCCTGAATCTTCCCTGTCATACCCCGTATTCCATACATTTGCACGACGGGATGTTTAATTCCCCGCCAAGTCCTAAATGTGATGCGAGACTGCACGCAGCATAAAGTTTTGTGCTAGCAGCAAACACGGAAGCATTCATCATTTAAAATTTACCCAAGTAAATAGAAAAAGTGACGCATTGCCAAGATAGAGTTGTCAATCTCTTAGGTTGATGGATCCCAGCAATATGTCCCCTACATCAAGTTAAACTCGACGTCGCCGTTTCAGCGTCGCGTGCACACTGTCTCCGCTTGACAGATCTTAATATAAATCAAAATGTATATAAACATGATCCACAGCAAACACTGTCTTCCGACTTCAATCCTTAACACCAGCGCTTACTAAGGTCAGTCCAGTTCTTGGCAGCTCATCAAAGTAACGACACGTGGTTAAGGGCAACCAACGTTCATGTTTCAAATAAGACGTGCAACTGAGTGTGAGCTGGGTCTATCAAAAGCTGAAATCGTGAGATCATTCTGTCTCCCACAATGGCAAAAGCGATGAAGGTCCATCCAGGATTCGAACCTGGGCTTACGGAAGTCCTTTAATGAAAACCATTATCAGAATCCGACGTCCTAACCAACTAGACTAATAGACCAGATAGAGCAAGTTCACACTACTCGGTGGGGATGACGCTCCCTTCCCAGAATTATGCTTATGGATTGTGGGTTTCGTGTGGGGAGAAGAATCTCAAAGCCCTCATTGTGGATGTGGTGGGGATCACCAGGGCCGGGGGGGCGGCTTGCCGCTTATGCGGGACTCAACTACACATTGCGAACTGCATGTTTCCAGTTCAGCGTCGCGGGATTCTGAGAATGTGTATTTAGAAATCAAATTCAGTTGCAATATGGATATCTTTACAGGCTTTCGACCCAGAGACTCGTCCAACTCTTGGTGGGCTTCGACTCTAGGCCGCTTTCGAAATGATACGTACTGCTTCAAATTATGGACATTGAAACTCGCCGCCAATACGGTAGATAAACAGACCAAAAGTCTCATCAGAGAGACCTTTGTCCATCTGCTTCCCTCTCCAGAGTGCAATACTTCAACACCCGCTCGTCTTGACATTAGTAGCAACACAAAGCTTGCCATCCGGACCCGTCGAAACCAGCTTCGGCTCCTTACCGCTATCATTCCCCTCAAAGTTCTGGCACACCTTTGCGCCGCCCAGGATGCATGAGTCCCGGATGGTGGTCTGGTCCTTCTGGTTCCCGTTGACGCCCGACAGGACTTTCCCGCCGTCGAGCCGGATATTGTCAAACGTCGAGAGCCGTGCAAACTGCCTCTTGCAGTTGCCACAGCTCCGGTACATTTTGCTGCAGTTCAAGCATAAGTAGTTCTTGACGGCCACGGTCCCGGCCCCGTTGTGCTGCAGGACTTTATCCTCGGCGTCCTGGGCGCCGCCGCCGTTGACGTAGGATGTGCCCGAGGCCTGGCGGAAGGTGATGGCGTCTTCGCATACTTTTTGGAACCAGCTGTTCGTTTTTTTGAAAAGTGTCAGTCAAGACGATATTACAAATACCAATGTGGTGTGGGGACAAAAGTTGAGGACTTACACGTTGTTGACGGTACAGCTGCCCTTGCAGTGAATACCCTCACCATTATTAGGCCCAATCATAACGTTACTAATCGTAGCCCCTTCTTCAAGAAGGAACACGGCGTCCTTGTCCCCGCCCTCGGTCTGGCCGCGGCAGGTACTCGGGCTCCGATCCCACATCACCATCCCGCCGTCAAAGGTCTCGCCCGCGGCAATGATCTTCACAGCGGCAATGTTCTTTGACCCCTTGGGCTTCGGGAACGTGGTCTGCAGCTCCGTATTCGTCCCGTTACCACTACCACCACCGCCACCGGATCCAGAACCCGGGGTTGAGGTACCCTTGGGCGCATGCGCTTTATCGCTCTTGGAGCCGCCCTTGTGGGACGTCTTGTGGGACGTCTTGTGTGACGTCTTGTGTGATGTCTTGTGCGACGTGTTGGAGCCGTCCATTGGGCAGGCGGTGGGCGAGGCGAGGCCGAGGGTGGAGAGGCAGAGGGCCAAGACGAGGAGGTTCTTTCGGATGTACATTGTGCTCCTGTGCAAAATGGACTTTTGAAATCAGATGATGGTGGTGGGATGGGGGAGGGTAGCGTTTTGGCTATGACAGAAAACGCTGGGATGAAGAGGCCTGGGTCTCAAATGGGGAAGATTGGTGGTGTTGATAGAACAAGCTGTTATATGAGACGACCCAGTCGTTTGGGTGTAAGAATCGAAGACGGGCGTAAAATGAAACGGAAAATAGAGCTTTCGTGATCAGAATGTTGACAGCTCTTGAAAGCTGCAGTGGTTGGTGATGGTCCGAATGCAAAACTAACAGACGAACGAACTCTATCCTCTTTATATTTCCCAACTCTTTGTCGATTCGACTGCCCCAGTGTCAATCTCAACGAACCCCTATGTTCCCCGTCCGCTCATGACAAGAATGAGTCAATCGGGCATTTTTGAGTTCGAGGTCAACAGTCTCGCGAGCCCGAGCTCGTGGGCAACGACCGCAATACGCTTCATTCTCCAGCGCAGCACGTTGGTCACCAGAATAGAAAAATCTATCCAAGAACGATAGCGCGCTTCACATAAGGTAGACGAACTGCGTAAATCGCACCCTTCCACAGTCGTCTGAAACCCGTGCGAATTAAGCTTTCATCTGGCAGAGGTATAAGGTAGGTAAGTCCAGGTAGACAGATCGACAACCCAAAGAGCCTCCCATCTGGTTGGTAAGGTACTATACAAGAGGGCGGGTTAACAATCAACTCAAAAAAAGCTTATACGAACGCCACCAATCAGCCTCATTCTCTGTCGAAACCCAGCACCATGGATGCCATCGGACAAAATCCCGGCAAGACGATCAATGCCCGTCTGATGTTCTTAATGCAGGACTTCTATCCTCCACGGACCTCCATCGCGTCCGAGACTGATCGTCCAACCAGGGTTACACCCCCGAGAAGAGCGAAAGAGCCATGAGCTGAAGCCACTCACAACTTGATTCTCGAAAAAGTTGGCTGAGTAAGTCAGGCTCGGAGTCGTGGGAAGTGACCGTTGACACACCGTTCATCTACTTCAAAAAGGAACGTGCATATTCTGAAGCAGATCCATCATCTTCTTCAAACTGCCTCTCTTTGGGTTTGGTCAAGATCCACCTCCCCATTCGCCATAACTCGGAGCGATTATCCGAACTAGTCGCGTCTAGTCCCCTCGTGAAAGGGAGCATGCATGATGATGCGGTGCCACACACATGCCATGCATTCTTCCATCGTCTATTTTACCTTATCTTACCTTGATCCGTGCCCCCCCTCCTTTGACGCCATCACTCCTGACTTGACTTAACCTAGCCTTCGCCATCATGCTCGGATGAACCACGGGCATGAGATTGTTGACCGTCATGCTGAACACTTCGGAACACCAGTCTCGCCTGCGTGGAAAGACTTTCAGATTTGTTTGTAAAACTATTTACTTGAATCAACTACCGCCTGCGCCATATTGTTCCATTTTCCGTCCCATCCTTCCCCTCGGCCTACCGCCCCCCCCCCCCCCCCCCCCCCCCCCCCCCCCTGGGGACCGCCCCCCCCCCCCCCCCCACCCCCCCCCCACCGGCCCGCCCCCCTCGCCCACCATCCCCTCCGCGGGACCTCTCCTTCTCCCCCCCCGCCCCCCCCCCCCCCCCCCCCCCCCAAATTACACCTCCTCGCGGGGTATTCGGACACCCATCACTACTCAAGCCCCGAAACGAGGTCACCTTCTTTGCTGAAATGAGCCTTGCTGGTACGGCCGTTGTTGTTGCTGCTGCTGCGACTGCTCCCTCCTAATCTGCCTCTCAAACCTCTTCCCCTCCGTCTTCGCATCCTTCTCCCCGTTCAGGCCGACCCTACTCAGCTCCTCCTTCACCATCCCTACAGCCTCAGCCACCACGTCACCGCCCCTTCGCCACGTGTACAACGCCACCCCGTGCGACTCCAAAACCCCCTGTGCCCGCTGCAGTCGACGCATCCACAGCTCGTGCTTTCTATTCGGAACCGCCGCTGTCGGCCCCAAGCTCGGGCTGCCGTAGGTCGGAGACGTGGACCCGGACCTGAGACTGCCCGTCTGGGTCCTCACAAATGTCGGCGGCTGAGCCTGCTGTGGCCGGGAAGCCGCGGACGGCGGCGGCAGCGCTTCAAAATCAATGTCTTCGTTGCCCGATAGTCTCCGGCGGCTGTCGACGCCTCGCGGACTTAGACTACGGGAACTGGAAGGGGTACCCCGACGTCGCGGCGGTGGAGGCGCCGGTGCGACTTTGCTCGTCTTACTCACGTCGTTTTGCGTCGTAGATGCTGGAATCTTGGCTGCACTCGGCAGGCTCCTGTTGCTTCCCACCGTCTGCTGAGATGAATTGTGCATTTGCGATAGAGGATGAGGTCCGCTCCGGTCTGCGGATGGCTTGCGAGCAGTCGGCATAGGGGGGGGCGTGGCACCCATGCTGTTGACCTTGATTGTGGGCACGTTTGTGTCAGAGGGAGCGCTGCGAAGGGCGGCTGGCTTGTTGGGTCGCGGCGGAGGGAGCTTGCGGCCGACGGCAAGATCGGTAGCACTTGACTGCGGCTTCGGCCTAGCCTGAGTCTGGACCATTGCAGCTGCATCGTGCAGCGTGGTTTCTTCGGGTTCATCTGAGAAGTCAATGAGATCGCCCATGACAGGCCCGACCGTCTTTGCCTCACCGCGTGGAGGAAGACCGGGGCGGTTCGTTGGGGCATCGCTCTTGTCTGTGGCCTTGGACATTGAGCCTCTCTGACGTGCGCCGCTGCTCTCGAATGATGTATCAAAGTACCCGGCTTGCTCGGGCGTCGTGACATCGCGGATGAAGATGGCGATGACACGCCCTGGATGCGCTTCGACCAGCTCTGTGTAAACCTCCAGATCAGCTTCGCCGCTGTCACCCACTAGCAGAAACCTGCGTTCGGGAAAGTCGTGCATGAGCCTAGTGAGGGTACTCTTCTTTCTCTCCGCCACTGGCTCGAAAATACCCTGGAGCATGCCGCTGTACTGCTTCAGATGAAGCGAGCCAGGAGGCAGGCCGGCAATCATGAAGTAACTGGCCAGTACCGGGAAAAGTTGCCAGGGACTGTTTGAGCAGTAGTGCATACTGACACCCATTGCGTGCAGCTCGTTGTACCATTCCCGAACACCATCCACCGTCAAGTCCTTGAGCTCACGGACGAAGGTGTTGCGGAAGATTTCCTTTGCACCATCCGAAATGTTGGAGCGCTTAATAGTGTCGTCGATGTCACTAATCAAGCTGACACCCTTTGGTTCGATGATCTTGACTTCCTGGGTTGCCGACAAGTCCTCGTTGGCGAGCACGCGGACGTGCGTAGGGACGAACTCCAAGGCGGCACGCAGGATGAAGTGGCCTGCGTCGTTGGTCTGCACAGTCCTAGACGCCGATTTCTCGTCATTGTAGAAGAATACAGTGATGGGCAGCTGGACCAGAGGTGTAGTCATAAACGGCGCTATTCTTGCCATGAGGTTGGCATTCGCAACAGACAGTTCGACATCGGTCAGATCGTTGCCCGTTGTGTTTTGCCTCGTCGGTGCCAACTTGGGAGAGCCGGGAGCTGTCATTGGCGTTTGCGTGCCACTTCGTGACCTCGATCTCGCGCGGTACATACTACTCGCATCGTCGTCGGATACATCCTTTGGCGCTTCGCTGAAACCACCCTGATATGCCACACGACGTTCTTCCTGGCCTCTCTTCTCGATTTCTGCTGCTTCCTTCGCAATTTTCTCTTGCTCTCGGCGCTCCTCGTGTGATTGGTGCAAGGCAGACAGGTTATCGGCTGGCGCAGGGGCATCCTGTCTCGGAGCCGGAATGCCACTTAGCTGGCGCGCGAGGCCGATGAGAATGCGGTTGCGCCGAGTTATCGGTCCTTTATGCGGGGAGTACACCCACCCCCTGACATCAATATCTACGATGGCTTTTTCGTCCTCATTACGCTCCCACTCTTTCCTCCAAAACTCTTGGTCCCTAACGCTGCCAGGCTCTTGCTCGGAGTGCTGTTGGTATTCGGCCGTCCAATCCTGCTTGACATGCCTCTTTGCGTACGATGGAAAGATGACCATTTGATCATCTCCCTGGACAGTGATGGCGACATCGGGGAATGATCCCGGGATTGTCGTCCTCGGCATGCCATCCCCCGGCTCCAAAGGCCGGGCCCGTGTCTGCGCATAGCCTTCCCTGATCTCGTTAACTCCGACCGCTGCGGCTCGATACACGCTCCCGGCCTTCGCAGCCAGCCATTTCCGCCGGAAACCTCGCTCGCCCGGGGTGGGCGTGTCTTCTGCCGACCCATATCCATAGCCATTACTGCCATTGCTGGCGCCTCCTGCGCCTGCTGCGCCTCCACTTCCGCCGTAGGTCGTCGTGTAGTCTGAGAAGGCGGGCATCTTCTTGCCTAAAGTGCCTCCTCGCTCCCTCGCATGCCGCTTCGGCCTGGCCAAGGGCGGACCCAAGAGCAGCCGGCGACTGTGTCGCGCAAAGACGTCGACGAGCCTGGACTTGTCGTTCCGCTTGCGCTGACGCTCGAGGATGTATCGGTAGATGCTAGACTGAAACCGGTGCTTAAGCTGCGGGAAGGTGTCGAGACGAAAGTTGAGAAGGCGCTCTCGGTATCGATCTCGTACGCTTCGCGGAAATAGGTATCGGAGGAGACTTGTACGGTTGTGAGGATGCGGACGCGGCGGACCAAGACGCCCGAAAGGAGCCAGCTTGTTCGTAGTTGTGCCTTGGACGGGAGGTCCAAAGACGATGGGAGCAACGGGCGCGGGACGGTCGAGGGTTTTGGGCGTTATGGAAGGGGAGAAGTTTGAGAGAGTCGCTCAGTTTAGAAGTCTAAGGTAGGCCAATGGGGCAAGACGACGGGTGCACGATGTACGAGGCTGGCAGGCGACAGCGTCTTCTGACCCCCACGCTCTACAGCTGATGAATGGACGACAGAGGGTGATGGAAGCACATGATCTCGCGCGGCTCTGGTGGTTGGAACGCTGGGGTGAATGGTTCGTGGTTAACGGAGCGGGAGAACGCGATGAGGTAGGGAGATGATGAGCTTGTGACTCGCGGGAGGGCGAGGTCTCAGAAAGTCAAGCTAAGCACCTTAGTTACGGTAGGCGTAGGTGCCGAAGCCGTGTGGGTTGGTCGGCACGTTGGGGCTTGAGGGGCAGATGCGACAAAGTGTCGGAAAGCGATTATGCGGAAATAAGCAAGCTCTCCACTGAGCTAAGGCATCCATCCCACATGCATCTCCAGGGCTCCTCTCTGTAGCCGAGCTGACAGTGCTGACTGCAGCCCAGCCCTGCAGGTGCGAGAAAAGGCCTGGTCGGGGACGTGCTCCGGGGCGAAACGGGTCATTACGTCATCCACACCCAAAGCTGAAGCTCTCCGGGCCGCTGTACCTACGAATACAGATAGCTAGCTGGCATGCTGTCAGGCTTTTCAGCACAGCTTCAGCACAGCTTGAGACGCCCTGTAATGATCAGCCGGGGACGACATTGCACAAATGCAACGTTGCTTGGCCCCCAAAAGTAAAGCACAGACTATCTAGTTAACCTACCTAACGTGCTTACCTACGTGCCTAGGTACCCAACACAGGTACCTTGTCTGGGGTGTAGATGAAGGGTATCCGAACTTGCATTACCCATGGTACCTAAGGTGATACTGTTACTGGAGCCAGAGAGCGGGTTCGGCTCGACACTTTTAACACCATTTTGGACGAAAACCCCTGCCAAGAAATGAAATGGTATTGGAACATGGTATTTTGGTCTAGACTTTTGGACACCGCAACACATCAAAATCACCTCTTCTGGCGCGCCAGCTTCGCCCTGGTCCTCCCCTTGGCCGGCACGTTCTTCTTCTTGGGCTGCTTCTTCAGGTTGAGCACCGCACCCTGCCCGTCGCGCTCCGCCCTGCCCTTCTTCCACACCTTGTCCTCGCTCCTCATCGACTTGGCGTCGAGCTTCTTCTTGTCCTTGTTGCTGAGCTTCGGCTTCTTGCCGCCCTTGGACCCGTTGAGCTCGTCGCGCCCCGCCGCCTTGGCCTTCTTCTTGTCCTCCTCCGTCTCGAACCATGTCCGCTTCGGCCGCGCCTTGATCTCGGCCTCGTGCGCCATAATGTTCTCGCCCTTCTTGAGCTGCATCTCGGCCTGCTGGAACTGCTTCTCCTGCTTCTCCTCCACCATAATCTCCTCAATCTCGTCCTCCATCTCGTCCACCTGGTCCTGCCACTTGTCCGCCTCCGTCGGCTCAATGACGCGGCTCATGATCTTGGCGCCCTGGGCCTTGCCGGCCTTGACCGCCGCCTTGACGACCTTGCGGTCCGGCTCCGCGGCCAGTGTAATGGCCACACCGGTTCGGCCGGCACGCGCGGTACGACCGACTCTGTGCACGTAAATCTCAATATTTTGGGGTGCTTCGTAATTAATGACTGTGTCGACGCCCTTGATATCGAGACCACGGGATGCAAGATCCGTCGCCAAGAGGTAGTTGACCTTGCCATCACGGAAGTTCTCAACACTGGCAATTCTCTGCAAAACTGGTTAGCGAGTATACTTGGCCGAGAGCCTTTTGCTAGATCTTACCTGGGCCTGGTTCATGCTACCGTGAAGCTCTGCGCAAGACAAGCCAAACAGTCCAAAGATAATTCTCGCTCGGTGGGCGTCCTTCTTCTGGCGGAAGAAGATGATGACACGCTCTGTATGCATGGTCTTGCAAATGTGCACGAGGTAGCCCATGCGCTTTTCCTCGCGACCGGGACGCAAGCGAACAAACTCCTGCACCAAGGTGGTGACGGTCTTGTTCTTTTGTGAGTCAACCATGACTCTGGCGGGCTTGTTCATGCCCACTCGCACCAGCCTGTCTACGGAAGACGTCATGGTCGCGGAGAACAACATTGTCTGTCTTGACTTGGGCAGGGTCGTTAGGATCTCGTTCAACTCATCGGCGAAACCGTCCTCGAGCATACGATCGGCTTCGTCGAGCACGAGAATCTCCACGGTGTCCACATTGAAGCTGGCAGAGTTCCTCATGTGGTCGATGAAACGACCGGGCGTGGCGATGATGACGTCTGGCCTCAGCCTCAGCTCGACCTCCTGAGCCTTGAGACTCAGACCACCGACAGCGAGGGTGAACTTGATGTCGGTGTATGCGGCGAGCTTGGTGGCGACAGCGTGACACTGGATAGCCAATTCACGGGTAGGGGTGAGAATGACCACACGGCTAGTAGGCACCTTCTTGGGCCTGTACAGAAGACGTTCGAGAATGGGGACCACAAAGGCGGCCGTCTTTCCGGAACCAGTGACTGCACCACCGACAACATCCTTGCCCATCAAGGCAATGGGTACAGTCTTGGCTTGAATAGGCGTGGGCTTGGAAAAGCCAACAGCGGCCAGACCTCTCAGCAGAGGACGGGACAGGGACATGGCCTGGAAAGATGATGCTGTATCCTTCTTGCCAGGTTTTGCCGGCTCTTCGGGAGCGAAGAAAGCATCGCGTTTCGCTTGCTCTTCTGCATCTTCCTCCTCTTCGTCGTCTGAGCCACGGTCGTCGGGATGATCCACGGGTGTCGCAACAGAATCGTTGTCGGATGCTGCGTCGTCATCTTGCTCGGCGTCTTCTGCATCGGAGCCCTCTTCGTTCTCGGCTTCAGAATCCTCGACATCAGGATCCACACCCATGCCGAAGGCATCGTCGGCCAGGACTCCGTCTTCGTCGTCGTTGAGGTCGATATCCACGTCCATGTCGTTGTCCACCTCAGGGTCTGCTGCGTCCTCCTCTTGATGCACCTGCGGCTTTTCCTCGCCGCCCTTCTTTGCCCGTCTTCGGCGAATGATTTCGTCCAGATCAACGCCAAGAGACGCATTGCTGTTCATGGACTTCTTTGCGCCTTCGAAACCCCAGCCCTCAAGCTCTGCGTCACCGAATTCGATGGCATTGTCTTGCGCAAATTCGAAGTCTGAGTCCATAGCACCATCGTCTTCGTCTTTTTGGCCCCAAATACCCTCGGCGACTTCTTGCTCCGGCGAGTCCTCCTTGGCGGCGGCCTTCTTCGATTTCTTGGTGGCCTTCACCTTCTTCTTTGGTGGCGGTGCCACGGCCTCCTCCTCGACTATTTCCTCGTCATTGTCGGAGATTGTGTGGACGAAGTCGTCGTCAATTTGCTTTCGCTTGTGAGAGGGCGCCATTTTGAAAGGTGGAATGCTCGTTGAGAGAAACAATTGTCGGGACCGCGGGGTATCGTCGAGCTTTCACACACGCCTGTCTAGTGCTTTCGCAGTTCCCAGAGCCAGAAATTTTTCTGGACGGACGGTGGAGCTAAACTTTTTCTGCCGTCTTCACAGACCATCCCCTGTCACAGGCGGTCAGACAGCCGGCGGTTGGCACCGCGTGGGGCCCCGAGACCTTTCAGGCTTACCTCACTTATCAGACGGAAGGAACGAAACAATACGTTCTGTCCTGGTACACGTGACGGTGTTTGTCATCAGCTCTAGTGGCAGGGGCAACTCCCGATAGACCCCACCATGGTTGATTGGGAGACCATTTTATTGGCAACAATTTTGGCAGCCATCACGCCGGGCGCCGACAAAGCAACGAGATTTAATTTCTGCCCTGTTGCTCTACAACTTGTCATTTTCGGTCCTAACCAAACTGGGCACCTTCCTTCTCTCCCACGTCTGCTTCTCGACCTCTCGACCATCATCACCACCACCGCGTCTCTGCTTGTTTCGAGCGTCGTTACGATTTTCCCTTTGACACCCCGAGCGCGCAGTCTTTTCCCGATTGTCATCAAAGTTCCAGCCGCAGAGGCAAACACACACATACAAGATGGGCGAATCCAGGTGGGCGAGCTTCCATCCCCTTCCATCGCGGTGCTGTGCGCAGCAGTATCTCAGACGTTTGCGCGTCGCAACTCTCTGCTAACACAGCATGGACTTTCTAGACAAGAACTCATCCAGTGGCTGAACCAGTTGCTCTCCCTCAACATCACAAAGGTCGAGCAATGCGGTACCGGGTAAGTTACTGATCGGATACCCCTCCCCCGCCATGTGTTTATTGTGGGACCCTTGATGATTTTGACGATGGTGATTGCTGATGTTTGACCCGATCTGCAGTGCAGCGCTCTGCCAGGTGTTTGACAGCATCTTCATGGATATCCCCATGTCCAGAGTCAAGTTCAACGTCAACAGCGAATATGCGTACATTCAGAACTTCAAGGTGCTGCAGAGTAAGTTTGCGCCATCCTACCTCTACGTCCACCTCCCCCCATCGGCACGGAAGAACAGTCACGGCTGACGAGATCTTGCTTGAACAGACTGCTTCCAGAAGCACCAAGTCGATAAGCCCATCCCCGTCGAAGCGTTGGTCAAGTGCAAGATGCAGGACAACCTCGAGTTCCTGCAATGGACCAAGAAGTTCTGGGACCTGAACTTCCCCGACCACGAGTACGACGCAGTGTCCCGGCGAAAGGGCGCCCCCGTGCCTTCTGGTGGTGGTCCCACTCCGCGTGCCGCGTCCGGTACCGGTGCCGCTGCCAGACGGGGCGGAACCACACCCCTCGGCGGTGCGCGTGTTCCCAAGGCGGCAGGCCCCGGCTCAGCTGCTCTGCAGCAAGAGAACGCCACCCTCAAAGAGACGGTTGTCGGCCTCGAGCGCGAGCGTGACTTTTACTTCAGCAAGCTCCGTGATATCGAGCTCCTGGTGCAGCAGGCCGTGGAGGAGGACCCCGAGCTTGAGAAGCAGGAGGACGGCCTCGTCAAGCAGATCCAGACCATCCTGTACTCGACGGAGGAGGGTTTCGAGATTCCGGCCGAGGGCGAGGCTGTCGACGACCAGGAGACCTTTTAAATCGGGGGCTCCGACGACAGGGCGATGGTACAGATGGAAAGGTTATTTTGGTGGATGGGGTGAGTGTTGTGTAAGGGGAGTCCAGAGGTAAAAGCACACATGGGTTTGGCGCTAGTACAAATACCCTGCGGCACGTAATAATCAGTATACCGGCGATGAGGCTGAGCGGCCCTCGGACTGTCGAGACAGAAGTCGGTCAGAGCTTGCGGCAGTCCCGTCCCACATGAGCAGTCATGATAGAATCAAAACGTTTTGTCTGGGAGCCTCGAGTCATTGTAGGTGGGTGGCACAAGGAGAGTCTGAGGCCTTGAGCCCACGGGTCCGAGATTGCATTCCAATACGGCTACGCTGTCTATTTTGAGCGTGATTTTGATTCTGTATGGCTTCAGAGTCGCAGCAAGTTTTGGCCAGCGAGTAAGCCTGCAGGTCAGTCCTAACGTCTACACTTGTTACAGAATAAAAGTCTGATGCCTGAGAGTTACACATAACTATACCTACGCTGAGCATAACCTACTAGGAGCATAATAGCATACTATCATTACCTGCTATCCAAATACCTTACGGTGGGATGGTTTGCAATTTGAATTGTGACTGTTTTCTTCATTGAACCATTGATTTCTATAGCAGTTTATTGATTGACTACCAAGAAACAAATTCCTACATGGATTTGCATTGGATTGCATGGTGCATTGCTATGTGAATCGTTCCAGCAGCATGCGTATTGGTCACTGTTGATCGACCGGTTTATTGGATCGGCCTGGACTTGTCAGCACCGCCCAGTTCCTGGCCTGAAAGACCAGGTGCCTGAGAAAGCGAGGTGCCTAGCTGAGGATGACCCAGAAATGCGGTCATTCCGGTTACCGCCCCAATTTAATGGTTCCGCGCAATGCGCCACACAGGTAGCGCACACGACCAGCAACGACCGCTCTCTTCCAGTGCCAAAACTGCTACCTAAGCCCACTGGCAGGCTACCGTTTAGGAAGCTGGAAGGGACAGGGGATCTCAAAGCAGCCCGTGCTGCACAACCAACTGGCGCTGCCTCGACCTAGAAACCTGAGGTGACCACCGGCTGATCTACCTATCCCTCTCTCTTTCTCTCCGGACGGTGGAACGGAGTAGAGACGAGAAACTCAGACATTCCCCCGAAACCTTTTTGGGCCTGACGCAAACAACTGCTGACCAAGGCCATCATTCCGAGCAACAAACGCAAGACTACTTGACCAGCACGGCGGCTGCCTTCTGTTCTTTTTGCGGCCACAGCATTCGCTCAACGTCATCTCGACCTCCTCTACAAGAGCAAGAGAAGACCTTGAAGATCAAGCAAAACAACAGATTCGAGATTGATTGCCTCCATCTTCCCAAGTCACCATCGACAAGGGGGGCTACGACATAAACGCCCAGCTCGTCCGAGGCTTTCGCACCTCGTCCAGCAATCCCAATCTTCTCATCACTAAGAAGCAAAAACAAAACTCACTCCTCTACACATCTCTCGCTTCGAGCACGGCACAGCACCGTCACCATGGCGCCTCCCGCCGAGATCTCCATCCCCTCAACCATCCTCTCGACCGGCGAATCGAAACCCTACACCCTCTACAACATCACTCTCCGCCTCCCCCTCAAATCCTTCGTCGTCCAAAAGCGTTACTCCGACTTTGCCGGCCTCCACCAGACCCTCACCTCTCTCGTCGGCGCCGCGCCGCCCAACCCGCTCCCGGGCAAGTCCTGGTTCAAATCCACAGTCTCCTCCCCGGACCTCACAGAGCAGCGCCGCCAAGGGCTCGAGTCCTACCTCCGCGCCATCGCAGAGTCCCCCGACCGCCGCTGGCGCGACACCTCGGCCTGGCGCACCTTCCTCAACCTCCCCAGCACCGGCGTCGGCAGCACGGGCAACTCCTCCGCCAGCGCCCACGGCCTCATCACCAGCGGTCGCGCCGGCGCAGCGGACCCGACGACCTGGCTCGACCTTCACCGCGAGATGAAGAGCTGCCTCCACGACGCGCGGAATCAGCTTGCGAGGCGTGATGGCGCCGTCGACAGTAACAATACCTCCGCTGCCGCTGAGGCCGGAGCCGCCGCCAAGAAGGCGCTGGTCAAGGCCGGGACGCTGGTGAGCACCCTCACGGACGGATTGAGGGCCATGCAGGAGGGCGGACGGCTCGGAGACGGCGAGCTGCGGCGCAGGAGGGACCTGCTGTCCTCTGCACGCGTCGAGAGGGAAGGGCTAGACAAGCTCAGTAACAGCATGGCACAAGGAAGCAGCAGGAACGGCGGCGGCGGACCCGGCGGACGGGAAGGGTGGGCCTCAGCGGGGGATAAGGCGGCGTTACTCGGGAGAAGCGGCGGCGGTGGGGCTAGGACGGGCGGACGGGTCCTGGGGGCCCCGCTGCCGGAGACGGAGCGGACGAGGGAGCTGGACAATAACGGGGTCGTGCAGCTTCAGCGGCAGATGATGAGCGAGCAGGACGAGCAGGTCAATACGCTGGCGGCGATTGTGCGGCGGCAGAAGGAGATTGGACTGAAGATCAATGAGGAGGTGACGGAGCAGACCAAGATGCTGGACCGACTCAACGATGACGCCGACCGGGTCGGGGGCAAGATTGACGTGGCCAAGAAGCGGATCAAGAAGTTCTGACGGGTCGGAGGGTGAATTGTCTGTGTCGGTGACGGTGCCTCGACCTGCAGCAGCAGCAGCAGCAGCATCACCATTGGTGGTCGCAAGTGGCTTCGCGGCGAGAGCCGTCGTGGCCGTGCTCGGTGTCGTCGTGTGGTTTCTTTGGTTCGGCGGGCGGGTACTAGATGCTTTTGCGTGGTGCCTGGAGTTTGGTTCCGTTTTTTTGGTCGCGCGGACTCGTCGATGAATTGCTCGACGGTGATTTTTGAGGGAGTTTTTGGCTTCCAGTATAACGACGTACGTACGCGAGTACGAAGGTTCGCATTTACATACTCTTCAACAATAGCGATTTTGGTTGTTCCTCCCCACCCATTTCTTTTCTATTTTTCCAACTTTCCTTTTGCTTCCCAGTTGAGAATGGAAATACCAGAGTACGTTACCTAGGCAGCTCGAGCATACTTTCTATCCAGATTGATCCTTGGTTCCTTGACGGCCTCAATGTGCGCGTGGAATAACTACATGTACACTTTCGAGAATGTTTTGAGGAGGTTCATGCTAGTGCTGTTCGCCAAAATGATGCATTCAAAAGGCACAGGTACTACAGTTCGAGGCACAAGAGTCATTCTCAGTGATGCGTGAGGCATACATACACTCGACGGCCTTATCAGATGTGCCATTGGACTTCAGTACTCGTTGCAAACACATTGTCATCAAAGTCCAGGGGGATCCGAAAGCCAAAGCAAGCAATTCTAAGCAACTGGAAAGAAGGCGGGATCCTCATAGAGAGGTCCGATTGTCTTTTTAATCCGCCAATACTTTGGAAATGAAGACGCTGTCTCGAGTTGGCGTGCCGACATTGCTGTGTTCATAGGTAGTTGATGATTCTTCCGAGCGCTAGTAGCACTTCGTGAGGTGATCAACAAAGATGTGTGGTTTAGGCACATCACAATTCAGTAAGTAAACACAATCGATTCCAATCTCGACTCTTTATCGAGGAGTGATCTCCTTCAAACAGCTCCCCGGCCAAAACAATGATCTTGTGTGAGGTATACGATGCGCCAGTCAACGTATGGACTTGATTGCCAAACGTTTCTGACGGTTCTTGCAAGTCCGTCATCACACTGCGTGACAGGTCACCCCCAGAGACGGATCTGCCGCGAAGCTCTAATAGAGCCGCTCCAACAGCACAGTTTGCATTGGGCGCTGACTTATGCCGCCGTCATTTCTGCAGTGGTTGTGCTTTCCCAAAACCAGGAGATGGAGTATTCGTAGCGACGCGACGGTGTTTCCGCGCCGGACCGTTCCTCGTGCATATGCAGACGGCGGTTGCTTACGGACGGGGACACCCCTGCCTGTATCGAGCGCTGAGTTGGTTGCATGCAGCTGACTGCAGCTGCCGTCACATCTCCCGTTTTCGCGAAGAAGGAATGTGAAGCAAGTGGTTATTGGGCGACGAGACCGGGGAAGGGGGAATATCAACGTCGCTGCATAACCCAGTGAAGCCATCGTCAGTTGGCTGCCGTCTCAACGCCTTGACTCGAGAGACCCAAACTCTCTTTGTGGGTGTGGCTGTCCAACTCGTGTATCCGCAAAGCCAAAGGTTGCCGGCCGGCAAGGCGCGCCAAAAAGACGTTTAGCGTGGCACATTGTGGCCGCGTCCACTTGGTGACATTTGATACGTCACCCGAGCGCCGGGATGGGGCACACGGTGCAAGGGACTTCCCGCGGTTGCTGGGCAACGAGAGCGACCACCGTTTCCGAGAAGGGAAAAGTTTAAAAGTGTGAAAGAAAAAACGTCAAAGAGGAAGAGAGAAAGCCTCCTGCTCCACAACGGCCGCTGAGTCTCAGATGAAATGACGGTGCAGTGTCACAATTGGCGCCCAACGGTGCCCTGCTACTGAGGCTGGTCGTACTCGAGCCCATCGAGTTGCTGAACCTCATCGACCCAAGGGAGTCCCAGTGAGCCGGGCGAAAGAAGATGATGAATATCGAGGTGGGTGCAACGGTGCGGGACTGGCGGAGGTCGTGTGGACTCCGCGCATGATGGCTCTCTCCTCTTTTCCCCCTCCTCAAGTCCTCCTCTTCCGCATCACCCTCCGACACCCAAAGTGGATGTGCTGGCGCCGAGGGGCCTACCAGGGGTGAATAGCCTCAAGACCCGCGATTCGCTGCCATGGCGTCCGAGGTGGACCTTTCCCCCAGTGATTGACCGCTCGAAGAGACCACAGACGACTCGGCGAACAGCCTGTCATAGGCAGGAGATTGAGCCAATTCTTGGGATTGGACCGTCGAAAGAGGGGAGGAGGGTCTTGAAAGTTTGCGGTTTGCTCGATCGAGCTGGGTGGAGAGGGTCTTGGTGGGCTCGGCAACAGCAATTTGTTGTGATGATCTGTTAGTGATGAGTGGGCGAGGGCCGCTTGCCGTCCATCCGTTGGCTGATATTCGTCTGATATGATGGCGAGGGGCGGAGGAAGAAGACGAAGCCCATATCATTGAGCACAGCAGGTAGAATCTGAATGTCTAAGTAATCGAAGAAGGAGGGAGGCTATCGGGCTTGTGCCACGGATTGGGAGCGGTGGCTGGAGGTTGGTCATCTGTTGGTTTGATTTTTTGTCTCAACTTTTTCAGGGTCTCTCGGCGTTGCAAGGAATATCCTCTCAGCCATGAGGTGGAAGCTGGGATGGCAGTCTCTTCCCGATGAACGCTCAGTTGGCATTCCAGTCCGGCCAAGGTCATTACCCCAGCTGGTCTCATGCAGGTGCAACGGGTAAAGAACAAAAGGTTCGAAGCTAACGAACTGAAAGTAGTGATCAAGGGGAATAAGGCTCTGGTTGGAATGCAGAGAGAAGAAGATAAACGCATCTCTGAGACATGCAATGGTCCGCCCAGCTGGTGGCAGCCGCTGCCATTCGGTATAGGGTCTGGATGTCCGAGTGCCTTCCTGCCTCTAGCTCAATTCGCAGCTGTCAAGATGTCACCATTCCCTCGCCTAAGAGAGGTCAGTGTGTTAAAATGGGTCTCTTCTGGCAACAAACAGGGTCCTTCTTGTACACTACCTTACTCTTACTGCCTGTCAGTGCCCTGAGGTAAGGTACCTTAGGGGACGTTTGTACGTACTGTCAGCCAATAGCGCCCAGTTACACACCCCCAACTTTTGCTCCCCTAATCCCACCACCACCGCCTCTGCACCGGTCGCCCATGGGAAATTCCCAAAGTAAACACAAAAGAATTCCTGGCCCCTTCTCGTCCCCTTCTCCGTCACTTTTCTCTAAACACCACCACCAAACTGACCTCCACCAGGAACGGCGCCGTGTCACCAGACAGCTCCATTCCCTCCATATTTGCCTTGCTAACCAACAGGGCAAGTTCCGGAACAACAAGACTATTTTTGTCTCAGCCCTTTTCCTCGCGATCGGACACAATTCAAGGACCAAGCACCAAGCACCCGCCACCTGCAAAAAAGCGCAAGGCCGGAGCGGGAAGACACGATTCATTGAGCCCAGGCACCAAGCATCGACACCAAATACCTCTCAAGTCCCTATCGGATCCTTCTTTGCTTTGACATCTTGGTCTCTTACCGTATTTTTCCTCTTGGCTTCCGGCGTTTGTTTTTCCGCATTGTTGCTTGTGAGTACCTTATTACAAACTCCTTTGCCCTACTCTTATTTCCCTTCTTGTTGCTAGTCGTCCCAACACACCTGCTTGTCATCCAGCTACCACATAGCGCATATCTTTGCTGCTTCAAGAAGAAGAAGAAGGGAAAATGCTCATGGCTCCTTTGCAGGCGCTTCACGACTTAACGACCGTCAATGGACCTCCTGAGATACCACTAGACTTCTGCTTGCTTTATCAACCTGAGCGAGACTCCAGGTCTCCAACAGAGCTCCAGAGCTCTACTTCAAGCATTGGGCATTTCCCGTCCGCAGCACCACTCTCCACCAAGAGGTGAGGTCCGCTCGATATGAGCGCTCCTCCTCCGCCCCCGCCCCATGGCGAGGCACCCAAAACCACTGCGGGCTCTCCTCCTCCTGGCAGTGGCCTGGGCCCCGGCAATTACGACATATTCGTCATTCCTCAGCGTGACAAGGGCGGCGGATTCATCTACTTGCCCTCCTTGGCACCCAACGGCCCTAGCTTTGCCGCTGGCTTCGCCTGCGCTCTTGTCCTCGTCGTCATGTTCCAGAGCATGGCGCCTGCCTTTAAGGCATGGTGGTTTACCTACCAAGGCATGGGAAACATGGGGATGGCCCTGCTTGTGATAGCCGTCGGCGTAGGAGCGTGGGCTTGGGGAAAGTCGCAAAACCAGGGTGCTTCTACGAGTAACGGCTCGAATGGCTACCGCCCTGGTCCCGGTGGCTTTGGCTCAGGCGCCAACTTCAACAGCAGCTACGCGAATGCTGGCCCGCCTCCGCCTCCGCCGCCTCACGGCAACCAGTATAACGGCCCTCCCCCGAATAGCCCGCCGCCCAACCACGGCGCGGGAAACGGCGGGCCTAGATCTCAATGGCAAGAGCGACCTCAGCCTCCACCCCCTCAGGAACCTGAAACTGAACCTGAGCCAGAGCCGGAACCTCGGAAACCAGATCCTCCTCCGAAACCAAAACCTGATCCGTCGAAGAACACCTGGGAGAAGGCACGGGAGGAGACGAAGAAGCGCGAACAGGAGCGTAAGGCCAAGGAGGAGGAAGAGCGCCGCAAAGCAGAGATGACACGGAAGCTGAGAGAGTTCCGCGAAAGAGAAGCTCGAGAACGAGCAAGGAGGGAGAAGGAGGAACGCGAAAGACGAGAGAAACTGGAGCAAGAGATACGTGAAAAGGAAGATTTGAAACAAAAACTTGAAAAGGAGCGTCAAGAAAGAGAGAAACTCCAGCGCGAAAAGGAAAAGGCAGAAGAGGAAGCCAAAGCCGCCAGAGAACGTGAAGCAAAGGAAGCAAAGGAGCGAGAAGTCAAGGCCAATAAGGAGAAGGAGGACAAGGCACGCGAAGAGGCCCGTAAGAAGGAGGCAGCCGAAGCCGCCGCCCGCAAAGCCCGTGTCGAGGCGCAACTGGAAGCCTTTCGAAAAGCGAAGAGGGAGCGCGAGGAAGCAGAAAAGGCAAAGAAGGATCGCGAAGAGGCAGAAAAGGCCAAGAAGCTGGCCGAGGAGGAAGCAGCCCGCAAAGCCAAAGAGGAAGCAGCACGCAAGGCCAAGGAGGCCGAAGAAGCCGAGAAGGCTCGCAAGGGAAGTAGCTATGCCTACTCGTCCGGCGAGAAGACGAGTATGTGGCCGAACGGCCGACCCCCCGCTCCCCCCACGACGGCTTCGACGCCGCCGAGACCTCCCCCTTCCGCATCGTCCGCTCCCCCGAGACCTCCCCCTTCTGCTAGCTCCATGCCACCTCCAAGGCCGGCGCCTTCCGCAGCTTCATCATCGAACACGGCCAGACAACCGCCGCGACCGTCGGCACGCACTGTTGACGAAGACCAATACTCGTATCGACCATACGACAAGCCGAGACACCGACCCGCGTCATCAGTCGGCTCCGAGTCATCGTGGGCCCCGTCGGCAACCACGACAAGAACAACGCCGCCGCCTAGCATGCGCGGCCCTTACACGACCAAGGATCCCGATAAAATTGTCATCAGAGCCGTCTACCTGTTCATGAACCAGTTCGCAAAGACGCCTGCAAGCCAGCTCATTTCGGGGTTTGGCACAGTGACCGACGGGCTCATCCTGCGAATCACGACCGAAGGTCTCTTCATCGACGACGACGTCCGCGGCGTCCCTCAGCGCGAGTGGGACGTCAAGGCTTGGACGCTAAAGCTGGTCGAGGTATGGTGCCCCCCGCACTGCTTGAATTCGAATGCTGCTTCTGCCCCTGCGATGAATTCCGCGAACCATCCTTCGGGTTTGTTTCAAAAGATGGCGAATCAGCGAGCCCGTACGGCGGACCGGGGAGCCACCAAGACGCTCACGGGCGACGAAGCCGATGCCTACCTGACCGAAATGTTGCGTGCTTGCAAGAGTTGCTGTCGTCTTGGCTTGTGCGACACGAAATTCAAAGATACTAACATTGCATCTTCGTCCGGACAGACTGGAGAGTGGAAGACAAAGAGCCTGCACGTGCTGCGCGCAACAGTCCGAGACCAAGAAGGCAAGCGATACATGTTTGTCTTGGATGAAGAGGAAGCCTGGAAGGTAGCGGTGGGCGTGCAGCGGTTGCGTAAGGGCACCCAGGTGCGCTCGCTGGGTGTCAGCGGCATGAGCGCGTCCGATGCGCGCAATACGCTCGAGACTCTCGGCTGGTCATGAGGCGGTTTGCTTCGGACTATTTTGGTGCGAACTCCGATTCGAGTCTATACCTTGTGTTATGGGCGATTTGAGTCCGCCTTTGTCGATATCATAATGCGCGTGGCCGGGAGATGGAAAGTCGGCAACGGACAGGCAGGCAAGGTTGTTCTTTCTTATACAACACTGTTGAGGGGTCGATTCGATGAGGGAATGTGCCAGTTGCGTTGGCATTTTCGGTTTACGTGGAATTTGGTTGCATAGCAGAGCGCGGAACGGTCAAACATTCCAGGAAAAGCTGGGACAAAAACATTGTCAAGTGATCTTTCAACAGCATTGATGGCCCGGCTAGGCACATCCCAGGATACCTCAAGTTGTCGAACACTCCACGCACCTCTCAGCCTGACGACCCTACCTACCCACGGGGTTAGCAGTGCGGAAGATGCCGATGAGTTTTGACTAATGACGATACGACTTTAAGTTTTCAATGACTAATTGTTTGATGTTGCAAAGTGAAGAAACTAGTGCCAACGTCTTTGAGGACTGTCAAACACGAATAATGAGGTTGTCAACTGGAGTCGAACCGGAACACCGACCGGATTGAGAGTAATTATAGGCAGGGCCTATCTTGCCGCTGGGGGCTGGGATATTCCTTGCGGGACTTATCTCGCCTTTCCAAGTCGCTCCGGGATCAGCTCTGAATACTTTGCACAGCGATTCTAGGCGGAAGAAAGATTTGTCGGAAAATGAGCAGTCTATGACTGGCCCTCCTTGCCAACAGTTCTTCTTCACTCAACTCCAACAAGCGGGAGATACTGAACAGTACATAGCATGCCCCACGTCACGTAAACATATTGAGTAATGGTTCGGGCGAGCCGTCTAATTGTAGACTTTTTCTTGCCTTATCTTTTATCTCTCTGTCTGATGGGCCGACGGATAGTTCTTCAACGATCGGTGAGCGCCTCCCGGCAGTAGAGCCCCGCAAACTGCAGAGTGCCCTCCGTATCGCTATCGGCATTTGCAATCACTAAACCCCCACTTGGACACTGCAAAACAAAAGCCGACGCAGGGAAGCAAGACTGGATGGAGTCTGGAGGTATTGGAGATGAGGGAGAGGGGGGCGTCTCTCTGCAGTGGCAGTCGGCCAAGGGCATGACCGACTCCGACTCGTCATAAATCTTGGCCGCATCCAATCTGCCTCGCCCAGCAGTGTCGTCGGTCTTGCTCATCTGCCTGTCGAAGCTAGAGTGCAAGTGGCGTAGTCTACTACAGCCTCGAGAAACGATTCACGCATGGACCTTGGTTTAAAGCTATCAAGGTTTAGACCTAGATCCAACAGCTGTTTATGGTTTTGGGTGTCGGATCGGTTCCGACAGAGTTTATCGGCTCACAGGAGAGACACGAGGACGATGACATGGTGTGTCCTTATTATTATTCGGGGGAGGGGTGTGGGGGGTGGGGGGACCGCCGTGCCGGGAATCTTGCGTTCGCCGAGCTCGCTCTTGAGTCTTGGGTTTCTGTTCCCCAGCTTATGACGTCCCACGATGAGATGGGACTCAAGCTGCTGCTCCTTTACTTTCAGGTATTCGCATGTCCACCGAATCTTTCTATGTTGTAATGGTGAAATGCAACTGTCAGTACCAGGTTCTATGCGGGGCCAGCCACGGCCGACAACTTCGGCTTTGGCTTAAAAATGCTCGGGGCCCGGGGAAACTGACGCAACTCCCGACATCGGCCGTGAGTTTCTGATAATCAATTCGTGAACCGGTTCCGGCTCTCAGACTCTGCAAGCTAGCGAAATGGAATGCATGCATAGCCTCCGCGGAGTCCTATGATAAGCAGCCAGGGTTGAAAAAAAAGTATACTTAAGTAAGTATTAGGCAGTACTAATACTAATAAGTCTAGTTTTAGGGTGGACTAATACTAGGCTAGTTTAGTTTTGATATATGAATAAAATATTAATTCTAGTCTAGTATACTAATAACTTATTAATAATATTAAATATATTACGTAATCACACTTTAAAATAAGTAAATAATAATAATATAATAAATTAAATTAAAGTTTAAATAAATTATCACGTAATTATTAATTTAAATAACTTTTTATATATAATTATATAATGAAAAAACTTTAAATAGTATACTTAAGTATATTAAAGTATATTAATATTAATTTATATAAAATTAATACTTATTAATACTAGACTTAGTATTGACTTTTTGTACTAATACTAGACTTGCTTAAGTATACTTATACTAGACTAAATACTAGTAGTATTTTTTGCAACCCTGTAAACAGCCATACCCACCGAAGGGCACCCGTCAAAGTCGACCGAATCAGATAAGCCTGTCTGCATAATGAGCATTATTGCTTTCTGGCAATGGTCCTGTTTCTGGACAATTTGGACCTAACCCAGGTTCCAAGGCACGAATAGACAGAGCGCAGAGATAAACCTGCGCTGGGCAAGGAAAAGGAAATCCCTCCACCGAAGGAACCTACCGTTCAGATATGGGTAATTGGTCATCTTGATTGGAAGTTGTGCCCCAGAATGAATTCACATTCCTCATATAAGAGAGATGTCGCATCCACTACGTCCAGCAGGCTACTATGCCAGGCCAGAAACCGGCGTAGGAACTGAGACTTCAATACCCCAGCGTCACTCCTTGCGATGAAGGCATTCGCACTCTTGGCGCTCGTCGGGGCCGCCGCCGCCGAGCTCACTTCGACCGGCGCGTCCCTCAAGCTCAACGACGTCTACTACTTCGTCTCACCCTTCTCCCAGGGGAAGCCCTCAAACGGCTCTTTCAACATCAAATCCCTCCCCCGCGCCTTTGGCTTCACTCCCGTCACTGTCGTCTCCGACCCCGTGCCCCAGGACGCCCTCCAGTCCCTCTTTGCCAACTGGACGAACCAAGACGATGTCTGGCAGACCGCCTTTCTCAGCACAATCTTCCTTGCCGGACTTGACAACCCATGCCTGACCAAGGCCAGCTACGATGGCAGCAACCAGACGCAGTCCATCGTCGTACCCTTGACTAATAAACTCCCCTCGGGACCCTACTTCCTCGACACCCACACTGGCGACGTCTACCAAGCCTTCCGCCTCTACCCGGACTACGCCGGCGCCTTCTCCGAATCCCTCCTCCAGACCCCAGACAACACATTCCAGACCCTCTCCGCCCAGGTCCCCGCCTCCGCCTCTCTCACAGTCGGCGTTCCCTCCCGCCTGTACTTCACCCGCACCCCTGCAAAGCCCCTCGCCGGCGTCCGCGTAGGCGTAAAGGACATTTACGCCCTCGCCGGCGTGAAAGGCTCAAACGGCAACAGGGCCTGGTACGCCCTCTACCCCCCCGCGAAATCCACGGCACCCGCGATCCAGAACCTCCTCGATGCGGGTGCCATCATCGTGGGCTACCAGAAACCCTCGCAGTTCGCCAACGGCGAGACGGCGACGGCGGACTGGGTGGACTACCACGCCCCCTTCAACCCGCGCGGCGACGGCTACAATGATCCTTCCTCGTCCTCCTCGGGCGCGGGAGCGTCCATAGGTTCCTACCCCTGGCTCGATATTGCCGTCGGCAGCGACACGGGCGGCTCGATCCGCGGACCGTCGGCCGTGCAGGGACTGTTTGGCAACCGGCCTTCGCACGGCATCGTCGCGTTGGACGGCGTGATGCCGCTTTCGCCCACGCTCGACACGGCCGGGTTCCTGACGCGGGATCCATATGTCTGGGACGCGGCGAGCAAGGCGTTGTACGGGACCAACTATACCTCCTTGGTGGGAACCGAGGCGAAAGTGACGTATCCCAAGACCGTGTACACTGTCGACTTTCCCACCGACGACGGCGCCGCCGCGCGCATGCTGAACAAGTTTGCGGACGACCTCGTCGCTTTCCTGGGGACCGAGCTGACGGCGCTCGACTTGTCTTCCGCCTGGGCGGACTCTGGTCCGGATGCGGTGCGGAATCAGACCCTGGACGAGGTCCTTGGTCTGACCTATGCTACGCTCATTACCAAGGAGCAGACGGCGCTCGTGCGTGATCCGTTTTATGCTGATTATGCCGGTAAGCTCCATTCCTTTTTTTTATGCCTCCTTCTTTTCCCTATTCTTGCTTTTTCTTCAAAAAGAAGAACCTCCCCCCCGCAATATCTCTTTTCCCCATAGTCCCAGAAAGCACTGACTAAAACATCAAACTACTCCCAGCCGCCCACGACGGCCGCCGCCCCTTTGTCAACCCCGTCCCCCTCGCACGCTGGGGCTGGGGCGACACGCAACCCGCCACCGCCCTCGCCGACGCAAAGGCAAACAAGACCCTCTTCATGGACTGGTTCAACACCGAGATCCTCCCCCCAGCCACGGCCGTCTCCAACGTCTCGTCGTCCGCGTGCACCTCGGGCCTCCTCCTCTACGTCGGCTCCTCTGGCCGCGCGAGCCCGCGCAACAGGTACCCGACGAACACGACCCCGACCGTGCCGTTGGGCTTCTCCAACGGGCGGCTGAGCGTCTTGAGCGGCGCGCCGGATCACGTCTTTCCGCTGGGCGAGGTTGGGAGCGTGAGTTCCGTGACGAATGCTACCGAGATGTTGCCTGTTACTGTGGATGTCATGGCGGCTAAGGGGTGTGATGGGATCATTATCAGGCTTGCGCAGGATCTGGTGGGTGCTGGGATTTTGAAGGTTCCCCTGGCGGGTGGCACGCTTGCTGGGGGGGAGGTTTTGTTGAGGAGGGATATTGAGGAGTGGCTTTGAGGGGGATCAAAGGTTTTTAAGACGGTGAGTGGAAAGGGGTTTGGAAGATGATGTAAATAATGTAGATGATGTAGACGATGATGCCCTACCTATCTCCCAGTAATAATGATAATGGATGATGGATACTTACACGGAACGATATTCTTTGAGGAAAAGTTTTTTGAAGACGTTGCCTTTGGATTTAGATGGCTCAAGTATCGGTTGTCTCTGGGTAGCTACGTATTCCAAGGACTAAACCTAATGCCTTTGCCGCGATCCAGGGATATGGCTCAAAGTCGGCGTGACGCAAACAGTATATCAAGAGAGAGAAGGAGAGAGTGTGGACGCGCCAACTACACAAAACTCCGCAGGGTTTCAACTCTCGACAGTGACGGTACCGGCCACGCTCTCCATAGAAGTTGGAGCTCACAAAGGTATTTGGCGAACGCTGTATGCTTGGAAGAAAGAAGACCGTGCTGATCTTGATCAGTGCCTGTTACAGAGACCGAGAGACACAACCGCGGCCAACCTGCCAATATACCGTGGATAGAAGAGGGACAATGCTAAATGCTTAATTATAAGGCATCATCAACATTGAGAATTATCTTGATGTTTTGTTGTTGTCGGTATAGAACGAAGCAGGTTCGCGCTCCTTCTAGATTAGAAGAGTAAAGTTAATTTAGGTACAGTTCCCTCCAAGCTCCACTATGCTAGGGGACGACTTCAAGTCTTTGCGACTACGAATATGATCTACCTACCCGCCTCCGTTGTTATTTCTTCTGCATTAGAGCAGTCGACCTAGTCTTTTTGTGGTGCAATTACCTGTTTGAATAGTTTGCGCACTTGTCCCTATTCAGCAAGGTCGCATCTTGTCCACCTTGCTCACCAAAGGTCAGAAAGAGAGAGATATGGCCGCACTTGGATCTCAAATTGATGCCTCAGACTATGAATGCTTGTCGGGAAGTTTACTTACATCAATACCAGCAGTTGATGGTGTCTAGACGGCCAAGTTAGTTTTGCAGTCCAAGTTACCAGCTGCCATTATGCATAAAGTACCTTATGAGAGGCACTAGCACCATTTGACGCCCCGTGAATGAATTACTGTTCATCCTGACTAGGTGGCTCACTAGGCATCTTCAGCATACCCACACAGAGACACTGAGACATCGTTGATCGGCAACAGTTACGGATGAAATATTTGTGTCACCCGACAAAGATCACCTCACCAACTAGCGCAGGTTTCGAACCACAAGTTCTAGACTATAATGAAGGGGGGAATATTTTGATTGGGAACTTGGCCAAGTCTGTTCGACTGTTTTCATACTAGTTCCAGCTAACTCACGGACGCTAGGTACAGACCTCTCACGACCTCACGTGCTCGATCAAGACGAAAAGTTTTCGTTGCGTCGAAAGAGCCTGGACTATATATCTCCCCAGGTATTGGCATAAGCCCACAGACACGTGGTGTTGCATTGAGAAGCGCATGGTCAATAAAAACCCGCCATCATATTTCCTTCGGTGGGAAGCAATGGCGTCGAGAAGTAGTGCATCCTTGTCTGATTGCCGAAAAAAACTAGCATCGCTGATATCAGCCAAGCCGAAGACTCCCAGCGTCCTGCCCACAGGCTAGGCCGACAAGAAATGTTGGAAGGACAACGTCCTTGGATGGGCTCTCACAGTCAATGTTGGTGTTGCCCTTGGCTCTCAGAACATCTCTGTTGGTAGCTATGTTTCAGCTTGTTCTATTGCTGAATATCTCATTGTCGGTGTTGAGTAAGGTACTCGTAACAATGATAGTGTGATGGCCAGATCAGGGATGGAGGTGTAGCAGCGTCGGACGACTGTGATATGCTTTGCAAGGGCAACACCGCTAAGTATTTCGGTGAAAACAATCGTCTCAACATATATGCGTCGAATCCTCTGACTTTTCCAGTCACCACAACGTCTTCTTCCACCTCTTCGACGACCTCGATAAGCTTCACTTCACAACCTACTTTAACGTCAGTCTCGTCAACATCTTCATCTACCTCGAGCTCTTCTACGCTCTCTGAAGCTTCAACGACCTCTACAGCATCTTCGACTACCTCCTTCACCTCATCTTGGAACCCGTGAACAATCTCTGGCTAAGAGACTTCGGCGCCATAAACTTTGATGTTTCCAAGTGTTCTCAAAATTTGATAGAAATTTCAATTTCGAGCTGATTCCGTATTGAGTACACGTCTAAGAAACTCTTTTTGCCCAGCAATATTCTTCTCGAACGCGATGCCTCCATTATACAAGTCAAAATGCCCCCCGTCAACCCTCAACGCTTCTCCAAACGGAGCACGTTTAACGCAATCCTCGGCAGCACTCAATGATGCTTCATGATCCCAGGTGGGAAGAACGACCAGGTACGGGCGAGCACTCTTATGAATATTTAACAGCGGTCGAGACATCATGATGTTCAGAAGAGACCGTCCTGCAATAACATTTGGCCAGTCGCGCCCGTCGTCAGGTGCCAAACGCGTCCAGCCCTCGTAAGCTTCTTGAGATGCCATAACGGCTGTAGAAGACCCGTCGCTAATGAGGTTGACGTACCTCGGGTCCTTGGTCCCCAGGACGTACAATCCGATGATATCAGCAGCAGCCGTCGTCGCAAGTCTCAAGGACCGCAGCAGCGGTATCTGCATCACACCAGCTAACCCGTCAACCAGCGGACACTGCGCTATACCGGCCGCCAGTTCGTGGTCTTCGGCCAAGAGAGCCGTGGTGTGCATGCCGCCAAAGCTGCTCCCCCAAGCAACGATGCGCGCAGTGTCGACCCACGTTATTTGTTCCGGCTCTCGGACCCACTTGATGACATCGCGGAAATCGTGCAGCTCGTGTCCGACGTCGAGCACGTTGCGCGGGAAGCCCTCGCTGTCGCCGAAGCCAAGGTAGTCGAATGTGACGGCGGCGTAGCCCTCGGCGGTGAAGTGACTTGCAAAAGGGGCCAGGCCGGCGGCCTTGATGGCGCCGATGCCATGGCCCATGACAATGACAGGTGCAGGCTGCTTCAATCCATCAGGTTTGTAGATTGAAACAGCAATCTTTTGGCCATTCCGGCTCGATGTGATGAACCGATCTTCGATCGTGAATCCCATGTTGACTTCGTATGAAGCGTCGCGAAGATGGAAACAGCCCTCAAGAAGACTCTATTTATATGAGTTGCTGCCTAGTTCTATTCAACTCAGTACTCGTTCGGTTGTGTGATCATTAATCTGTTGCTCGATACACCCCGACAGCGAATGGCAGCTGCGGGCTTCTGAATACAGGAGCGTCGCACGTTCATCTGCACGGACTAAATTGAGTAAATTAAGCCTCGGCACATGATGCGGAGATGCTGTCATTGCTACACAGTGACGGAACTATCCTGATCTTAAGTGGACGTTGTAATTGCGGGGAAGCATCAGCCGGAGAACGTTGGATACCCACCGGTTTTGCTGTACATCCGCCGGTCCGGCGACTATAGTGTTGAAAGTGCCCGGCGAGTAGCGTCAGGCGTTCGTGGTCTCGAATCCTTCCTCTTCACTCTTGGGGAACTCCAGCAGCAATGGCTTCCCCACTAACCCAGTCACCTGCGACTTTGTCTGGTAAACTGGTCGAGCTGATACGCAGCTTCAAAACGCCAGGCATTTTGAAGCTGGTCTTTCGGCGTGGCTGGCCCAGATTTGTGCTGTCTCTTTTGCTCGGGGTAGTTGCGCTTCGGAAAACCAACAGTCTCCTGAGCCAAGCCACTCTCAACAATTTTACCCAAGACAAGTATGACTGGCGAAGGGAGTTGGTGGTGGTTACCGGTGGATCCGGCGGCCTTGGGGACAGGTTGGTGCGCAAGCTGGCCAAGAACTGCATCAAAGTGATCAGCCTAGATGTTGTTCCCCCAAGAACGCCTCTACGTAAGTCTTCCGCGATTCTGACCCATCTCAGGTGACGATTGCCGCTAACTTTACGACCAGCATCGAACTCCTACTTCTATGAAGTAGACATCACGTCAAGCAAGTCTATCAAAGAGGTAGCAGGCCGAATGCGCCGAGACCACGGCGATCCTACGGTCCTGGTGAACAATGCAGGAGTCATGAAAATAGCCTCGATTCTTGACGAGACGGAAGAGCAGATTCGTAATGTTTTTGACGTCAACATCATTGCCAGCTTTCTCTTGATCAAGGAATTCTTACCGTCGATGATCCACAACAACCATGGCCACGTGGTCACAGTCGCGAGCATGGCAAGCTTCGTGACCGGGGTCAACAACGTGGACTACTCATGCTCCAAGACAGGCGCGCTGGCTCTTCATGAGGGGCTGGGTCAGGAGCTGAGACACCGATATAAAGCACCAAGAGTGCGCACGAGGTGAGACTGAGAGAGAGCGATCACCTAGTACTAGAGCTTCCGAAAACTAACTCTGGCTTGTGCATAGCATCATTCATCCAACTTACATCAAAACAGCTTTGATCGAAAAGGTACACAGCTTGGGTCCCTTCAAATCAAAGATGCTTGAGCCGGAGCCTGTCGTGGATACCATCTTCAAGCAAATTGTCTCCGGCCGCAGTGGCCATGTTTACTTGCCAGGGGAATATGCCAGAGCAGCAGGACTACGGTCTTGGCCTCACTGGCTCCAAGAAACCCTCAGGAATGCGCAGAAGGATACACTATTGCATTAGTCCTAGACACGGATGTTTGGATTTGTAAGTCGGCCTTTAACGATTGAATGAACAATAGCTCAAAGACTTGCACATTCTCCTGACGGTCTTACTCGACTCACTAGTTTGCCGGTGTGCCTGGGGAAAGTAATACAATTCTTGGATTAACTGCCAGCTTTCAGGCTAGATAGGTACATAATACTCGAAGCAAAACAGTCTCAGTTGTCGCAAGGATATTTGGCCCAAACCCGACTTGCTATACTTCGTGTTTCACGTCAATGACTAGCACCTTGTGTAGCAGTCTCATTTCGCAATTGCACCGGCGTTTGATACGACTTGAAACTTCTCACCGTGGCGTCCTTTGCGAATATCTCATAAAGCTCTTCGTAGGACAGACCGCCAGTTTCGGGCTGGAAGAGCTTGAGATAAACTAGGCAAAAGAATCACAGGCCACCAAAGATGAAATCAATGTTGGCGCCGAAGTTGGCCTTCAAGTTGAACATGTATGATATGACAAACTGCCACATGTCGTTGGTAGGGCTTTACAATGCGTATCTGATAGCGACAGTCTTAGCTCTCAAGCTACAAGTCAAAACTTCGACAAGCGAAGAAAAGTCGGTTGATCCAATGGAGACCGGAGACGTTGTACTACCAGCTTTAGATGAGAATGAAAGCAACGGTTCCTTTGGCCATGGGCTGGCTGGTGCCCACTCTTAACCCGCATGTGATCAAGAGGAACACTGTAAGGATAGCCAGACCGTACAATGTAAGGTTCTGTCGGCCAGTTTGTCGACTATAGCAGCAGCCACCAAACTACCGACAATGGATACAACGGGTTGAGCGATCTGAAGTTGGTGGCTCATTGAATTAGAGTAACCAGCGAGTTGGGAGTAGTGTAGTCAACTGTTAGTACAGTTGCCTTTAATCTTAATGGAGTTCTATGCCTTCAAGGCATAGCCAAATCTAACAAGGAGACGGATTACTGACAAGTGAAATAACTGGTGACAACTTCAATTCTATTGAAACTCTGGATGCATATGTGCACGATACTGATAATGGTTCTCCTCAGATTTGACGTCTTGAAGCACTCCAAGCAGGTCTGGTTTCTTTCGATGCAACGGAGAGTTACAATGCTGATAGTGACAAACTCAACTTCAAATGGCGCCAATACCGCGAGCCCAGCTCGTTTCAGATATGTCTTACGCTGGAGGTGTCTGCCATTCAGATTAAGGCTTTAAATGATGACGCAAGTAAGGTGGAAGCCAAGATTCCACCTGCGGAGAAATCCTGCATTGTGGTCAGGCAAAAACTTCTCCAGGAGCGAGGTCTCTCGCTGCACTTGATACTCGACATTACGGATAGCGGCTCACCTGATTTTATAAGCTATTTCAGGGTGATCATACAGCCTATCGATAGAGACTTCGCCTCTAGAAAGTAGAAAGTAGGTATCTGTTAAGGCGGAATTCGCAGTCGAAGATTACGAAGGTTAGGAAATGAGGTATTTCGCTATTTTGACTGGTCATCATACGAGTTCCAATAAATCATTAATAAGAGCTCTTTGAGAATCATGGGACCATTCCCAAAGCGTGAAAGTGTGGGTAATAAAAGTACCCTTTTGTAGTCAGAGACTCAGAGAGGGTATGAGTTTTGCAACCGAGTTCAACCGAGGAGTAGAATTTGTCTGCCTAATTTAGAAGAACATTATACGCTTTATGACACAAATATTTGATTGCTTACTGATCTGGAGACGTAGAGCCGTAGCTCAAACGGCGTAGGCCCGGCTTACTCCGGCCGATGACTGCGCCACAGAGGTCGCCAAGATGCCGGACCGGGGCCCACCTTCTCCGCAAGTCCGCACACGGGTTTCGGGCTCCGCCGGCTTTTAGAAAACTAAGTTTCAGCCAACCCCGCTTGGGTCTAGGCGTAATTACGTCTTCGCCCTTGCTCCCTCCTGAAGAGGGGCCTCGGGGGAACATTTCGACTATCTTAGCATCCTCGACAAGCCCAATAAGCTACTCTTCTTGCCATCTGCACATTGATAAACCACATCACTGAATTTCACATATCAACACAATGGTGCGCTTCGATACAGCTAAGGATATTCCTGACCTCTCAGGCAAGATCATCCTCGTCACTGGAGGCAACATCGGTCTCGGCAAGGAGACAATCACCCAGCTTAGCAAGCACAAGCCTGCCCACATCTACCTCGGAGCCAGAAATGAGTCCAAAGCTTTGGCCGCGATTGAGGACATCCAGAAGACAGTGCCAGACGCGGCCCCCATCTCGTTTCTCGAGGTCGACCTGACGTCATTCGAGAGCATCAAGCGCGCTGCCAAGGAATTCCAGTCAAAATCGCAGCTCCTTCATATCCTCATAAACAATGCCGGCATCATGGCCTGGCCGCCCGGCGTAACCAAGGAGGGCTATGAGATCCAGTTTGGCACAAACCACATGGGCCACGCTCTCCTCACCAAGCTCCTCCTGCCGACGCTGCAGCACACCGCCAAAGTCGGCCTCGACAAGGATGTGCGCATCATCTCGCTCTCCTCGGCGGCTGAGAACTGGGTTCCAAGCGACCTCTACAACTTTGACGACTTCAAGACCGATATGGCCTCGACGAGTACCTGGGCGCGCTACGGCGCCTCCAAGGTGGCCAACATTCACCACTCCAAGGCCCTCGCCAAGCGGTATCCTGAGATTCGCTGCATTTCGCTCCACCCCGGGGCTGTTAACACGAACCTCATCAGCGGCCCAGTAGCCAGCTGGCCTCTCGTCAAACCAATCGTGGGCATCGTCACTTGGCTGGTGTCGACCCCCGTCTCAAAGGGTGCTCTGAACCAGCTGTGGGCCTCGGTCAGTCCGGATGCCGAGACTGGTGTGTTCTACTGGCCAGTGGGTGTGAAGGGCAAAGACTCCAAGAACGCGTTGAATGAGGAGCTCGCAGAGAGCTTGTGGAATTGGACGGAGAAAGAGCTGGAGCCCTACGCTTGAGGTCGCATCAAGGCATGCGAGCTCAGTTCGAGGAACGCTATTGAGGGGATTTTCCTGTAAAACCATGTCCATTTCAAGTATGAAACATGTAATGCCGCTGAACCAATTGAACAATATTCGATTCGTCGTATTCTGATAGAAAAGCCTCCTCTCACTCTTCAGCCCGCCACTTCACAGGCACGCAGGGAATCCATTGGACCCTTCCTACCGCTGAAAATATCTACCATACATGATCGCCTCACTAGTCCGCAGCTAAAACTGGCAGTCTTGACAACCCGACATAGAACTGATAGGACACGCCGAAGCGTTACTCGATCCAGAGCATGGGACCCTATTAGGGACGTGAGGCTGTTGGTACTATCGAAGGCCGCAGACCACCCCTGTTCGGTCCCGGTTCCAGAACCACTGGCGCGGTGCTGCTTGTTGGAGTCCAGACCTTGCCCAACCCACCTGCCGGGGTTCCCAATTGGTTTGGTGATTGTCCGGAAGTCTTTTATCCCCGTATTCATTCGTAGACCTGCCGCAGAGATACCCGATTCGGGTTTCTTCAGCTCTCCCAGAAATGGACAAGTTGGGCCTTGCCACCCAAACGGCACTTGTTTCTCGGCTTGCGTCCTGATTTGGCTGCTTACCGCAAGAATAGGGACACTACACTGGTTCGCGACCGAAATCTGATTATTGCAGTAAATCCATGGAATTCCCGGGTAGGCAAGAAGCTGACTTTCACCTTAAACTTTGCGGGTCCTGGGCTGTGGTCTATCGTCAGCATGGAGGACTAAAATGGCAATTCAGCCGAGCTTGAGGATCGCAATGCGGTCACAAGACGCATTAGTATCCATCAGTCGGTAGTACGACATTTTCCACAAAAATTGTATAAGATCGAAGACAAGTCCTGTCGTGAGGTAAGTAATGACAATAGCCTCACTATCAACTCAAACCCAAAACCAGTTAATATCAACAATGGCCGATCAGCAAGAGCCCATCGTCACACCAGCCAGCGGCTATGAGTCATTCATCTACATTTACAACAAGACAAAAGTGGACTTTGCACTTGATCGTTCAAAGGCCATTCTCGGCTCTTGGGCCAAAGGATGCCCCCCAAACACCATCAAGGCTGGGGGCGAAGCCTTAGTTCAACTGAACGATAGCTTTGGTACGAGAACGGCGTTTCTTGAACTACGGGTAATTATCGCGAGCTAATACGAAGAAACATAGGCTTCTCGGGTAGTCAGGGAGAGGTTGTGTACGAGCTGTACCACCCTTCAGACCCTGACACTCCCCTCTCATTCAACGTCGAGTTCTGCGATCCTTACGGCAAATGGAACGATAACTACCTGCGGACAAAGTCGAGTAATCCCAAGTTGGTCTCTTGCCAAGTGTTGGACTACCCCCTTACTGGCCACCCCTTTACAGGTATTTCCCTCTCAGAATCCGTACCGTCCATGCCATTGTTAATGGACTGCCCAGGCCATGTCGAGGTATACTTGGCCGAGAATTCAGCCAGCGATAAGGTGTTCTCTGGTGAAGACCTGGTGACACAAGTCGCGCCTCGCGCCAACAGCGACGTCCGCGCAGCCTTCGAAATCGGGTTCAACGGCCCATTCGGCATCAAGATCCGAGATCCAGTCCATGAAGACATCGCCATCGCCGCCTTCATCACATCCAAGATTCGCTTTCCAAAGGGAACCGAGTACACCAACCTCGATGCTACCCAGTGGGAATACATGCGCGGTCTTCTTTGGAGCGACGATCCGCTGTGTCTATTGTTCAATGACTCCAGAGAGAGCAACAGCGAACTGGCGCTGGGCGACAAGTTTCTTGCCGACTTTTACGCCGGCGCACCCAGCAGTCTAACGCAAAGGAGCCACTTTGGAGACTTGCAATTCTTCCACGCAATGGCCGCCCAGTCGAACGAAGATCCGCACGATACCAAGGCAAACATGCTTTCTTGGTTGGAAATCATCTATAAGCTCGCAATCGGCGTCCAAGACGTGAGGGAGACTGACAGCCTTGCTGGCCGATTCCCAACCCGCTTCTCTAGCTCTTCTGATCCGTCCGGAGACGCAAGCCTGAGACAGCTATTCCTAGGCAGAACGCCCTCGTACCGCAAGATAAACATCTCCAAGCGCGCCTTTGGCCACTGCCTTCACATGGTCCAAGACTCGTACGCAGTCGGACACACTCTCCGTCGCCTTTCCAACTCAGGAGATCTGGACGGCAAAGATGACGAAGGTGAGATCTTACGAGCCCTACCCCGAGAATTCGCTGCTTGCTTTGCCCTTGTTCCCTATGGTCCCACACCTATCTGACTCCCGTCACAGGTTTTGTCAGATTCAAGCCCGGCAAGTTTGCCAGACTCGGGCCCATCATCACGTTCCACACCTATTCTGGCCAATCCAAGCGTCACGCGCACTACGATGAGTCCAAGCAACCCCGAAACCCGAGGGACCTCGACTCCTTCAATCACATCATCGGCGCTCGAGACGCCATCGAAAAGTCCATAAAATTGATCAACTTTTACGCGCAAAAGACAAAGTGGGAGGATGGAGTTCGTGGTTTCCTCGCCAACGAAGTGTTTGTGCTGGACCCGAATGCAACGCTCAGCAACCCTCAAGTCGATGAGAGATTTGGGTTGCCGGAGACGAGCGGTCAATCTACTCTTGAGGCCGACCGATTGGCAGACGAAGAGTATCAGCTAGGCATGGAGAGGAAGATGGCGATGCTGGAGGGCGGTCTAGCATTTGCTGAGCATGTCCCTTCTGGGAGACGACCCGGGTGTCTGGGCCAACTCCCGCACCGGTTTACAGGCTTGCTTTTCATGTTTGCGAAGTTTTTATTCGCCTTTGTTGGAATTTCCTGCGCAATTGTACTTGGACAGTACTTTTTCGGGGGTTTTATATAAGCTTCAAGCTCATTACCCAAGACATTGAGAACCGGCGTGCGGGCTATTGGGTACCATTGGCAAAACCTTTGGGGGAGCTTCTAAGCAAATTAAAGTGATTGTTCAGTCTAGCTGTTTGTTGCATCAGAGTTCTCATTTGACTACTCGAGTGGTGGTCTTTGAATGAAAATACAGTTGTTGCTAAAGTAGACTACTTGCTATAATTAATTAGCTCGGCTCGCCTTTACATGACTCTTCGAGTAGCTCCTTCCGCCAGCGCGAAATGAAGTTTATCAGCCAACTGGCCCAAACTAACAAGTCGTCTTAGTGCTTGCCCTCATTGACTCTATCAACTACATCGCTTGTGAAGACGAGCTATAAACCTACAATTGAGAGTAGGTGAAGCCTGCTCGACAGGTTAACCGCCTGTTCTTCATCACATCCTACCGGCTACTTCGAGTCACTTATTTAGCGCGTATGAATCCGTCTGCTTGCTTATGCAACTTGAGAGAAATGAGAGAACGAATGCAGCGCATCTGGATAAACCTTACGAACCTCGATGCAACTATAAATTCAACAACGAATAATTGGTTAATCTCGTACTCAGATATCTTCTCATTGTGCTAAGCAACATACATCACCCTAAATCACCCGACATCATCCCGTTTTTATTGAATAATTTTACTACTGTCAGTAAGAATTCCTTCGCCGCATGTTGTACTCTTATCCCCACACCATTCTCTTATAGCAACATGAAACTCTTGCTACTCAGCATCCTAGCTTCTCTTGTGAGCGCTGATATCAACACTACAAACATTTGGTCGGCACCTTACATTTCAACCAAGTGCAACGGCAAAGATGCATCCCAGTTTCCCTCAAATAGAATTTTCTTTCTATTAGTGATGGAATTTGGGATCATGGGACGGCTTGTGGTCGGCAGTACTTGGTACGATGTCTAGTGCAAGTACAAGTTAGCGGCCCCATCGTAGGCTAGACTGTCGGATTGGAAGCCCAATTCGACCTCGAGTCAGCACCAGCGCAGGGGCCATCTGAGGGTCTCTATATCAGCGTTTGACCGGCGATCCAACCAACGGTTGGAACCTCTCTTTTCCACTTCACGCAGAGATCAATACAAGAGTAATTGGCCCTTCGTCACCACGGTTCGATCGAACAAATCACCCTGTGATTACGTAAACCAACATAGACTTCTCCCCCCACACATACACGCACGAGAGAAATCAAACAGACAGTCAGCCTGCCCCTAGGCAGTAAGATATCACACTCCTTTCTTTTGAGAGGTTAGTCGCTTGCCGTATTGGGGCTCCGAGCTTGACCAGATGATCTTATCTTGCCGCAAGATCAGCAATCCACACGAGTCCACATGCACCAAGACGAAACTGATAACCGAGAAAGATCTATTCGGCAAGAGCAGCATTGCTGTGAGAAATGACAAATGATCACGAAAAGGTGCGTGGATGTTACTTTGGGTGTGAATCCCTGCTAAGTCCATGCCATCAGCGGACGCTGCTAAAGGATTGGACAGTCCAGGGTTCGGATGTGGTACACCATGTCTTCGCTGTGGAGATTGCAATGCATCATCTTTCGGCAATTCTGAGATATGTGGACACCATGATCCCCTTCAAACCGGCACTACCGTGAACACAAAAGGTTTTTTGAGAAGCTATTTTCGAGGCTAAGAAGTGTACATGTCCAGAATCGTCCGCCATATAGTTACCTATAAACAAAGCCCTTTGATATTCTGGTACATGGGTAGAGCCGGGGAAGAGGGCAGAAATCTTCACCAGCGTGTGGTCATCAAGCAAACACAGTAGCGAGCCATAGACTCGCTCTTGGACCTCCTCGTCAGATCGACTCCCAGTTACCTCTCGGTCTTTTAGTCGACAATATGGATGGCCGCCATCCGTACTGTCTCCTAACGTGACCGATAAGGGTCATTGTTCTCGAAGCAGCGCAACGGAATCACGCTGCCAACCGCAGGCCTACTTTCCTCGCGTTGCCAGCGGAAAGGCTGACGAAATCGAGATAGTTGGGGTTTTCTGATGGCCGTTGAAATATCAGGGCTCTTGCGGGCCAGTACAATTACTTCCGTTGGATAAAATCCAATTGCCGCGCGCGTGCTTTGACGTGGTAGTGGATCCAGCTGTTAAGGCACTCCTCGTTGATAGTGACGATCTCCTCTGCCCTTTGTTTGAATTAAGACATGGGTACGCCGCAGAATCTATCCACAATATGCCTCCAGATGTCTTATTTGGGTCAATGATCGACCTGTCAAGTGGTCTCGCCCAGGGGGGGGGCACCGGAACTCAAAAAGATGAGGTCCATTCACCTGCCAAGCTCCGCTTCCTTCAAGCAAGGACTCGAACAGTCTGATTCTCCTTGCGACTCTCCAGTCTCGCTACCACCAACCGCTGGCCCCGATTGAACTTGACTCGTGAATGGGAGCAATATTGAGTGAGGGAGATGGAACCGCCGAACCTTTAATTGCCGGTAGCCCAATTGGTTTTCGAGGCCATCTCTTTTTCTGTCTTCCCATGTTGTCTCGATTTCAAGATCGACGCAAGACAGATCTGAAGATCATGATAGGACTAGGCGGCGATGCGCCCATGGCCCTGGCCGTCCTTTGGGCCTTGACGGGTCTTGCTCTGTTCTTCGTGCTGTTGCGATTATACACAAGACTTGTCGTTATTCAAGCGTATGGCGTGGACGACCATTTCTTTAACTTTGCTTTCGTGAGTGGTCTGTCTACAGAAACTGAACACAACTGTACCGCAACTATCTGTTAATGCTTTTTATTTCAGCTTCTCTTTGTCGCCTACGATGTCATGCTCACCATCTCTTCGTTCTATGGCTTTGGCAGAAACATTCTAGAGCTTGAGATGGACAACATACCGAAAGCGATTTTATACGAGGCAATCGGCAGCACAATCCTCGTCTCCGCCATCGTCGTCTCAAAGGCCTCTCTAGCATTATTCCTCCTCCGCCTCGTGAACACTCGTCTACACCAGATTCTCGTTCTTGCTCCCGTCATCATCCTATTCCTCTTCGCCTTGGTCTCCCTACTCGTCTTCTGGTTCTCGTGTACGCCAATCAACTTTCTCTGGGACCGATTGATCCCCGGCGGAAGCTGTCCCATCGACCCCGGTCCCATCTCCACGGCAGCGGGAGCTTGGAGCGTCGTTGTCGACTTTTGGTACGCCATCACGCCCTGGGCATTACTGTGGAACGTTCAGATACCGAAGAGAGAGAAACTACTCATCAATGTGAGCATGAGTTTGGGCGTCATGTAAGTCTTTCCCATGCTATTGGAAGCCCGTACCGTCGATTTAGACGCCCTAGAGTGACATGAAGTTGACGTGTATGACAGTGCTGGCGCATGCGGAATTTTGAGGGCTTTGGAGCTCAAAAACCTGAATAGCGTGAACTTTACAAGTAAGTCAACCTCGCACAAATCTGGAGCCTGTGGCTCCTCAAGCCTCAGGTCGTCTCTATACAGCCTTAAAGTATATTGGTTTTGACTTGAGCACTCAATAGAAGATACGGTTGGCCTGATAATCTGGCACGCGGCAGAACTGGCGGTTACTCTTGTCTGCATCGGAATTCCCGTGTGCCGTCCCCTTTTCAAGGGCTGGCTGAGCAAGTGGACGTCCCGAAACGGCAGTAAGCCTGGGCCATACACTGACACAACCGGATCCAACATGTGGTTCGGCCTGAAGACAATCGGCGGCACCGACTACACCGCCAGGGTTGGCTTGAAGGCCCCAGATTTGGACTTGGGAACGGCACGAAGCGGCGACGAACCAAAGGGAAGCACAACGAGATCCGCTGGAAAAGGCTTCGGTGACAATGAGAGCGCTGAGTCGATTCTGGGCCCGGACATTCGATATAACCAAGCGCGGGACACGGATATTGAGAGGTATTCCAGTGATGAGGGAAAAGGGGGAAAGCAAAATATTCATGTCTGGGTAAATTCTGAGGTAGTCGTCAAGTCGACGGCAATGGATTAAAACCTTACGGCAAATTATGCATGATTAAATATAAACGACGACGCAGCGAAAGATGGATTTATCACATGTATCAGAAAGCGTGACGATTACACAATAATCCCAAAGCCAACACATCATCGCCCCTTTCGCTCTTACGACACTTGTTACGGCGTGTTAGTTATTGCTTTGTATGGTTTAGAAAATACGTCAGACGATGCAAGGTCAACACAAATCAACCCAGAGACTCAATGACGCGGGTAAATAAGGCATTTTCTATAATTAACCTTACCTCACAAAGCACAACGCCTATGTGACACATGAGCCTTCGTGAGACCAATTAATTCTGTGAACCATTGAGTTGATTGTAGGTTTATTCTAATCTGGCACATTCTTCTCACTTCCACACACACTCTCTCTCTATTCTTCTTCTATATTTAAAACAGTCAGGAAGAATGAAGAGATTTAGACTAAACATCGATACGTCTTGCGGAGCGGCCAACAGAAAATGATCTTTGCTGGCGAGTTCCCGTTCATCAAACCTCTCTTGATTCGTCGTCATCTTTGGCTTCGTGTGATGAGCTCAAGGCCGAGGAAAAACATCATGTGTCTAGAAACCTCCCCAGTTCGGAGAGCTCTTTGAGCTCGGCTTGACGCACAAATTTGTGCTTATTCGGCCAGTTTCGACACGAATACAGCCGCGCTCAGATATTTTTGGTCTAAATGGTGACTACACCTCGGTGCCGAGAGTTTATCGGCGTAAGCCTTGCCAAGCTGATGCAGCGAAGCGGCACAGCGGAATCGATGCCGGCCACACGCCAGAATCTGCACCCCATTGCCGTTGGTCAGCTGCGGATACCATACCGCTCGATTAAAGATGCAGTTCACGCCTTTATGAGAGGTGTTCTGTTGTCGAAGACGACCGCGTCAAGGTTCCGAGGGTGAGTATCTCCATCTACTCATGCGTTGCCAATGCCGTTTGTTCTCGCAACCACAGTCTTTCCTCGATAACTCGTGGAAATCGACCACAGCCCAATTCTCGTTGCTGGGGTCCGTGCTATTGCTGAGGGCTTCATTGCTGCAAAGACACATCTCTGCTAGAAGATTGAAGAGTCTAGGCTTCAACCCGTAAATCGGATAGCGACATAAATATGCTTGTTTGCTTGGACGCAAGAGATTGTCTATCATTGAGAGGGACTTCTCAACTTCAACCACCCATAAGCAAGGAACTTCGATCCGACTTCAAAAACTACTCTGCCGGCGATAGGTGCAGCCTCGGAAATGGAGTTGTGGGACTTCATCGTCGTTGAAATGGAACGGAGTACCTGGGCCGTGAGACAATCCTCAGCGCCGGCGCCTACCGAAACCCCCAAATTCCCATGCTCTGCCGCAGATGTTCTGACAGACCACGTACTCGAGATGAAGCTCGATTAGCCCGAGGTCGCCCAGATCCTGCACGACCATTTCCTCATGCCCACGGCGTGGAAGGTCAAGAACCCCTCCCAGGACTGGACCTACGTGTCGGACAACCCGCTCTTCAAAGAATCCCAGTACGGTCTCGGCAACAAGATTGACTTCCTCGCCGCCCTCACACTTGTCAGGGAAGGACTCTTGGTGGCCATCGCCGAAGACGAGGGCGTGGTCCTGATCGACACCTAGCGGGACCCAGTAGGCATCTCGTCGGCCAACGTCCACGACCGGCCCGTCATCGATCCCACCTACCTCAGCACGGCGGTGGACAGGTACGCCGTTCGGGAGGCTTTCAAGTTCGACACCAAGCTTCTGAGAAGCGATTTGAAGCTAGTTGGTCGCGACGTTCTCGATGGCGAGCTTACGGCCGACACGCCTCTGACGGTGGCTTCCCCCCATGAGGCGTTTGCCGTACGCGCCGGCCAGGTTGACGGGCGAGTCGAGATCTCACCAGAGGTTCTTGCCATTGGTAAACACTCAGAACTGAGCTGACCTTGGACACAGATCATGCTTTCAGCTAGCGAAACGGTCGTCATGGGTACCTAGTGTCGTCAACAACAACCTCAGTGTCAAGCTCGTTGACGGGTCTGTTCGTTGCTGACTCTTTCGTCTTCCTGGTTTCCATCTCGGCCAATTTGCAAGTTTCCATGTACGCCATGACCCTTCAGGCTGCGGATATCATTGAAGAGCATGGGAGCAAGTGCTGTCAGGTCAGGACCATCTCGTGATGAGGTAACTGTGATGGTTGATGTGACGGATAACACGTCATCTGTTTCGTAAGTATCAAGAGTTGAGAAGTCAAAAGCCTCCTTCCTTCACCCTGCATTCGGCCGATACCTATCAGTATACAGCTTCTCAATGCTCCAAATAGATAGATATTGTCGAAACTTGGAGTCTGTGGTTGGTGCAGAAGGTGTTCGCATTGAATTGCTTGTAGAGCAAGTGAGGACATATTCAAATACGAGATAGACTGTGCGGGCCGGGTTCAATGCATAGGTAATAGGAAGACTCTTCGTATCTAGCTTTCCCAAGGTCTCTAGCAGCTGTGAAGCGCTGTCTCGCCCAATTCGTGGTTCGAAGCTCGCTTTTGGTCTCCTGCTCATATCGTCGAAGGGTGTTCCGCGGCTCATGATATCTCTGGTGTCTCATGCGTCTTATCGTCGCCATATAGTTTCTCAAACATCACATCGCGTCTTTGATGATTGTGGCATTTCGAAACGTCATAACAGATGCATTCACCTACTGGTTAGGCAGGTACCCAGCAACCTTGATGCAGTCTCTATAAACCATCCCTTTTACATTTAGGTCACCACAGCCGGATCCACGGAGCTTCTTCCACGGAAAGGAGTCAGAATACTCTGTCTCACTCAAAAGATGAAGTATTGAACAGCTACGTTGTGGCCATAGTCGTCTTCCTAGCATAGCGGCGTGCACTCGTCACCTCCGACACAGGCCCCAAAGCAAAATCAGAGTCGGGATGAATCTAACGGAACATCAAAGCAGAGCCAGCGAAGACTAAGATTAAGAAACCAGAGACTACTTGGAAATACTCGCAGGCCAAACCATCCCGACCTCGCATCGGTACGCCACCCGGCCGTTCCAACCCGAAGATGGGACGGGGGGGTAGACACGCACCCACAAGCCCGCCACTTCCCCACAACAGCATGTTTGCCGCCATCAAGAGCTGGCGCACTGACCAGGTGTCGGAGCGCCCTTGATAGGTTGCCAAATTTTTCTTCTCATCAACCAGGCCTGCTGGCGAAATGGCATCGCGTCACATTTCGGCTCCCTAGTCACTCTGTGAAGATTGTAGGTTCGATCCCTACGTAGGTCGATTCTTCTTTTGCTTTTTTCCACCCAACGATACGAATCCCTTTTTCGTCTCTTTTTTTTTCTTCTTCTTCATGAACTACTAGAGAATAAATAATTTCATTTGCTGCGCAATATGCATTCTTGCATGTTGAATTTCGTCTCTTCTCTAACACTTCCAATCTTGCCGTTCGCATGCGCAGTGCCCCTCATCGCACTGTCAGCATTGCAATATCACCTCGCTGCACCGTCACAGCCCGTCGTCCACTTCAGACACACTGGAACTGGACCTGGGCCTGGCCCGCGTCCACCCGCCGCCAGCTGCGACCACTTCACGGTCCAAGCTCCGCCGCCCAATCATCTTGCTCGGATAACCTCCTCCGGGGTCTGTCTGTCTTCCCACCGATCTCGGGGGCTGGCTCACCCGACGATAACCCATCTTTTCCGTTCGTCTGCCAAAACCGCGAGCCCAAGTTCCGTCCCACGAGAACCTTCACCCACCGCAATCACCCTCCCAAAAAGGAAGAGAGGAAAAAAAAACGCCGTACCACGAGCGTCATTGGCACCGCTCTCGTCCTCCTCGTCGCGTGGTATTGCATTGGATCTGCTTACCCCTCACTTCTCTCATTCGGGCATATCAACGTAGAGGAGAGCTCTCAATCGCGGGAGAGAGAGAAAGACGGACGGCGATCCTCTTGTAGAACCCTCGTTATTTCACAAAAATCAGCTCACCACCAAAGAACCTCTCGAACCTCACCACATGTCGGCCTCCCTCCCCGGCAGCCGCGAGCTGCCCGCCTCGCAGTATGATCTCGGCACATACTGGGGTCGCGTACGGCACAACCTGGGCCTCACCGATCCAAGGTACGTCAACCCCCCCCAAGAAACCTCCTAGCTGCGCGCGTATCGCATCGCATCGTGACAATCAAGAGTTGCTCGCGCGTATTTTATGCCTCACCACCACTCCCCTCCACCTCTTTCTCCTTCTCCTCCCTCTACCTACACCAAAAGCCCCCATAGAGACAAGACCAAGTACTAACATGTTTCTCAAACAGCACCCTCCTCGTCGGCAGCACAGGTCTCGAGCAAGCAAAGTCCCTCCTCACCGACTACAAGCAGGGCAAGATCCCGACAATGACCCCGGAGCTCTGGAAAGCCAAAAAGGTCGTCGACTCGACCCTCCACCCAGGTGCGACGAGCCCATAATGCACATCATTGCCTGCCTCGTTTCCCACACGACAACGGCTCGTTGCTTGCCTCAACCCCCCGTACCGAGACTAACACGCGGCGCACGCGCGCGGCGTCTAGATACCGCCGAACCCGTCTTCCTGCCGTTCCGCATGTCCGCCTTTGTCCTGACCAACTTGGTTGTAACGGCTGGCATGCTCCAGCCCGGCCTCGGAGTAAGTGCTTGAACCCCCCCTCCCTCTTCGCAAAACAATGTTCCACGAGGAGGCCAATTCCTAACACGAATCGCATTCGCAACAGACAGCGGGCACAATCGCATGGCAAGTCGTAAACCAATCCCTTAACGTAGCCATCAACTCGGCAAACGCAAACAAATCCTCCCCGCTATCCTGGCGCAAACTCGGCGAGTCCTACGCAATGGCCGTCTCCGTCTCCTGCGGCGTCGCCGTCGGCCTCAACAAGCTCGTCCCCCGCCTCAAGAACCTCACCCCTGCGACCCGCACGACCCTCACCCGCCTCGTCCCCTTCGCCGCCGTCGCCTCGGCAGGCTTCCTCAATGTCCTCCTCATGCGCGGCGAGGAGATGCGCAAGGGCATCGACGTCTTCCCCGTTCTCGCGGAGAAGAAGGAGAACACGGAGCCAAAGGAGGTCGTCGAGGGCGCCGCTGCCAGCCAACAGTCCCAATCCCTAGGCCGCAGCAAGAAGGCTGCCCAGATCGCCGTCGGCGAGACCGCCTGCAGCCGCGTCTTCAACTCAACTCCCATCATGGTCATCCCGCCCCTCGTCCTCGTCCGCCTGCAAGCCCAACAGTGGCTCAAGCAGCGCCCGCGCCTCACCGTGCCCGTCAACCTCGGCCTCATCCTCGTGACGAGCTACGCCGTCCTCCCGCTCGCCCTCGCCGTGTTTCCCCAACGACAGAGCATCAGCGCCGACAAGCTCGAGCCCGAATTCCACGGACGGGGTGGAGAGGGCGGCCTCGTCGTGTTCAACCGGGGTATATAGATTTTGTTTGCTTATGGCTGGTGATGTATCATTGTAAATAATTCAAAAAGCGTGCGTAGCTTAAAAGGGAAAAAGAGGGGGAGGGGAGGGGACGTTGGGGCTCGGATATTTCTCGTTGCCTGCGCGTTCCCATGCGATCAGGATACGCTTGCCGAAGCAGCTGTCCACTTACAACGCAGTCTTCCTTTCCAGAGACGTTTGTCGCAATCGCATGTGTCAAAGGGGAAAGGGTGATCTCCGTCCTCCCGGACGAGCGTAAGATGGGATTGGGAATCCGGTGTCAGATCGGACGTTGAAAGTGTTTCACGCTCCCAAGTCGTCCTTGGCACGGCAGCTTCGCCGACCCCCCCGTCCGACACATTTCTGAACCATGAAAATGAAAAGGCCAGGCGTCATTGTCTCGCAGCAACTTAATATGCATAGCCTGTGGAGATCTGTGCCTTGATGCATGTCCAAAGGGAATTCCATGAGGCATAGAGTTTGCCCGTAGACCCATTGGCCATCTTGTACTTTTTGGAGGAATCGCAAATATGTAACGGAGTGCCGTGACGTTGAAAGAGTCGAGTTGATCAAGACTTTGGAACAAAACATATGAAACATGACAATCCGCATGGGTATATTGAATGCGTGAGGTTAAACGTTAGTAGGGTTTGTTATCACATCCCCAGTGATTTACAATATCGCCAAAGGCGGACTAGAGAGGTGGCTTAGCCATCGAAAAGAGACAGACTTCGTTTTTCTCCGGGCGAGTACGGAGTACTACACCACGATGACGACAAGCGGCAGCTTAACCGGCTATAACGAAATATTACCATCCACGCCCGTTATGCGCCTCGAGGAGTACCTCACGTAGGACGATGCAATCACGAGCCTGGCTCGGGATCGCCACCAAAGGAGGGGAGGGGTAACGGGTCACCAGGGTTGCTTATAGCTTGTTGAGGCCAAGCAAACCAAAGCTAGCAGTCGTACTTGTCGCCCAAGAACGTGGACGGCAGGTCTACGAGAATGAATAGCTACATCGCTACACGTACTGTTGCAGTTCAATGAGAGCCATCCTGAGATTCGTGGGAATCCTAGGATGCTAGAAGCGGCGGGTGCGTGGCCCTTGTGCATGGTCAGCCCATCAGCAACCTCTGCTGCTTTCTATGGCCTCGAACGACGAGGTGCCTTGCCAGCGTTGCGCCCTCGAGTCGGCGTCATTCATCATTATTGACTCCTCCTTACTATGACTCTGCCTCGCCTCATTTACGATGAAACAAGGGCGAGGAAGGATTTGGGGACCTAAGATGTTTTTCAGAGCTGGTTTACGGTGTTGTAATTCGTGTTCTCTCTATGAAACTCTCTTCTGGTTGTAGAAGCCGGCAGCAGCCATTGGGTAACGTTTATCTCCCGATTACGTGCATGCAAAAGGGGAGGCGGGCGTACGTACCTGCGATGTAAGCACGGATCAAAGGCTCTGGGTAACGAAAAAGAAAGCTCAATGACCCGCCGGCGTGTTTTCGTTCATGGAACTGAAACTTTCCAGCCGTCAGTGGTGGCAGATGGCATCAGCACGCTCCGTCTAGGATGATGCATGGGGCCAGCGCGTCAAGGGACAAGTTGTGAATTTCTATCCAGCTCGGGTGCAGATGCTTGGCTGCTCATGCTGGCAGGATTGAACTATCAACTGGCATCGCTTGTCTTGACAGGATGGCCGAGCAACCCATCACATCGTTGAACGCTCTTATAATGAGGGGGAAATATAGGCCCGTTGTTCTGGGCCTCTCATCACCCATGTTTCGCGGCGAGGCACACTTTCTGTGCCTACGCTTGTCTAGTCTCGGTTGCCACGGGCTCAGTATCCTGGAGTCATGCAGGCACTTTACGCCACATACTGGCCAGGTACAACGCGGAGACACCATGCGTGAGTGTCGACGTGACGAGGGGCCGTTTTCCTCTCCAAAGCCTATCGAAGGCGTTTGATTTCGTCTTCGGCAACGGGCTGACAGTGGGCGATGGACGCTACGTGATCAACATCGTGATTTTGAGACTAATGCTGCATTTTTTGTGTTTGAGCATTCTGCAACGGTGTGAAAAACGACCAACCCGTGACCGATGGAGTACGACGGAGCTGCGTGAGGCGCAGATGCGTTTGCAGGCATGATGTTGGTCGAGGGAGAGGAGCCGATGCCAGCACAGATGTCCCTCTGTCCGCTCCGCCCTGCCCTGCCCTGCTTGCCTGCCCTGCTCTGCGCTGATTAACTAGTCTACCAAATGTCGAAGAAGGGCTTCGAATCCCTCCTGCCTCTTTGCGCTCGAGTCGGGTATTCCTCAAAGCCTCCGAGCCCTTTCACAAGCGTCGTGATGGCTGCGACCCTTTGCCTCTTCTCCCCACTGTGTTGTGACCTGCATCTATGGTTGGCCGAAGGCGCCAGAAGGTGTTGCTCCCCGAGGGCCCCATTGGCGCATCTTTGGACGGGAAGCAGGGATGTAGACGCTAGGAAGTGCTTGGAGATTCGTCGGTGATTGTGGGTGATTGTGCTGCCAGTGTGCACTGTTGGGTTGCCATAGAGGAGACGGTGGGATCAGATCAAAAGCAGCGGTAACCATAGGGATGTTGAGCCTAGAAGGCGGCCAGTGCTGGTTGGCCAAATGAGTGCCCAGGTTAAACGCTCCCATTTCCATGGCTCATGCTGAAGAGTTTGTCGTCTTTTCTCCACTGTGCATCTTGGTACGGCTCGGTATGCCCTTTAGCTTTTTCGGCACGATCAGATCTTGGGCAACTGCCAGGAAGGCGTGGATCATGCTTTTGGGTCGTGTTTGGACTGATGCTCTACGCCGCCAACCGCCGGTCGGCGGTATTCAGGTTGCTGAAGCGTCCGGTGCCATGCCATGAGGTAATAGGGCAATGATGCAAGAGTACCCAGAATTATAGAGGCGGATGCGGGAGGCGGCCAGAATTAACCAGAACAACCGGCTAGGGCGAGACGATGTGAAGTTCACATTGAAGCCAGTATCAGGACCCATTTAGGGATCCATCCGGTCTGCGTTATTTGACCCTTCTGACGTACTGCTGAAGCCAAAGGTTATGGGATTTCGGAGCAAACCAATGTGATGCTGACAGTGTCGCGTTTCCTCGAATTAAGGTAAGATGGGCAGGGCTTTCTCTTGTCAGCACGGAGCCGCGATATGTCAGGCTGTGTCTGCTTCTGCTGGTTTGCCCTGCCTGCCGTGGAGCGGTAGCAATGGGGTTGGTTGGTGGGGACTGGCCCCATTCACCTAACCACTCGTTTGTCCACACATCGTGAAGGCGGCTGGTGTGTGTGTACTCTGTGTGGATGGTCAGACCAGGCCGGGCCAGTCCAGTCCAGTCCCGCCCAGTCCAGGCTCTCATGGTAGCCCAGGTGTGTAATATTGTTCACATAAGTACTGAGAGGGAGGCAGCGGTCGAGTGCAACGCAACTGCGAGAGAAAAGAGCATGGACTGGGCGATATGCTGTGACGGAGTGACAAAGTGATAGAGCAGAAGCAGCCCATCACTCACTGTGCAACGACGTGACTTTGGAAGAGGCGACTTGACCAGGCCGGCGGGACGCTAAACCCGTCTGAAAGATTATCGTGCAGGCAGATTGGCGGGTAGCAAAGCTGGGGCTCCAAAGCGACCCGCCAAGTGCGTGAAGTGGGTGAGAGGAGGAGCGTGAGGCGTGAAGCCGGCGGCGGCCGCTGGATTGGCGTGTCTTTGATTTGGCCAGCGTGACAGGTCAAGCCTTGGGCGAAGTCATCGGACATGGGTTCCTGGGGCGCACAACCTCGACAGTTCAGTGCGAATCCTCGCCGAAAGGGTATGTAACCATTGCCGTATGTCTGGCCTTCCTTTGAGGGATAGGATAGGGACGATGGATGAAAGTAGTTGGATGCGATGGCGGACAAATTGCCAGGCTATCGAGTCTTCAATGCCGCGAGATTTCCCCCATACCGCAATCCCCATGATTGAGACGTGGTTAACAAGGGCTTGCAGGTGGTGTGGTTTCTGGCCAGAAAAGGAAAGAGCCGGCGGGAGACAGTTGTAGAGCTGGAGAGCTGGAGAGGGGAGACGGGCTGGGTGTCGACCAGGGTGTGTGAGGCGAATCGATGAGAGGACGACGGAATGACTTTTTGTTAGAAAACGGTGCGGCGTGACAACATTGCAGACAAGAGTATCGGTACAATGTAACAATCACAGTCCAAAGAGGACGAGAAGATTGTCTCCTCTACCTATGAAGCCGGTGGGTCAGCAAAGACGCTAGAATGCGGCCAGACGGGCAGTCCCATCAAGGCACTGCTTGAGTACCTTACGGATAGTGTAGGTAACTTGGAAGGTCCCTAGCGCGTCCTTCCTCCAAGTGCTCCTTCTGCCCTCCTCCACTATCGCTGGTTTCTACCTACCTACGTTGAACTGCCCTGCGCAGGTGTGTGCCTTGGGTTGCGCCTGCTGCTCTCGTGCTTTCCTCGCCAGAAACGGCGGGACATTCCCGTGCTTGCCTTCTCCTGTCTTCCATTAAAGATACACACCTGCCTCGAGTTTCCGGTAAGGCGCGATAGGGCATACATAAGTTTTCTTGAGTAAGATGCTTCGATTCGATTCAAGCAGTAACGATTGATGGAATGAAACCTCAACCCTTACTGGTGCACACCACGAGACCTCGACAAAGAAGCCGGAAACCGCCCGCCAAAGCCCCCGAAATAAAGTACGGGTCACTGGAAACGAAATATGGTGTGCGTCGAGACCGAAATGCCCTGTACCTCACGTCGGTGACAGGCCCCTTGTTCCTGCCGGATGTAAAGTAGGCGAGAGGCTAAAAGCACGGAAGCACTTGCAGCCCGCTGACCAAGTGCTTTCCGTCCCGTCATCCTGTCTGGATCGATGCACCAAGACAACATCGCTGCGGTTGATGGTCCGGCACGAAATGGCAACCTGGAACACGCCCTATCTCGCTTGATAAGGAACGATATCGGAAGTACCCCTCTGCCTTTCCGCAATACCTTACTGTGACTGCGGACGCGTTCTCCCCATCCCGATTTCATCACCATCAGGTCTTAGGCTGTCTTCCAGAGTCTGCCGTTTCTGCCTCCAAGACCGCCCAAGGCCTCTGGCACATGTCTAATCACGTTAAGCACACCAGTGCTGCATGGGACCGCTTCCGCTGCGGCAAGGACACTCTGAGCGATGTTGAGTAGGCGAGAAAGACACCTGCCTCACGGCACTGGTTTGCAGCCGTTATCAAGTACCGGCTTCAGTCAATCCAAGGTACATTTGCCATCTGGCTGAGGTGCGGCAGCAGGGCACAGTCTGGAAGTACCTCCATCCTGCGCTTCGCCCCGACCCCACTCTCCCACTCCCTTCGAGATACTTGTCCCATCTCCTGTACGAATACAGATGCTGAGGCGGAGATTTTGTACCTACGTACTTTAAGTACCTTAGATAAATCACCTCAGGCCAACAACACCACAAACAGACGCACTACGTGCTTGGTTTATGACGCTTCCCAAGTTCCCAGTGCACATCAGTCTTCCCTCCATGTCGATGGTCCCTTGCTTGTCCAGCCCTCGACTCGAAGCACGAGAAAGCGAATGGAGTTTGACCGTCTTGCCGCCTTCTGCCTTGGCTCCAAGTGGGTTACATGGAGACTTGGAATCACGAGCAAACATTACTTCTGTCTGTTCGACTTGTCGGCTTCACGGTCGGTCTGCTTGGTCCTTGATGAAGAAAAGATTAATTCAAGAAAGTTAAGTAAACAGGCTTCGTCGTGGGTACCTTACCTAGGTACTGTGAGGTGAGGTGCCTTGGGCAGATACCTCAGGTCCTCAGCTGAGGTAGCCGAAATGCGAAGGCCAGACTGGACTATACTTCTGTATGGGGGAAGTTAACAGCATAACCTCATGTACCACAGGCTGGATACTATTAACCAACGTAACCTTTTCCCCCATCTCGTCTCTTCCGTAAGGTTAGGTAGCCTGTCGTCCCCATCCACTTTAACTGCTTCCATTTCCGCTCCCACACGTACTCGCTCGCTCGCAAGCACGCTACCGGTACCCAGTACACACCCACACCAGTGTCCACGACCACGCCGCGGCGCCGCCCTCGTCCTGTCCTCTCGTGCTCGTCCCCCAGGTCGTCCATTCTCCACAATTGGTCGCCTCCTCCCGTCAGGGCCCTCCTCCTGCTCACCTCACCATCTGCTCCCCACGGACCAGAAGAGTGAAGAGGCCGGTCATCCCTCGGAACTTCGTCACTTTTTTGACCACGACGTCCAGTCCACTGCACAGCGATCGGGCTGCTTGTTTTTTTTTTCAGCTCTTTCCTCATCGCCATCAATCTACCCTGTTGACTCGCCTCCAACTTCTCTTCTTCTTCTTCCACCACTTCTGCCAGTAACTTCATCCTCTCGGACCAAAGAAACACATATCACGTCGCGGTCTATTCGATGTAGCAAAGAGGCTTTCCCAACGCAGACAGCACAAGCCTACGCCTAACATACCCGTACCGTCCGTCCTGTCATCAAACGAATCTTCGACGACCCCCGTCCACCTCGCACACTGTACCCGTACCAGCCACACTTTGCGCACGACTCGGGAAATCAAGGCCGGAGACCCTGGGGTTCCTCTTCAAGGTTAGCTAGCGGTACCGCAGCGACGAGCCGCCGTGGCAGAGGCACAGGGCAAGACCGCAAAGCTGCCTTTTTACCCACGTCGTCAACCTGCAGTCCACTTCCAGACACCACTACCCAGGGCCACACAAAGCGCACACTCTTTGCTGAGGGAACACTGAACGCCAACAACACTGGCTTGCATTCTGTTTTCCCTCTCTCGCTCTCTCTCGCTTTCCCGCTCCTTCCCTCATCCCCCCAGGGCTGGATCGACTACGGATACCTGGGACTAACCCCGACGACCTGCCTCGTGGTCCACTGTTTGGATTTGAGAACCCTCCACCCTCCACCTTCCACTCACCCCCCAAACCAAAGTACAGTCGGGCAAGTGCCAGCACCCAGCGCTCAGCGCCCAGCACACCGGCACAGCATAGGCCTGCGAAACCACCTTCCTTCCGCCTTCCCTCCATCATCGAACCTTTTCTCCTCGCCCTCACCCTCCGCCCGCGCCCTCGTTCACTGTGTCCAAGGGTAATTCTCTCGACACCGGCAAGACACGAGGAAAATCATGTCGACTCCCACAACGGCTACAGCGACATTGCCTCCTCACTCGCATTATCACCATCCCCATTATCCCTACTCACATCAGCCGTACCAGGCCTCTACTGCCACAGGCTCCTCGTACCGCCAACCAGCGAACCCAATCCTCTCTACCTCCTCATCCACAGCGACGACGAGATTGCCTTCTGCATACGCCAACTCGTCGAGCATCGCCTACTCTACCACATCCACCGCTAGCCACGCCGGTCCCAATGGCCTAGGCCCTTCAGCCTCGTCAGCCAGTTCGAGGACCGTTCACGACGTCTCGAGTCCCGACGCGAACTACTCGCTCACCACCACCATGCCTGCCACCAACTCACTCTCCCAGTCCTCCCAGTCCGCTCGTAAGCGAAGACGATCAAAGGAGCCTGACTGGAACAAATTTTACAAAAATGGCCTCCCCAAGGAAATCATCGTCATCGATGACACCCCCGAGCCAGAGCACGGCAAGACGGTCGGCAACGGCGTAAGGGTTGTATCCAATGGTAACGGCAGCGTGAACGGCGCCGCTACCAATGGTGCCACCAGCCGTCCTGTTCCCAAGAAGCGGAAAAGGGACGACGAGCCTCAGGCCTACGACCCCGTCTACCACAATAAGTACGCTGGTTCTCACACCACCACTCCTCATCACAACGGCACTCCCAGCGGATCGACCATTTCCACCGACCGCACTACAAACTCCGCCATCCACACCACCGCTGCCACGTCCCTATCTTCAAACGGACACGAGTACTACGATGCCCAGCCTGGCCAGAAGCGTAAAAGAACTCGCCAGCAGATTGCCCAAGAGGCTAAGAAGAGAGAGGTTGAAGGTCTAGGCGACCCATTCCTTACCTACAAGCCGCCTCCATACCCTCCCAAGAAAGCGCCCGACGTTCATGTACGATTGGTTCAGGATGTAAGTATCGTCGTCTATCGCAATACGTCGTTCGTCAAGGTGCTAATGTCTCCTCAGCAGGGTTATAATAAGAATGCCAAAGTTGACGATGACGACGGACACTACATTGTTGTTCCCGATGCGGACCTCACGGATAAGTGTAGGTTGATGACACACAATCTAGCGATCACAAACGGCTAACCTTCTACGCAGACCAGATGGTAAAGCTGCTTGGGCAAGGAACGTTTGGCAAAGTCGTTCAGGCTCGAGACCGCAAGAGGAACAAGTCCGTTGCCATCAAGATCATCCGATCCGTGCAAAAGTACCGAGATGCCTCTCGAATCGAACTCCGAGTTCTTGCCACACTAAAGGCCAACGACGACGAAAATCGCAATCGTTGTATCCACCTTAGGGACTGTTTCGACTACCGCGGTCACATTTGCATCGTCATGGATCTTCTTGGCCAGAGCGTTTTCGACTTCCTTAAGAGCAATAGCTTCGTTCCCTTTCCCAACAGCCAGATTCAGAGCTTTGCTCGACAGCTCTTTACCAGCGTTGCCTGTAAGTTTTGGACGGTTTGTTCGAAATGGGTCTTCTACTAACAGATTCCAGTCTTGCACGATCTCAACCTTATCCACACTGATTTGAAACCAGAGAACATTCTTTTGTGCGACAGTGCTTACCAGACCTTTACCTACAACCGAAAGATACCCTCCTCATCTACAACCGTCAATCGACAAGCGAACCAGCGCAGAGTCCTACTAGACACGGAAATTCGCCTGATTGATTTTGGCTCTGCTACCTTCCAAGACGAATATCACAGCTCCGTCGTAAGCACTCGTCATTACCGAGCGCCAGAAATCATTTTGGGACTTGGATGGTCGTTTCCCTGCGACATTTGGAGCATAGGATGCATCTTAGTCGAGTTCTTCACCGGCGATGCATTGTTTCAAACACACGACAATCTCGAGCACCTCGCCATGATGGAGATGGTTGTTGGGCAGAGGATAGACTCCAGCCTTGTCCAAGCAGTGAACAAGATGGCCACTAGAAGTGGTGGTAACCCTGCCTCAAAGTAAGAGTTTCATGGCACAGTGACAAGGGAAGTGCTAACTCATACCGTGCAGATACTTCAAGCGATTGAAACTCGATTATCCTACGCCCGAGACAACCCGAGCTTCCAAGAGATTCGTCAAGGCCATGAGACGATTGGAGGTACGCGACAGCCATTCACGATTCCAAAAGAACGCTCACTAATGCCTTGCAGGACATTATCCCTTCAAACTCAACCTACTTCAAGAACTTTCTGGATCTCCTTCGGAAGATCTTTGTCTACGACCCCCAGCACCGCATAACAGCGAAGCAGGCATTGCAACATCCTTGGTTCAAGGAACCGGCGACACCGGACGATGGTACGGAAGCGGCCAAGATCCGCCTGGAGCGAATGAGACAGGAGCAGGATCACCGATACCACGCATGATCCCTAGCTTTACAAAGGAAGCTGTTTTCTTTTCCAAACCCTTACGTCTATAACGAACAAATTCGAGCATGATATGGGAGTTGGGCCGTTTGATATCTGGTCTGTACGATGGGGGCCGACGGAATTGGAAGGGCATGGCGCTCGTGCAACTTGATTTTTCCAACATGGGCCTCCCAGAGGTCAGCCATGTTCTGCCTCTTAATAGCAGCAGGCTTGATTGCATGTGGAGGGTTTTTTTGGGTTGTGTTTCGCGGGACAAGGGTCAAACTCGCAGCAACACGAGACAGTAGCACGAACGATCGAGCCACGCCCTGGACAGCGTTGCTAGTAGAGACGTTCTGATGAGAGAGATGTCGTGCCTTGTCGCCAGGCCCAATAGAGCGATTCTGTTGACCACCGCAAGCTTCCCCAGCTTGCCAACCACCTCTTCAGTCTTCTGGAGTGACCACTGACCGATGCATTCAACTTATCTGGAGGCCCCAACTGATTTGAGTAGACTGTTCCGGCTTTCATAAGATCTAAGAACTCGACTACTGGCTGAGGAGTTGCTTTGTGAGTCGTTCCTAGGACGGTAGATGCTTTGAAAGAGTGTGTCGCTTACATGAGTCGCTTTTTGTTCAGGTTCAAACAAACCAAGAATCTGGTTACAGCTCTTCTCGCAATCCGACGATTGCCGCTACGGCTCGAGCCAACGCCGTATTTCTCCACACGTGACCAACTGCAGGCGCGGCGACAATCTCTAGCCTCTCGCTTTTCCCGGTATCATTGGTCAGAACCGATATAGACGATGCGACCACAACCGCGGCCTGGACTATTTTGGCCTTATCGGATTGGCGAACAACGGCAACAAAACCACGTAAAGGAGTGCCTGTGCTGTTATTGTGTGGCTGGGAATTAAGAGAGATCAGGACAAAGCAGGACAGTTTCTCGCTTTGGTTGCTCAGCCCAAAGCTACTTTCTCTACGCCATAGGCAGCAATGGCTTTGCATTGTGTCGTTGAGAGTCAAAGGACAAACTTGCTTTCCTTGGTCAAGCAAGTTGCGGTTCGAAGACGATGTCAAGTTCGAGATTCTTCGGTCACAACCTGGCGACGCCGCCATTTGGCTATAGAAGGACAGTCCGATGCTGCTCTTGGTTCATTTTCAGCAAAACACAACCAGTCTCAGCGGCAGCGATTGTCATTCCGAAAATTACTCTCCAATTCACCCAAGCATTCCACACTTACTTTCAACCATGTCCAGCCCGTATCAAAGTGTTTATGATCTAACAGACATTTCTGTTAGGAGATTGGTTCGATACCTTTATCTCCCGACAGAGTATAGCATTGCAAAGCCCCCCAAGCACTGGCTCAAGGAGCAAGAGGAGACGATGAATAAGTTACCTGTCGATTGTCTACGCCCACGCGGCAAATTTAACGTGGTCAGCATTGTCACTCGTGGGTTGATGAGATTCAGCGAGAAATATAACCCCTCATTCACACCACAGGCTGCAGTCCTTTGCCCAAGCCATCACGGCCTGAACCCGTGGACAATCCACGCCCTTTTTGCGCTGGTTTTGAAAGAGATCACAGTGGACACGGACCGCTTGCGACTCGACCGACAACGCGGAAAAGGTCCGGAATTTGGACCATCGATCCAGGAATTTCTTCGTCGCCTGGATGACATGCAGGCCTTGTGGATGGACACGTATACTTTCGAACTGCTCTATGGTCGTCAGCCGAAAGTGTTGAGCGGGGTCAGGTCGAAATGTGAGGCATGTATCTTGTCAGCACTCGGATCTCGTCCCCTTTTTCTCGGCGACCTTCGCGCTCACTGCATCGCCCGAACGGAGGGAATGACGCCATGCCTGCAGAGGGTCGTGGATGCGTGGATCAACGAGTTCCCGGAACCTCGGCGAACAGAGCTCTGCAAAAGAAGTGCATTTTTGGCTGAGGAGATTCGGACCATGCTGAAGGATATCAGGATAGCGCGTCACGAGAGACGCGCAGCTTCTCGACAACGAAGAGCTAAGGCGTCGGCGATCACCAGTAGGGACACCAAGACGAAATCCGGAAGTGATTCCCCGCGCTTCATCACGGGTGGGCAGTCGACCACGAATGAACGGACTTTGATGCCAATCAGCGAGGACCCCTTCGCCGATCCGTACGATGGAAACGCTGACTCTGAGAACCGGCCGTGGCAAGATGCGGTTGTGGGGTATTACGAGCGCCTGGCCGTCGCGAACGGTAAAGGCGGTGCTTTCGACCGATCTTCCATACACCCGACCTTTGGCGACCCGGCGCCTCAACCCGACCCTCAGTTCCGTCGCGATTTTGGTACGGGAAAAGAGGTGGATCGAAAAGAGCAAGAGACTCTCTGGCAGGATGCCGTTGCTAACAGTCCCGCTAGGAGACAACAGCGTTTACGCTCGTCTGACCTCCCTCCGTCAATGCTCCAAGACGAAGCCCGACGCCGTAATCGGTTTCGACATGTAGACTCGAGCAGCGTCTACACTGACTCCGAACCGGTCACGCCTAGGCCTGTTACCCCCACCGCCGCTCTCGACACGCAGCCGTACAACCAGTACAGCAACGAAGCTCCGAGCAGCCCATTGTATACGGACGTCAGTGTGTACTCGAACGACGAGCTGGCCCGGCCCCACCCCCCAGTCTCCGCACCCCCATCCGTCGTCACCACCTGGCCACAACAACGGTCAAGCCCGTCTTCCGGCCGCCCTCGCCCAGGCGGTATCGTAAGTAGCTCCTCCGTCTTGCCCCAGAATAACAACGTCATGACACAGGACGGTACCCGCGCAGAAGATTTGCCTCCCGGAGGATTGTCGCTGTCCCCGACGGAGGCGGAATGGTACCTCGGCGAGGCCAAGAGGGTAGCCTATTTGGAAGAGATGGGACGCATCGGCCGGCCGAGTTTCAAGGACCACATTTCCGGATCTGCTGCGTCCGGGTCCGAGGCCGGGTCCAGAACACCGACAGGCTCTGCGCGACCTGGGCCGTCGTCGCCTGCTTCTTGGACGGTGCCTACGGTGTTGCCTTTGGACGATGACGACGTACGCAGCATAGTGTCGGCACCAGGACAGGCGCCCATGAGTGAGGTCTCGACGATTTACCCTGATGATTCGATGAGCTTTATTAATTTCCGGCGTTGGTGATGATCATTTCGCAACGCTTTGTCATGGTTATTCTCCGTGGAGATGTTGCTTTGGTTTGGTAGGAATGGTAGGTAGTAGGGGTTGGGCACGTAGATTTCTTGCACATGCATCATTTCCAGCAATAGACTTTCCACTACTAGGGCCGTCAAGACTGTGCGTTCATTTTGGGAGGACCCCACAATGTACCCATCAATCGTCGTTACAATATCACAAGCAGGGATAGAGAAGATGGGATTCTAAGAAGATTGAGCCATCTACCGCGACAGTATTATGGGTAGTTAGCACACACATCCCCAAAAGAAAGAAAGAAAAACCAAGACCTGCCCTCAGCATTCTAGGGCTTTCGTTTCTTTCTCCCTCCTCCATACCAACTTCCTGATCTAGAGGATTCCAATATCCATGGCAATAGCCATGGTGACCAAATATCAAGAGACAACAACAAGTCGTTTCCCCGAGATCATTAAAGCAGCCTTCTGGTCCACTTATAAGCAAGCTCTAATAGTTGTATCGGCCCATTCCCGCTCAACTGTTTACGATGATATTTTCGTGATCTCCGAAAACATGAATGTTGAGAAGCCTGGGAGCAGGAACTCAAACCCTGGTTTTTTTTTTGGTCAGGGCGCAAAGAATGTGTAATCTGAAATCCAATTAAGGGGTTCTGAGAAGGGGGAAGGGAGTTTTGTGACGAGGGCGTGAAACAAAACAGGAAAAATAGCAAATGGGGAAAAAGCAGTGAAGAGTCTCTCGGAAACAGAGTCGTGTGCCTGTTGCTTCAAGATGCCGATTTGCGCCGCGAGCGAAGCTACTGAGTCGGATCGTGTTAAAAGGCACACGACGTCGGTGTCCAATGCTCTCTTCCAAGCGTTGAATAGGAAGGGTGTGGGCATGAAGTGAAATGGGTAAAGGGTTCTTCGCAATTTGTGGAGTTTGGCTCTGTTCCGGTGACTGAACCCATCATTTGCAAACTTTAGTCTTAATCATTATGGGAAGCTGACGTTAAGAACTCACCTCCAAGATGCATCATCATCCATCAAGGCAATGGATCTCGCTTCTGCGTTAAAGGCTGACCAAACTAGTAGAGCCCTACGAGACTTGAGCGCATGAGACTAAGCTTAGCCTCTGAAGATGTCGTCGCTATCATAGCCATCGCTGTGCTGGTGATCCTTGCGAGGAACAGGAGACTCAACTCTTCGAGCTCCAAGCGAGTGGGACTTTCCGGGGTAGTCGTAGGAGCATTCAGACTCGTCTCCGAGATAGAAAGTCTTCGGGGAGATCTTCTTCGCCCAGTGTTGCCAAATCACTTGGTCATACCACTCGGCGCCGTGAGAGTGGGTCACCTTGTAGACCTGGCTAAGATGGCCAGCCTGCTCGAACTGGAAACTCGCCACAAAGTTCTCCATCCACTTGAGGCTGTGACCGCCCTCGCTCTGGGCCATTGTGTGGACGACAATACCTAACGAAGACTATTAGCTATTGACTCTGATACAGTTTTCATGGTCGAGGACTTACGGTGAATATCCCGAAAGTCGGGCTTATGGAAGGCGTCTTCGTTAGCATCCGGATCAGCCCACTTGCACTTGACGTATCCGTGATACAAGATCGAAGTCTGGCTGAGGAGCTGATGGAGAAGGGCACTTCCGATGCCACCACGTCGATGCTCAGGGTGGACAAAGATAGTAGCCTTGACAGTCGGGGTCGCGTTGCCGGTGAGCCCTCCAATGCCTGTCTCATATGGCCGGAGGTAGGCGAATCCGTATATGGTAGTCTCAGGGGCCAATTCCTCCTGGGAATGAGACTTCTTCCACTTCATGTATTGTCGGTAAGCGTCACGAGACGGCCAGTTCTTCGGGTCGTTCAATTCGGTCTTCTTGGCAGTCGCAACGATGAATGGAAGCTTCTGTCTCTTGCACTCGCCCATTATGTATTCGAATCGCTGGGCAGAGACTGGATAGGTGTCGATCACCAGGTGATCTTTACCAACGGCAAGGTTGTATATCTCGGCGCAGGCCTCGGCGTCGGTTGGCTGACCAGGGCGAAGGACACAATCTGCCAGAAGGTTGTTCCCGTCCGATGTAGATGCCACAGAGGTCGTCGTGGCATCCGCAATTTCTCTCTTTTCCTTCTTCTCTTGAGCCTGGACGGCAGATTGACTAGTCCGCTCCTCCTTCTCCTTCTGCTGACGACGGGCCATGTTCTTACGAACAGTAATTTCGCGATGAATTACCAGGTTGCTGGTCCAATCGCGGCGACGGTGAATCATCGCGGACGTCATATCCTGCCCGTCCTCGATATTAGCGACAGTGGTTGGTTGCTCAATACGGGGCAGCAGCTGTCCAGTGGCAGGGTCAACATCGTGGTTGTGGTGATCCTGGTTCTCGGCCAGGAAGGAAGTGACGAATTCGCCATCCAGAGTTTGGAGCCATGCTAGAAACCATGGAGAGGCTTTGATGATAGAATCAGGCACAGAATCCTCATTCAGATCCTCACTGTCCTGGCTCGAGCCAGCGCCACCAGAGGACGAATTCTCATCGTCAAGGCTGACTTCCCAAGATGAGTGGCTCTTCTTCGACTTGGAAATGACGCCTAGTCTCTCTGGGAGATCCTCGAGAGCCGTGGTTGTCAGAGGTGCCAGCTCCCCGAATACCTCAGAAAGAAGAACGCTTGAGTCAGCATAATCGTCCGAAGACTCCGTGTCCGACTCCGCGTAGTAGCTGGTGGTTGTGGGTTGCTCCTGGGTCTCAACAACTGGATCTTCGGCCTTGGCCTTGGCGGATCGCTTGTGAGGAGGGACGTAGTCGCTCGGCAACGGAAGCGGAGAGGTCATCATGTGGTTTCCGTCGTCGTCGTCGTCGCCGTCGGATTGAGCCTTCAAACGTTGAGAAGCGATTCTTGCCTCCCTTTTCTTCCGGGTCCTTTCAAAATTCTTTCTTGCCCTGTAGATTCTCTTCTCAGCAAGGTAGTCGTAGTCAGCGGAACCTGGGCCAGTGATAAAAATATCTTTGCCGAGGGTACTGCGGTTATTGAATTGGAAATTAATTCGTCGAGCCTCAAGGCTGGCAGTGGGTTCGTTCAGAAAAGAAGGAAGGGGGGGTCTTCTATCGGGTACCGGAAGATCCCTGGCCCATCGAATAGAGGTACAGCGTTTGATAGGCTCAGTTAGTTTTGTTGAAGGAATCCTCAAGGAAGGAGCCCTCGATTGGACCTTCTGATCAGTGTTGCCCTCACGTGGGGTCAGATTGGTAGATGGGAATGTGAACCGGGCTGAGCCAAGCTCCTGTGGATGCAAGCCGATGGACGACCAGGAAAAATGGCTGCCTAGTCTGGGAGTATGTTCGCCTCGATACTCTGCATCACGGCTTGACTGGTTCTCATTGTTGCCAGTCTGCTTCTCTTGGCTAGTGGGCTCTTTGCGGGCCGACATGTTGGCGATCGATGTGTGCTTGAACAAACACAATGAGTCCTGTAGCTAGCTGAACAATGGTCATAAGCCAACCAAGAGCACTTTTGTTTTCATGTATGTCTTTTTTTTTTTTTTTTTACAGAGAAAGAACAAAAGTACTTACATGTATATGATGAAAGAGTTCAATCTCAAGGCTCAATTAAAAGGGTGCGTTGAGTGCTAAGAGCGTTGAGGGTGCTAGAGCAAGAGACTTCAGTGAGGCAAGGTAGGCGCTGAGATGCTTCGTCGGGAAGATTCGCAGAGGGAAGAATGCGCAGAACTTATTGTCTTGAGGACGATATTTTCAGATCAAAGAATAGGAAGTCGTGGCTGCTCACCTGTTGGAGGCAGGAGGAACTTGCATGACCCAGTTGTTTTTTCCCTCTTCCCAACTGATTTTGGGCGGATGCCTTTGGTCGCTCCAGTGTCATCTAGTAGATCGAAGCTCTTGGGCTTGTGTGAATACTTCCACCCTTTTTATCATTTCCAATGATGCAACTTAAGGTAATTGAATACCGCCTACCTCATGGAATTACCGATTCTACTTCGTACTGCACCAACCAGTAACCCGCCTTGATCGTGTGAAAGGCTCGATGTTTGACTCCCATTGGAATTCAAGCCCATCTAGAATAGTTTCAACTCCCCATTTCATGAAAGTTTCAGCATATTCACCCAAGACTTTCATATTGTTCCCGTTGTGGCATGGTGAGAGATGCCTAGCATACTTAGGCATCTGGTGATGTTGGTAGTCCATGTGGCATATGCTCGGTGTGGTCGGTGAGCACAGGTGGTAATGTATTCACCGAGTCTAGACCGAAGCTGCGGGGTCACGTGTAGCCAATCGATCCATTCAGGCAGCGTCGACGAACCTCTGTCTGCGCGTGTACACCAGCTCTTCTGACAAAGAAAACTTACGGCGATTATGAGCATGTCCGACAACACGAGTCTTGCAAGCAAAAGTCTTTAGTCGGTACATGCCGGGGAGAGGTTCAGCTATCCGTTCGTCATGTTGTCCATCCTGAGAAAGGCACGTCTCAAAGACAAGGAGATGCGGATCCTGATGCTGTCAGTTTTGTCACCCGCCTGCGGACCGTTTCCGCCGCTGATGATGTTTACAGAGGCCTTGACAATGCGGGAAAGACCACAATTGTCAAGAAGATTATGGGTGAAGACGTCAACACTGTGAGCCCAACTTTAGGGTTCATCATCAAGACTATAGATTACGACGGGTTAGTCGGCATTCTCCTGCATCCCGCGCAGTGCAGTGCTAACGGCATGCCAGCTACAAGCTCAACATTTGTGTGTCCCCCAGCTGATGTTATCACGGAGGCACTCTGACCAGAACAGGGGATGTGGGCGGGCAAAAAACACTACGCTCATACTGGCGAAATTACTTTGAGAAGACGGATGCGCTGATCTGGGTTGTTGATGCCACAGACCGGCTGAGAATTGAGGACTGCAGAGAGGAGCTCCACGGTCTGCTGCAAGAAGAGGTTCATCCGCCGACGACACGTATAGAGTGGATGCGATCCATTGATGCTAACCTCATTGACAGCGACTCTCTGGAGCAAGTTTGCTAGTGTTTGCCAACAAGACCGACGTCAACGGATGCATGGACGAGCAGGAAATTCATCAAGTTGGTGCCAGGATATGTTAACCGTTGCCGGAGAACAAGCTGACTTTGTCTTTCCAGGGGCTGCAATTGGAGGCGATCAGAACACATCGCTGGCACGTCCTGCGATGCAGTGCCATGACCGGCGCCAACCTCAAGGAAGGCCTGGCTTGGGTAGTGGACGACGCAAAGAAGAGGCTGTTCCTATACTAGAGGCAAAGGCAGTCAAGTAACATTGGTAGTAGCCTCTGGCCAGATCACACTACTACGGTGCGGCTCCCCTCGCACTCGGCGAGCATTCCAGGTAGTCCTGGCCAGACTGCTCAGCTAGTTCCCGGGCGCGCCGTTAGGAAGCTGAGATGGCCAGGAGAACATGGACGGGCATAAAGATGGCCAGGTCAAAAGAGGCATGATGAAGCGTGTCAGGCTGTTCTCGAAGGACGGTCCCAGGAAGGGCCGGATCCGAGTGATTCTGTGGCGGCTCGGGAGTCGGGATAGACTGTGTAATGAGGTGACAGATAGATGGGTGACCCAGCGTCGAGAAACGCAAACCCACATTGGTGAATAGGAGACGATCAATATTCGTGCTAGCAAGGCAAAATATCCGCTGAGGTCGAGAATGACGGCCGCGTCCATATGTGGATGGGGCATAATTAGTGCCTGGTGATGTGGTCCATCGCGTCCTTCTGCTTAAAATCGGGTCGTTGCTGGTCCGAGGATGTCCGAGAAGAAGAAATACCCAAACGAGGGGACGATAGAATCCCTCAGTGTCAGCACCGGCGTCCCTCGTCCGTTAGGTTGGTCATGGTATCCGCACCTTCCAGCGAAGTCGGTGTATTTTGTCCTAGTCACTATCCGTATAGCAGAAAGATTGCAGCCGTTGGAGTCGAATACCGACCGGGTCATCCCTCCGAAATCGCGGTTTGAAACGATGGGATTGAAACGCCCCATCGAGCCAGTAAGGGCGCTTGAATGTCGAAATTTGGTGCAAGGAATCTCAGTTACGAAATAAATACAATGTGAGACAGGGGTTGCGAGTGTGGAGAAGTGAGTGGCCAATGCGTCTTGGAGTTGGGCACAGGTACGGAGCACTCCCGTCTGTGCCACCATGCCTAGCGAAGTACGTACCCTGGTTGTTTTGGTTCCACTTTCTTTGTGTACAACCTGCAAGTATTCCGTACCCCCAAGGTCTTGACGAGGTTGCCGAGTCTGGCCGCACTACGACAGCTTGACGGAGCTGAGGCAAGCTGAGTTGAAACCCTTGGAGCAGCTTGCAAGCTTGCTGCAATGATTTGAGACAACGGCGCAGGTGATCGAGGGCAAGAAAGATATCGGAGGATGGAGTGGGGGATGGTGTCGAGGTTGGAGGATGCTCTGTTGTTCATGGTTTGGACTTTGGAGAAATTGTTGCTGATATTGCGTCTCTTACTAGTGTACGTAGTCTGTCTGGGGCATACCGAAGAAATCATTGGATGCAACGCTAGACCTGGTGCGACCTGACGTGCAGGCTGCTTGCTGTTGTTAGGGGGGCCTGCTCACCTGCCCAATTGGCAAGGCATGGAAGGAAAAGAGGCAAAAGCTTGGGCGGGATGCAACTGCTCGCATCAGCGCAGCACCTCAGCAGCAAGTCCAAAGTATTGTGTAGGTAAGCATGCGAAGCGCCGTCGCCATCTGCCCAAAACCTGCTTCCCTCGTCTCGCCTTTGTTTACTTTCAACCTTGCAGGCGCAGCAGCGAGCACAATTGTCCAAACAAAACAAGAGTCTGGCCTCGCCAAAACCAAAGGAGACTGACTGCATTCAGAGCTCTGCAACTTGCTTCCGCCGACTGCATTTCCCAGGATTGTGGTTCTTGCTCCTTAGCCTCAGCCGCAGCCGCCGCCGCCGCCGCCCACATCGCCAGACACTCGGGAACCATACGCATCCAACAAGCCCAGCTATTCGTACTTCTACCCAAGGTTGGTTCCTAGTTTTGCCTTACCTCCAAGTAACAACAAAGTTGCCAGAGAGACACAGACCCGTCACCCGACTCCAGTCTGTCTCCATCCGCAGCACAGGTCTTGGATCCATCCGTACCCAACCTTGGGCTACTTTACCTGGTGTCTGTGAGGGCGCTCCGCTCTCGCCTTGGCCCAAGATCCTTGCTTTGGTGCCATTTCCCTAGCGGTACCCATCCAAAAGGTGACGAACCAGAGGTACCTTGCCCATTCTACCTTACCTTACCTTATCCCATCCCATCCTTATCCCGCCACGGACCAGACCAAGACTAGAGCGACAGAGGGAGGGAAAAAAATAGACAACATATCCTTCTCCAACAAAGACCTCACTACCTTACCCGTTCGCCTTGCCACGACATACGTCCTAACCGGGGGGATTCCTGCGCATACAGAACCACCCGTTTCCATTCCTCCCCCACCCGCAACCGTGTCATGACTCTGTCTCCCTCAAAATGTCGGAACAAACAATGGACGATGTCTCCAAGTTTTTGCAAGATGTCAAGGAGATGAATGCTCGCCGAACCGAAGAGGACGACGCCCGCCAACGCGAACTCGACGAAAAGATACAGCAGGAGAAGAGGGAACGACAGGCTCGTCGCGCAGGTACGTCCATTTATGTCTGTGTTTCTCCTTGCTTCCCCTCCTCCCACACCTTGCATTGCGTCGTTGCTGTCACGTCCCGCCGTGGCCCGTGACTACTGCTGCTTGTCTCTCCCCTCACCTCATCCATCATCTACCTGCTTGGCTGCCCTATTCAACAAGCTTTCTTTTCCCGACTCGGCCAAGGCACAGCTCCTACTTTGCGGCTTGCCTTGTGTGCCATCTGCATGTTCGTGCTCGTGCCGTGCTATGTTCAGGTTCAGGTTGCCCTTGGCCAACGAGCTGAGCTACTGACGGGACGGCCGCCGCACTGGGCGAGACGCGGGCGACGCCTCAACGCCTTGACTCCCACCCCCAATGACCACCACACACGGCCTTCGTCCATTGTTTTCCACATGGGTCCCTCAGGGAAATCATCGACGTTCACTTTTCCCTTGCAATTGACACTGTTCTTCTCTCCCACCTCGTTGCGCGACTGTGTTTTGCGAGAAGAAGAAAATTTGGATCGCCTTCTCTGACTCCATTTGACAGAACGCGCTCGATCCATTTCCCCTCAAAAGTCATCCCCGGCCAACACCCCACCACCCTCCTCTCGAGGCAACACGACACAGCTTTCCGATGACCTAAGACTTTCTTCTCCTGGTCTTGAACACACCGGCAGCCCTCGCTCTCACTCACGTGGCATCGTAGCTCCCGACACCATGGACAGCTTCTCGACCTCTCCAACCAAGGAGAACGATTCCCCCTTTGATGCCGACAGCAAGCGATCGAGCGTGACCTCTCCTACCGGCGGCGTACAAGGAGCGCGGCCCCTGTCATGGCAGAGACGCCCCAACTCTCAACATTCGGATCGATCCAAGAACCGTCCTCTGTCCGTCGTTGCTGCCGAGAATGCGACCAGGACCTCACAGAACACAACTCCAGACCCCCCCTCTGCCACTGAGCAGACCTTCTCCAGGGACCAAATTTCTCAATCATTGGGCTCTAAAGACCCCGCGTGGTTCCGGCAAACGGCCGATCGAGCCAGCGCCGGCTCGGCTGCCAACCGCAAAAGTCAGATTGAGGATACCGACACCAACGACATGTCCTCAATGCGCGCCCACCAGCTCCCCGGCATGAGTCGCAGTCCTTCGACAGACTTATCTCTCGAGCAGTCTAGTCCGACGAAAGAGAACAGAGTCGGCTCCCCGCTGTCGCTGAGCAGCTCCCAGAAGCTTGACCCCCCCGCCGAGATCTCCGAGAATGACCCCACGGCGCTTCGCCGAAAGTCAGTCGTGTCATCAGGATCCGGTCGCGCGTCGCCCACGCGACCTGTTTCTCCTACAAAGGGCATGGGTGGGTTTGTCCAAAGCGCCATGATGAAGAGGTCAGATAGCGTCAAGAGGTGGAGTGTTACGTCTCCCCCAGGCCTCGTGCGCGCCGATTCAGCTGCAGCAAGTCGGCCTGAGTCTCGCTCCCGTCCGCAGAGCATGTACATGCGGGACGGAGCTTCAACACCTACCGGATCATCTCACTCTCGGTCTCTGTCCCGCCCCGCTTCCCGCCCTACCTCTCGTCATAGCAACCAGGAACAACAAGACGAGATCGAGACCACACCCAAAGCACCTGCTGTGGCACCTCCGTCCGAGGCCAAGCCCGATGTCAAACCCGTTATCAAGCCTGCTGTCAAGCCTGATGTCAAGCCCGATGTCAAGCCTGATGTCAAGCCTGATGTCAAGCTCGACACTAAGCTTGACAACAAGGAGGAGGAAAACAAGGATGCAACGACGCCGCCATCAAGCCCTTCAAAGACCATGGATACTAGGAGATGGAGCCCGACGAAGGCAAGCTGGCTGGAAACCGCGCTGAACAAGCCAGAGTCACCAAAACCAAAGCCTCCACCGGTTTCGAACCAGCCAGCCTGGATGGTGGAGCTCAACAAAGCCAAGGCTCACAAGGCTGCCAACCCCAGTGCCGACCTTGGTCGAAGCGGCTCAGTATCATCGCAGAAGCACGAGGTCAGTGTTGGTGGGCTGATGCGTTCGTCGCCTATGGGAAGCCATGTGTCCAAGCCCTCTGTGAGTGGCCTCAAGGGTATATATACACCGCCAGTGCAAACTCACAAGACAGGCGGCAGCATCAGCAGCCCAAGCTTGCGGACCAGCACGATCAAAAGCCCGGGCAGCGAGGATAAGCCTGAAGGAGATACCGAGGCCGTGAATATTCCAAAGCGCTCTTCAGTCTCTGACAGCCCTTCTGTGGCTAAGGTCAAGCCCGAAACCCCTCCCAAGAAGGACTTCCGCGCTGGCTTGAAGTCTAGAAACGTCTCCGGCGACGCTGCTTCTTCCAAAGAACCGGCCAACGAGTTGCAAAACGTTTTTGGTAACTTGCGACGGACAAGGACGCAGAATTACGTGGCGCCGGATGAGCTGAAGGGTAACATTTCGCGCGGCAAAGCAGCCTTGAATATGACCGGTGGGCCGAAGCCGAGCGAGCGCAAGGATGAGTTCAAGGAGGCGATTTTGAAGAAGAAGCACGACTTCCAGGCTGCTCAATCGCAGGGCAAGGGCGTGACGAGAACCAAGTCCAATGCAGCTGAGCACCCTGTTCCGGAAGCTCTGTTGAAGAGACATGCGTTGAGCAAGTCGATATCCGGCAGGTCAGACGCTACTTCGCCTTCCGCTATCGAGCACCGAAAGTCTGTAAGCGAGAGGCCAAAGTCGTCATACAGGGATGATTCCAACGAGTCGGTCTCTTCGCTCAAGTCGCCGTCCGTCAAGTCGCCCTCTGACTGGTCACCCACGCTCAAATCGCCTTCCATTAAGTCTCCGATGCAACCCGGACCCACGACTGAGGTTCAGAAAGAGAGCAGTGCTCCTACCCGACTTCAAGGGCGCGCCGCTGCTGGGGGCCTAGCGAACCGGTTCAATCCTGCACTTGCAGGACTTTTGGCTCGTGGCCCCCCTCCTATGACTACCAATGGAGCGCGCGACGCTGAGAAGTCGGAAGAATCCAGCGGGGCGCCCGCCGAACCCACGGCTCCAGGACCTCAGCTTACACACATGACTAAGGGTCGTGCTCGTGGACCGAGAAGAAAGGCGCCGTCTTCCAAAACTACCTCCGCGGCTGGACCCGGCGCAGAAGTGGCAAGCGAATCTAAGCCCGGTCCGGATTCCGTCTCACCGGCGAAGGAAGAACCGCCTGTGGTGGTAGACGAAGCCAAAAAGAGTTCTGAAAAGGAGGCGCCGTTGTCCATCCAAGCTCAAGTCGCTGCTCAAGCAGCTGCCAAGAACAGGCCCGCACCTCTCAAGCCCTTTGGAACCTCTGCTGAGGCCCACGCTGAGAGGCCTGCTGAGAAGTCTCCAGAGAAGCCTCTTTTTCCCGCCAAGGAGGAAGAGCCTGTCTCAAAGCGCAGGTCCCGATCTCCTACGATGAAGCTCCAGGCTTCCCCGATCAAGCCGGTCGAGGAGAAACCCAGCGAACCCGCCTCCCAGCCCACCTCACCTAAAAAGCTGGATATGAAGCGAATGTCAAGGTTCTTCGAAGAGAACCAGTCGAGCCAAAAGCCTGAAAGTCCTAAAAGGGAGAGCCCCAAGATGGAAAGCCCCCCCAAAACGGGCATTCCGCCTAAGATGGACAGCCCGACGCAAGAGAGCCCCAAGATGGAGAGTCCCAAGATTGTCAGCCCAAGAATCGAGACTTCTAAGGTTGTCAGTCCCAAGATTGCCAGTCCGAAGAGGGAAAGCCCGGCTTCCTCGCCGAGCATCAAGCCGAAGCCCGTATTTGAGAAGCCCTTCAGCCCTCCACCTCAAAAGGCGGAAGAGGTCAGACCAAAGCCAGTATTTGAGAAGCCACCTAGCCCTGCACTCCAGAAAACCGAAGAAGTCTCTCCGGTCAAGACTTTCGGACGACCTCTTCCCGAGCCTAAGCCGAGTTCTCCGGCAAAATCTTTCTCGGACAAGGTGAAGGAAGTTCCTGCGCCCATCAAGACTTTCGGACGCCCGCTGCCCGAACCAACTCCCAGGTCACCTACACGGTCTCCCGTTCGGTCGCCGCCGCCCAATGAGCAGTTTGATAGCCCTCACGTAGCACCTCTCAGAACCTTTGGCCGACCTCTGTCGAGGCCTAGTTCGCCTCAAAAGTCGAATGACAGGGTTGACAGCGAGCCTGTGGTATCCGTCAAGAATGCTGCTTCAATGTTCGGCGGGGCTGTCGTACGGTCGCCACCTCTCGAGGCTAAGTCGCGATTCGAGAGCCCTGCGCCCCCAGTCCAAAGGACCGGTACTCCCACGAGGATTTCTACCAGGCCTCTACCTATTCCACCGAAGCCTTCTTCTCCAACACCCATCGCGTCTCCTGTTCGATCCCCCACAAAGTCAAGCTCGGAGGTTTCAAGTCTGTTGGATGACTTCTTTGGCACGCCGCGACCACAGAGAGAGTACCGCCTTGACACCACGGAAATACTGATGAACAAGCCCCGGGTGCGCGACATTCAAAGTCAGGGCACGAGACTGTTCCAAATTACTGGAGACGGAAAGAAGATCCCTGTCCAAGCACATAATGAACGTATCTTGTTCGAGCGGGAAATGTACATTTGCGCCCACACATTCGCCAACGAGTCTGGTAGAAAAGAGACGGAGGTGTACTTCTGGGCCGGTGATGAGGTATCAGCGGCAACTGTGGAAGACACCACTCTCTTTGTCAACCGGGAGGCTCGTTCGCTCGGTGGCAAGGTCGTCAAGATGCACCAAGGCAGAGAAACCCCAGAGTTCATCATGGCACTCGGAGGCATGATCATGACCCGCCGCGGTACCAACACCAAATACGACTCCTTGGCACCCAGCATGCTATGTGGCCGCCGGATGCTAGGCCAGGTTGTATTTGACGAGGTTGACTTCTCATCTGCGAGCCTTTGCTCTGGGTTCCCTTTCTTGATTACACAGTCAGGAAAGTGCTACCTCTGGAAGGGCAAAGGCAGTGATGTAGATGAGTTGAGTTGCGCCCGTCTCATTGGTATGGACTTGAGCTTGATGGGCGAGCTCCTGGAAATCGAGGACGGCAGCGAGCCGGATAGCTTCTGGGCCATCTTTCATGATGGCACGAAGCCGCACTCTGCAGACCATTGGCGTTTGAAGTCCAACTACGACAAGTACTGCCAAAGACTCTTCCGTTCCGACGCGTCTGTGGCTCAGCAGGTAAGCTGAACGGCGTCACAGTCCTCCAGTCCACCACTAACCATGATAACTACAGGTCTCCGAAATCAGCCCGTTTACTCAGGCTGACCTGGACCCTTCGTCAATCTATGTATTGGATGCCTTCTTTGAAATGTACATCATTGTCGGCAGAACAGCGCAGAGCGAGTACAGCTCCTTCCGCAACGCCCTCGACTTTGCGCAGGAGTATGCCATTTTGGCCAGTGGCATGGAAGATCGGCCCTTTATCCCTATCTCGACGGTCGTGTTGGAGGGCATCCCGAAAGACCTCAAGAGCGTGTTTCGCAAGTGGCGAGACGAGTCCAGTCCGACCATTATGCCCCCCAAGGCGGCGTCCGGTCTGAAGCGCGGAAGATCTTTGCGCGTCGTTCCCCTCACGCACGCTCTCCAGGCTCTTAGTGAGTAAGTCTATCTGCGAAGCGAACGGAAGCGAGTTACTTGGCGGAAAGGCGCGACTGGAGTTTGATTCTCAAGGGAGGAGGCGGCGGGTGGGTTTGAAACGATTTTATACTAAATACCCCGGATGCGTGGGGATGGGTAGGAGATGGAGAGAAGTGTACATGAATCATTGTCGCATTTGCAAAGGCGAGAGAAGGGAGGGAAAAGACATGGCGATGGGCGTTGTTTTTTTTTCTTTTTAATAATTTCAAAAGAATGGGTCTTTGGGTTGGCTGGCTGATTTGATCATGTACGGCGAGGCGGATTGATGCAGTAGCAGCAAGCGACCACAACCAAAGACCACCTTCTTGGTATTGTGGAAGAGCATTCAAGTATTTCAAGCATAGAACCCGGTCATGACTACATCGTGATTGCAGAGATCGCCGAGTTTAATGTTGTCAAGGGCCACGGGATCGTTCTACTCACTCGTGGACCATCCACCTTGGTTGGCTACCTACCTAGTGTCAGTCTCAGAGCGCATCGCCTGATATAAGACAACAGCACGATGATGAAGATGCAATACAAAAGCGTTTTTGATTCAAGGAAGTAATACATGGCCAAGACACGCGGCCAAGACACGCGGATACCCAAACGCAACGCCGGTAGCTATATGTTCGAAGATGACACCGCCCAAGCAGCGGAACAGCCTGCCAGTCCAGTCCGCTAAGCACCCGCTCATGCTGTGTGTTGTGTAGATGATGTTCTGACTTGGGTATATTTTGAATCTCTTTACACTTTTTTTGTTTTTGTGCAACTAACGTCTTGGTTTCTTCTATCGCCTCGTACACAGCAACCCTTCCCCCGCCAACTAACCGCCCAGACTCAAAGGGCCTCCACCCCTCTTCATGACTCGTCCTCTGTATCGGTATTCGTCTCGCTCGTGTCGTCCTGGACGTCGTCGTCCGTGCCGCTCTCCTCGTCCGAGTCATCGTCATCTTTCCTGTGGGGTTTGGTGGCGCCCGGTACGCTGCCGCCCTTGAGGGCTTGCATCTGGCCGGCTATCGAATCTGATTATTGCTGTTAGTATATGGATGTTCCTTTTCGATTTTTTTTTGGGGGGGGTGGGGTTTTTGGTTTTAGAGGAGGTTCCATACCTTCATCGGGCTCACTGATATCATCCTCGGCGACCATCGCTGCCGCCTTGTTCGCCTCCTCGACGACAAGGGTTACCTCCATCTTGGTGTCGAAGCCGACGTAGCTGTCACACACAACGTGCATAACAAAGGTGTAGTGGCCAGCCTGGGGGGGAGCGGCGAATTGGGCCTTGAGGGTTTGCATGTTGAAGGTGGGCTTGCCATCATCGCCAAAAATAGGCTGGTCAAACTGGGTGAAGGTGAAGGGGGGAACAGCCATCTTGCCCTGCTTGGAGTCGGTCAAGAAGACGTACCACTTAGGGGCGTGATCGCGGGCGAAGTAAGGGGCGTGGGCGAGAGGAGGGAGAATCGGCTTGTCGTCAACGGGGACAGGCTTGCCATCGGGGCCCTTGACGGTCTTCTTTTTGCGGCCAAGATAGGCCTCCAAGTCGTCTTCGGCGGGGTCAATGTCTTCCAGGTCCAACTCGTTGACCTCGGAGACGTTTTCGCTACCAGGGGGAATGATGCGTCCCTTGACGACCAGGGTAACCAGAGAAGAGGGGATGATGAATCGCTCGCCGGTAACCTTGAAGAAGGCCTTGGCAACGCGGAGCTGGGGCAGTTGTCGAGCGACACCAACGGCAGACTTGTACTGAGCCTCGGTGAGGAGGTTGTTGCGGACGACTAGGTTTCTGCGAAGCTCGTCGGGCAAATCCATGAACTGCTGGAGAGAGATGTGTACCTTGGAGTCGCCTCCCTCGACCTGGCGAACGATATCCTGGGTGAAGTGGGGAAGCTGGAGGAGGGGAGAGGCCTTGGGTGGGAGAGCCTGGATGAGGTGCTGGCTGGTGGAGTAAGCCGCCAGAATAGGGCCAGTGTTACCGTATGCTTGGGCAATGGCAGAGAATGATCGGGTGAGGGCGTGTGCAACGGGAGCAACTTCGTACTTTGCGCTGTCGAGAGCGGCGTCCTCGAGCTCGACGCGACCAAGGTAAGACCTCAGGAGGGCTAGAGCCTTGCGGCGCACCCCGCTGTCGAGGTCCTCAAGAGCTTGCTTGTCCTTTTGAGAGAGACCAGCCTTTTCGGCGTTGGCCAGGAGCTTGGACTCGAGCTTAGAGAGGCCAGACTCGGCCTTGTCACCCTTGAGAACAGTGTCGAATTCCTTGCCACTGCTGAGGGCAGTAACGACGCCACCCTCGTCGACGTTCTCGTCGTATGCGCGAAAGAGATTGTTAGCGCTCTCGAGAAGCACGCCATCCTTGGACATGCGCTGAGTGCCGTACCACCAAGAGCCGACCAGGTAAGGCAGGAGAACACCGAGGAGAAGGGTGTAGGCGAGGACGACATACTTGCCGTTGCCGTCAGAGATCATGAACTGGGGTAGCGCAATGCCGATACTGAAGCTCTGCTTTCCGTCGGGGTGGCCGTACTGGATATAGTTGTTGCGGATCTCCTCGTCGGTGAGCGCCTGGTAGGCCTTGGAGATCTCGACGTAGGCGTCATTGAGGGACTCGATGGTCTCGTTCTTGGCGGGGTCGGGCTTGACCTTGTCGGGATGCAGTCTCCTTGAGAGCTGCTTGTAAACTTTCTTGATTGTCTTCTCGTCGGCGGACTAGATGCAGCGTGTCAGCACTATCTGGAGGTGTAGGGGAAAGGCAGGCAACGTACGTCAGAGATGCCGAGAATATCATATGGGTTCCAGATCTTTTGTGTGACGCTCTTTGTGTGGATGATGAGGTAGATCATGCCGGCCATGACGGCAAGGCCGATGAGGACGGCAATGACGCGCACAATGCGGCGCTGCTTCTTTTCGTGGGCCTTGCGCTGCTTGTCGATGAGGTCGACATGTTCGGGCTTGAAATCGCTCTGGATGCGCGGGGCCTTGGCTTCGATCTCCTTGGAGGGGAAGACGAGGGTGTAGCCGAGCGGCAAGGTGATGATGCTGCTGATGGCGAGGATGAAGAAGGGGTAGAATTGCGCCTCGGCGTCGTACGAGTAGTCGGAACTCATCTTGACAGGTGCTGCGACGAGCTCTGGAGCTCTAGAATGTTGGTGTCGTTGTGTTGGGTGTGGGAAGTGCTTAGTCGTAAAGTCGAGATCGAAGTCCGAGTGGGTGCCTTGCGCGCGGATCCGGACACGTCGCTAGACAGCTGTGCAATAGTTCAACCCAGTAGAAAAGGAAAGAAAAAAAAATAGGTTTCAAGAGCGAGAGTGTCGCAACAGCTTGCACTTGAAGAAGTGTAGACGAGACCGAGAAGAAATCAAAGGAAAAGGGAACAAGTCAGAGACCGCGAGGGAATGATGTCTACCTCGTGGGACTGGTTTGGGGAATGGGGTGGCCGCAATCTGCTGGCTTTGGCCAGGTCGCTTTCTTTTGACAATCGTGGCCTCCAGAAATAACTGGTGCTTGTGCCTGCGCTGGTGCTGCTTCTGCGGTGGTAGTTTCCGGAAGAGCGAGCAGGGGTCGGCCAGTAAGGTAAGGCAGGGACTACTATGTATGAGTAAGGCAGAGAATTAGGTACCTTACGCCGGAGGAGGTCACTGTGTCCTGTCCTCGCTGCGTGCGCAGTGCGAATGGCCAGGTCCAATTGGATCCAATCAACTCAACGTCCGGTAGTCAGTGCGTACTTCGCGCCTTAGAAGGCTCCATAGCTGGCTCAAACCCCTCAAGTGTCTTTTTTAGCTCGAGAGGTCCCCATTATTCTTTCCTCCAGGGCCCAGGCATCCTGGCACCTTTCCTTATGCGGCTACTTACCTAAGTCCCGTCAACTCGTGCTAACGGCCCTCGGCGTCGCTAGTCCGAAACAACGACAGTAAAACGACCGGCCGGCAGAGGGCTTCCTACTTGATGCCGCCTCCTATTCGATTCGAGATATTCCAGCCATTGGGACCTGTTATCTACCTGTCGCATATGCCAATTGATCACGGCTACCATGTGTGCTAACAGATGAGGCAAAATGTCCCCGAACCCACATCGAAGGCCAATGTCATGTTCAATGGCCTTGTTCCCGTTCTCTTTATGAGAGCTTTGGGGAACAATATCTGTTCTACTTGAACCCGTTTTCAGAGCCTCGTCTGGCGAAAGCTATCTTAGACAATCACCAGAGACACAGTCAGCGACGTAGCGATGAAAGCAATTTATTCCGGTTTTCGCAATGCCTAATCCATGCTTCTATCATAATCCCGTGCCCTGCCCATCCGCTACGTCCAAATAGCAATTCTAACCCATCAGTATTCCCGATTTCAAAGTCTGGAAGAGGCATGGGTCAAGTCTGTGTTGATGATTAAATCATCTTTGCCTCTGAGATGCATGACAATGGTGAGCCCCTCGACACCCAATTCATAGTCATCTTCCTGATTGACGTTGACACCCACATCCACCAATCCAGGCGTGTCGCGTCGGTCCCGAGACACAATTTCCGCCTTCAACTGCCGCACTTCTGCTGTCAAATTCAGATACCGCTCCTTCCAAGAGCATGTGTGATTCGGTGGCATGATTGGTAGCGGACTGAAGACCTCAATTTCGTTGTCAAGGGATCGAGACAATCGAGTCACCTGCTGCACGCTGCTGTTGATCCTGGTTTCACCGGCTTCGAATCTTTCCAATGTAGAATAGCCAGCCTCCAAAGTTCGGGTGACTTGGTTCACATTCTTCGATTCTACATCCGTCGTTGTCGAGCTTCTCGAGTTCGATCTCTGAGAGATCGACTTTTTCACCTCTTCAAGGCCATTTTGACTCATTGCGTAAGCCTGGTTCTCCTGCACACCTTGCTTCGTGCTGTCGATCCTCTCTGCACAGTTCGTGGCAGTATTCGACTTGCTCTTTTTGTCATCGGCATGGGCATGCGATTGTGATGGTGTATCATGACGGCAGGAGAGGCAAGTGTCTGCTCGCTTGCGATCGACGTGATGTGTGTTGTGTACCTCGGAAGACTCAGCTTCTCCGCCTGAAACTTTTCGAAGCTGCGATCTCCATAACTCAACATCAGCAGTCTTCTGTTCCTGGGCTTGCTGCGACATATTCTCTTCTTTGTGCACACGACGCAACGGTCTCTTGAGCCACGGAAGTGGCTCTTTTTCCGCCTCAAATGTTGCCTCTTTGGAAACCTTCTTCAACTTTGGCCACCGGATAGCTGCCTCGCCTAATGGGGAACTGAGTTGCTCAGATTGGCCCTGTATCAAGTGACCACTGCTCTTGGCACTCTGAACAGATATTGCGGATGCTGGACTGGCTACCTCTGTTTGCAATAGATCCTCCGTGACGGAACTCCGTTTGCTGGGTGTCTTCATCTGGGGTGAACTCTTGGTCTCCATTGCGGTCAGTCTGCTCTTAATGCGATCTGACACATGACCAGGGCTTTTTAGCCATGACGGAGACCGAGAGAGTCGTCCCCCAGCACGGACAGATAAAGACCCTGAGCCTCTCTTCTTGACAGGATCCACGTCGAGAGACTGTGACCTCTCGAGACCATGGACGTCCTAAGCCCTAGCGCTCTCGCTATTTTCGGCCATAACCGTATCAAAGCTGATTAAGTTGGCGCGATTGAAATCATAACCTTCGGTTCGAGACGGCATCTGCTGTTCAGAGGGAGTCGGTATTATCGTATTTTGAGAGGTCTGCATGCTTGTTGTAATCCCGGTAGAGCCAGTAGCAAGGTGCTCCATGATGTGCTGTGCGCGTCTGAGATCTTCAGCGCGGTGGTACAATTTGTCAATATTGTTTTGAACGGGGTCTGTCAACGGCAAATGAGGCCGCAGCGGCTCCGAGTCATCCATGTCCAATGAGCTTTGCTGCTCCACGATGCATGCAATACTGTGACGGCCCGGATGGTGCCCGGCATGGGTAGCATTGCATCTAGGATTCCCATAATCTCCCTGCGTCTCCGCAATGTTCAGGTCCGTCCGTTTGGAAACACAATCAGAGAGCCTTGATGCTTGTCCAGCGCGAACCGTCATGTCAGTGATCTGAGGTTCGGCTGTGGTGATCTTCGTCATCCTATCTGCTAGTATGAAGGGATTTTCGTTGAGATTAATCGAGGTGGCCGTGGCCCTTTGGTTCTTCTTCGATGTCTCTGTAGCTTCCAGACTGGACGAAGATCGAATATGCTCCTCTTTCAGTTTCGAAGTGTGATGCTTGCTGAATGCAGCATTTTGATGCGTACTCTCTGTACGCTCGAAGTCGGTTGAGCCGTCGTCTGGGATTTCGCTGGCACATTGTGGGCACACCGCATGGCCACATGTAGTACAAAACGTGCGAGAAGTTACCTCTGCGCCGCAGGAATGGCACGTATTGAGTACATGCCTGGGAATACTGTTTGTTCCGTCTCGGTGACGCGAAAAATCCTCTTCTTCGTCGTCAGAAAGCCATCCCGACGGACGAGAAATGCCAAATTCGGCAAAGATGTCCCGAGCATGGCGTCTTCGAATGGTCGAAGTAGTGAGCTCCGTCCCGTGGGACTGTGTGGAGGAAACAGAGTGGTTGGATAAGTGACGGGGCTTCTCCGGGCTTGACGAAGTCGATATCGAAGCCATAGGCATCTTTGGAGGTCGATTCAGCGTCCTGCTCGGTCTCGTTCGAAGCCGGCTAGTCGAAGCTGTCTGGCGAAGCTGTGAAGAGTGTGGGTCGGTTACTCGCGGAGGGGTGAGGTACAATGGCTGCAGACGTAACGCAGTTGTGGCAGCTTGGCTTTTACTTCTGGAACCTCTCTTTGGTCTCTGTCCATGGAATGAGTGGTCTTGAGAGGGCACCCCAGACTCTGCAATCTGCGTGTTGCGTGTTGCTGGCCTCGCGAAGACCTTGTTGGTGCGTTGACCCTAGCCGGACCAAGTGCTCCCGCGTTCCCTCGCGCCTAGAGGTGATGGCTTGCGGCTCACTACACACGTAGAAGGTTGCTTTGAGAACTTCTGTAGTCGAGCAGTTACTAGACCCTCTGGTATTTCGCCATCGTCGGGCTCCGTTGTGGAGACGTTGGCTCGGGATGGGGAAAAGTCGTCAACGAAGGGATCTTCCATATTGAGAAACAATGAGCAATGATTGAGTAATACTGTATGATGTCGTGGGAAGTGCGAATTGGTGCTGTACTGGATGGGCCGTGGCGGTTTGAGAAACGATGCTCCTTGACGGGCGATGCGGAACATTACCTAGGGAAGAGGATTTGCCTCGAGTGAGGTCAGGATAAGTACATTTCGAAGGAAGTCGGAAAGGCGGAACGTAGGCAGGGGCCTCCTCATGGACAGGAGACAGGATCGACCTGATACCTAGTAGGTACTTAGCCTCGCAATGTGCAGTCACTCCGCGGAAGGACCGCCTCATGCATGACGTAGAATCCACAACATACACACAATGATGATTTTCGACAAAGAACGCTGGAAACGTCGCAAGTGGATTCAATTATGCGATGTTAGATAGAGTTAAGGGAATCCGAGTCTTGATGTACAACGTCATGTGTCTGCCACGACCTTCTTTTACACTCTATTTCAGGGCAGCCTGGAGGCTCTCGAGAACCTAGAAAATTCCAATTAGCATTTCCATTACATCTCTCAAACATCCCGTTCGCAGAGCGACTCACCTCAACCTCAATCTTCGCCTCAGCGATCTCCACCTCGCTTCCGCTGCCGCTAGCGACCTTCTGGGCCTCGGCGAGCTGGGACTTGACAGCCTCAGCGCTGAAGTCCTCAATGGGGTATCCCTCGGTGGCGTTGATGCTGAGAACGGAGTTGGGCTGGACGACGGCGAAACCGCCGGACACTATGGACACGCTCGTCAGTTTCCTGCCTCTCTCCTATCCCTTGGGAAGCGCCATCTCGGTTGCAACATACGGAAGAACTGCTTGCTAGGGCCGCTCTCCTCAACAACCTCGACCAGACCGGGCTTCAGCTGCTCAATGGAGGGAACGTGGTTGGCGAGGACACCCATCTCGCCGGAGTCGGCGGGGATGTTAACCTGGACGACATCCTGGGACTGGTAGATGGACTGCGTATTGCGGCAATTAGCTCTGATCCTTCAATTGGCTTCCGCACCGCGTCCCCATTATTCCATCGTCTCGTTTCTCGTTCAGTGAGCTCGGGAATTATCGAATTCGTACCTGGTGAGGGAGCGACAAGCTCAGCTTGATCTGCAAATCGTCAGCGGGTACTCGGGATGCCTCCGGCTCGGAGTATGCAGGCTCGGGCAGCTTGCCTTGTCCGGAACGGCATCTGCGTAGGTTCTGCGCTGGAGGGGAGCGCGGAAGGCAGCAGGGCGGGCTCGGAGGGCCGCGCGCGCGAAGCGGAAGGAGTTCATGATGGGCTGAGCTGGCAATGGGGATGTGTTGCTGGAGGCAGCTCGGGTGAGGTCGCAGGCAGGAATCTTTCGGCTCAGAGTCCATTCGCGATTCGGCTAGCGGGAGAAACTTTGGTCACGCCGTAGAGCACATGACCCGCTGTGCACGGAGCAGCCCCGTTTGGTCTGATTTAGCTATTTGAGCACAGGAGCACGCATTGACGCAACTTTATGCTCTCAAACAGCATAATCCTTAAGGTAGCTTGTTGACCTCTGTTAAGTGATAACTCATCAACACCGAGCCTGTCACCTGTAACAACACAACACCCATGTCGCAACTTCGATATAGACGTGCAGGCCAGCATTACAATATTATATTTGACTAAAGCGTTCAAAGTAAACATTAGGAGATGCGGATGGAGAAGCCGTCACGCAGAACCGTGGTTAACGGGCTCAGACTCACATCGTTCATCATTCGCGCTGCGGCAAAACATGCCACCTCGTCTACATACACCAAGTCGTTACGCTGGCGGAAAATGCACGTATGGAGCATATCCAGCGCCCTGATATGACTCCATAGGTTTGAATTTATGGTTCTTTTTCTTTTTCTCAAGGCGTGTTGGTACTTGCCATTGGTCAACCACCGACTACATCGTCTAAGACCTGGCTCTCCTCCTATACATGTCGATTTCATCTCCCTAACCATTCTTCATCCCAGCAGATTCCATTTAACTGAGTGATTTTGATGTTCGATTTGTTCAAATTTTCCCCTGAATGTGACGCCAAGGTGTCTCACCTACCCAGTACCTGGTTGACCTTGAAAGTGGCCGTCATTCAGGATCAGTGCCATGCATCAATTCGAAAGAGCGACGAAGTTACAGTCCCGCGAAAACCTCGGTCTACTCATTGCACCAGTGGTGCCATGGCGATGCGCGTTCTGGGCCTCATTCACATCCGAAACGTCGCAAGAATCGCTTCTGATGATGCACGATCTTCACACACCTCCAATCGCGGACTAAACTTTTCTAAATGGCACTCTTTTCAGGAAGCAAGCTTACGTGTGCGGTTATTTCCATACTCATTTGTCTCTCTCTGATCTACTGTGTCAAATAGTTAGCTGCTACGAAGTACATACAAAATCGTAGTAATAATGCTCAGGACCTCTATTCCTCCTCAGATGTCTGCTTCACTTAGATAACTCTAGCCCCGGTGCGAAGGATGTTGCATCACTACTACGTGATATCAGCAGCAGAAGGTAACCTATTGCACAAGATATGTATGCTAGAGGCATCTTGGATGATGTCAAGTCAGTACCCTTCAGCTATGCACAACTTTTGCTTCCGAAATTGCTCGCGTACATTATCCGCCGCGGATGGCTACTACGTCTCTCTTTATTCACAGAAATCAAAATCGGCTGGCCTCGCTTAAGTAGGCTGAATGATACTGCTCGAAAGTCGTTGACTCTGTTTCGGATATTTTCCAATGGCGTACCAATGCAAGAATGCTCGAAGATGGCAAGATTGTATGTTTCTAATAGCGATTTTGACTCTGAGGTCAAGTTGATGTTCACCCGCAGCCGGCGTCTTTGATACGATTTTTGGCTTGGTCAACTAATTAAGCTCCGCTTTGTAGGCAATATTTTCTCTCTTTCTTACAGCTGCTTTGTTTGCAGCTTCTAATTGTTGAAGAAGCGGCAGACAACTCCCTAAATAGCACGGGGTCACATCATAATCCTCATAGGTTATGTTCTCGCCATATTTTCATTTCCGTCTGTTCAATCAATAACATTTCCTATTTGAACAAGTTCGAGTAGATGAAGCCCGAAATGAAGACAAGTTTGCCCAAAGTAAGCGAATGATGGAGCGTGCGTTATGGATGTTTTCATTTGACATTAATATAGCCTCAAACTGCTTGTATCGATTGCGGAGTACGGTGTCAAGTTCAACGGCTTGCAGTGTCCTCTTCAAGGGATAACTACTTATAGAGGACCTCTCCAGGACTCAATAACCGATACTCATGTAACTTATATCCACTCCTACACTAGGTTGCTACACTATTGAGGCAAATGCCAACTCGATACAGCCCTACTAGCTATCAAGTTATGGACATCTATCAACTTGCCCCTTACACAAATCTAGCACTTTCGTCTTAGTCCGTCTCCTGAAGTTGTAGCCATAAATTTTGTGAAGGACAACGGGCAAAGTCGCGGCCGGGAGATATCATTACTAAAGAATCAAGGACAGCCTCTCTGGGCAACATTAACTCACATCCTTTGTAGCTCAGTCGCCCAACGACTTAGATACCTATACCTAGTCGAAGGACGAAGACATCTAATCCAAACCCACTGGTCACGATCTTCTGGCTTTTAGAGGTGAGAGTCAGGGCAGTCAAGATGCCAGGACAATATCCGAGATGCTCGGGACGATGAAAGAGACAGTTAGGTGGTCCTTAGTCTTCATACCATCGCTTCACGTACAACAGAGTCGACTGCGGTACACCAAGTCACCACAGCATGTCCATAGGACTCCTGGAACTTCATAGATGACACCTTCTGAGTCTTGCAGAGCTTTTCGAACCAAGTGCATTGCTGAGCACCGCACAAGGAGTGACTGAGGAAAGGGGGCTGCGTGGGTATCAAGCAGATGCCACTCCATGATGTCTTGCTCTCTAATAAATACCTCTCGACATCCGTCGGCGAGAATGTCACAAACATAATCTATGTCTCAACACCGGCCATGTGGAGAGTTCCAGAGCATGGCCACGCTCACCATGACATTGTCTTTGGAGAGTATTCCTCGTTCTTCACACTCCCGAATGACTACATTCTATGGTACGGACGAACCGAGTCTCTTCATACGGTATCATTGATGTTCTCTGCCGTGGTCGAAAGTGTTCCTAAGAGAAACAGAGATTCTGGCTTGTGGATAAGAACATCCCTCGGCACTCATGGTTAATCTGAAGCCCACAGCTCCGACCTGTCACCAAAACCGAGTTCTAAGACACTTCAACTCGCCATCGACACTCAAGCAAATCAAACGACGCAACACAGGAGACACCAGCACCAAGCCACGTGTCAACCATATTGCGTCACATTTTACTTGCCAATCAGCTTACCTACACAGACTTACATCTTCGACTTCATATCTACTTACTCACCTGCCTCGCCGTATGTAAGCAGCATAGATGACATGCGGCCTCGTGACATCCGAGATCTGACGATACACGACATGCCACGCGAAAGGATAACAAGCAGGTAAATGACTCGTCGAGTCCCGGATCAACATCGAACTTCGCTCGAAGTCACCCACGTTCCGACACCCGCGACGGACAGTGGATAGCATAATCAACCTAGCCTCACACGAGGCAACAATATTGGCCGGGTCTGATGCATCACTCATGATCGACGATCACTAACAACGTACCGTCAATCACTTCCACAATGAATATGTATCGTCCTCTGCCATCAGACCACAACCGATAGCCGCCACGTTCGAGTATTGTCCAACAGGGTTCAATCATCGCCCGTTATGGGAAAGGAGCCCTGCCAGACTTTGACCGCGATGCCATGCCTCGCAAGATGGCGAATCTACCAGGAAGGTACAAATGTAACAAAATTCTCCGACTTTAGGAAGAAATGGCTTGGCGACCCTCGCCTCCTTTGAAACGAAACATCCAGCCGCAAAGATCGACACCAAAAGAACCAAGAAAAGGGAAAAACGAAAACAAATCAGGAATAGCGACCGACCCTTCGAGGGCACCAGCCACACACATACATGCTGGGCATTTGAAACCGGGGAAGCCGTCATCGGAGGGAAGGCGAACGAGGCGAATCTACCCACCCTGCTTCGGCTGATGGCACTGCCGATTCCCCCATGGC